TTCGCGATTGTTGTGGACGTGGTGGGAGATGCGATAGATGAGGAATGGTCTTGTTAGTAGGATGATGGACCAGTAGTATGTGCCGAGGATATGGGCTGCCGCGAGTGTGTTCCCCCCGTTTTGTGCGTCATCCTGCCGCTGCGTCTCGAGCTGGAGGAAGCTGGGGAGGTTCCGGACCCAGGCCCGGTGTTGATTAGAAATAGCGTCTGCGACGCGGAGCGAGACTACCTGTTTCATGTAGACCTCCGTTAGGATGCGTTCGAAGATGTGGCACAAGGAGACGACCGTCGTGGAGAGCTGTTCTTCCGTAGAGAGCCGTGACGGCTCTGCAGCGGCCGCGCTATCGTAGTCAAAATCCGACGTGGCGGGCGGACGACCAAGGGAGGCGCTGAGGAAGAGGTCCATCATCCGCAGGCTTCTCCATACGTGCTCGCGGGCCCGTCGCTCGCGCGCACAGAAGAGCGCGTTCGCATCTTTCCGGTGGATACCCACCGCGTAGGCGGCCCGCAGGGCAATCCCCAGATTCATGAAAGCTCCATTACGACGGCAAGCCCCGAGCATGTACATTGAGATCAACACGTACGACTGGATAGTGTAGATACTCGGGGTCTCGGTGAAGGCGGAGAATGCCAACTGGCGGCCACTGACAAAGTACTGCTCGGCGGAGGTCTGGTCAATGTCGGATGCTTGCGCCCCGATAGCCATCACCAAATAGAAAATCGAGCTGACGGTGTCCTCGTCTCCCGACGGGTTGTCTACCCATCCGACCAGCCGGGAATGGAATTCGTCAAAGTCAAATAGGTCGAGCAGCGGGCTGGTCGCAAGCACATACTGCTGGGCCAGCTGCTGCGCTTCACCTTGACATGGAGGAGGAACCAATGAGCCGCTTTGCGACGTGGAACTATTCTGAAAGGCCTCTAGCATCGAGTGACGCGAGTTGTCCTCCGTGAACTCGCATCTCCCAATCGACGCCGACACGATGCGCCGGACGCTCTGCAGAAATGACAAGCTGGCCGAATCTCCAATATACATGAATTTCCCCTGCCCGTCCTGCAGAAGCCTCGCCACCTTGGGTACCGGCGCCATGCCGTCCCTGTCATCCACCGCCTGTTGCTCCACATTGGCACTGTGATCCTCGAGCGAGTCCAGTAACCGATCCATGGCTGGCTCCCGCTGCGGGGTAGGAAGTATGTGCTCGCTCAACAACATAGTGTCTTTTGCGCTCGTATTCGGCTTCAGCAGGCGGGCCGGCTTGTCGGAGAAATGGCATTCGGAATCTTTATTTCGTTGGATACATATCGTACACGGTTGCTCGCCGTTGCATTTCTGTTTCCGCCGCTTACAGCTGTCGCATGCACGGCGACAGCGGAGTCGGGCTCCGGAGGGCAGACTGGCTCGCGGCATCACGATCACCTCCAAGACTGAGACTGTGGGCTGGAATTGAGAGATTCGGTAGATATCGTTGAGAGTGTAAGAAGAATTGGAGAGTTTCAATTCAATGTACCCCGCGATGCCGTCCGAACCTAACCCCACTAGTGGTCATCTCTCCCGACAGCATTCAAGCGGGAAACTCTACTTTCCCCTGAATAGAGTAGAAAACAAGCATAGAACTGAAGAATGGGAAGAAGTCAAGATCAGGGAGCATGTCATGATGTTGGGAACCAAAGAGGGGAAAAAGTGGAATCTCGGGATGATCGACCGGGATTAAGACGATTTATATATTTATCCCCGGATGTTGTATGTGGGGCTGACTAACTCTATACATTATCCTCTCCATCTCCAGCTATATATTTGAAGAATTTCATATTCAGATATCATTGATTACAACTTCATTATGACATTCAATACATCATTCATCCCCCTTAAGGTCGGAAAGACACGACCTTCCCCCAGGTGTCAGCAGTACCCCAGATACCCTGGCGCAGGCACGACAGCTGCACGATCTGGCTATGGTCGACGAAGACATTAACATCAACGCCAAACTCCCGAATATACCAGTTGAAGACCTTGGGGTCGGCAGCTTCGAACATCACCCGCTCCGACGGCAGCTCCTTCATAATTGTTGAGACCACGTCGGTGCGCCACGAGCGCACGTTCTCCGTGATGCCCTCGGACTCGATCATGAGACGCTCCACGCCGGCGTCCAGGAATCGGCGTCCCAAATTGACCAGCTTGGATGGGTCCGACGTGCCGATGGCCTCAAGGTCTGCCTCTGCGGTGTCTCCTCCCGCGCCAAACTGGATGCCCAGCTCGGGCTTCGCTTTCAGCTTGTAGGAGTGGACCTTGTCTACCAAGCGTAGCCAGTCATCTTCAGGGAACGATAGGAATCCGGAGGAAAGCTCGATGACATCGAATCTGATATCATGGTTAGATTTATCGCGCTTCCACATTTGCAACTGGGAAGCGTGCGTACCCTAGGTCTTTGCATTTGGTAAGGTATCTGTCGAAGACGGTGTTCGGATCGGGGTGTGTCAGGAGATGCTCGGCCCAGCCGCCCTGGTTATATTAGCGGAGATCTCCCAGATTTCTCGGGTTGGTGAGGCGAACCGTCGACACATAGGACCCATTCTCATGGGCCAAGTCAATTAGCTCGCGCAGACGGTTCTCCTGGAAGAGGGAGAAGGAACCCCCGGAGAATTTCAACCCATCCACGTGTTCACCCATTCTGGTATGGCCGTTAGGAGAGGTATTATCTACCGATGCTTCCGTCTACTTACGTCTCGAGCACATCGGCTAGGTATCGCTTACCCATCACCTGTCGTGCGCTCATGCGTTAGCTTCAGATCTCTCTGTCGAAGACATCCAAGGGGTGATGGAAGGTATGGCATACCGAATAGTATGGGCCTCTAATCTCGGTGACACCCTTGGACCGGGGCTTTGGGGGTCTGGGGTTGGATCGGGCGAAGCCAAACCCATTCTCCTTGTCTTGCAGTAGAGATACGCCATTGTAGGCGGGTGCCGTGGTCGAGAGACCCCGCGAAGCAGCGGGGATCTGTCGCGAAGCCAGGCTGAGGATGTTCCTCGAGGAGGGAGCGATGCGAGGCACGGAAAGCATTGTGTTGTTGTCGTTCAAGTCATTTGGTTTGAACTAAGTCTGTACACTAGGTGAGAACAGCTACCTTTAAATAGCGTCGTCAGGATATCGGATGTGCACCCATGCCTTCCAGATTTGGGCTTGTGCTAGTTCACTCGGTCTTCGGATAGGTATGTCGTCCGGGTGGTATGAACGTACCTCGATGTAAATCACCGTCCGGCTCGTGGGGAATTCCGATACCGGTGCTACAGATGATAGGTGTCTCTCCCCATTCTATCCTGACTTCAATCCATGGGTTTGCAAGTCTCGTCCGCTTGAAGTAGTTGGCCCTCTGCGACGGTGCGCGATGAAGTCAGCATAACGACATGGCGGACTGGTGACGTCATGCCAGGAGGAGCAGAATCCCAGACTATAATCATTGTCGGTGATTGATGTCAGTTGTCCGATTCACGGAAATAGCTTTCAATGACTTGATATTCCCTCTAGACTTGCTCTAATAACCATTCTGTGCATGATGCTCTTCTTGGGCTCACCGACGGTGGGTGATAGTTATAGGGTTGCTTAGGGCTTTGGATGGCCCGCCCTTACCCTCCATACTCAGATCGTCTCCTCGGTCCAGCTGCCTCATCCTTTCCCACGATGCTGGCTTATTTTCAGACCCAAGAAGCTCAAAACTATGTACCAGAAGCATTGTTTCGCTATTGAGCGGTGTCATCTTCCCCCAGCATGACCTGGCAGACGGATCTCACCGGAAGACCTCAACCAATCGCCCTCCTGGATGTTCCTGTATGTCCCATCAGACTGGGCCAGATGAGAAGACGTAGCACAGATGCTGTCATGCTTGACCGTCTCTTTGGTCCGATTTTCTCATGAGCAGTTTGCATTGACCATGGTCTAGCCATGTTTGGGTGGTTGTACCGAACTATAGCCACTCGTAGTCGGCCCCGACAATCGCCGTCGTCGTACAGAGATGCAGTGAGCTACACGCCAGTCCATGCTGGAATATCCAGCGGTTGGCTGCTTGATAGGTTAGTTGGCAAATACTGAGCTTGAGCTTGGAATGGTATAAGACAAATAGAGAAACATGAGGTGTTGATAGCTGGAGTGTCCTCTGCCCATACCGGTGGCACGATCTGGTGGTCAAAAGGGGAGTAAATCTCGACAAAAAACAGTTGAGTGGTTATGAAACGTGACTCAAATGATTTCCATTCCGACCGAATGTCTTGATTCTTTTCTTTTTCTTCATCCAGCCTAGGTTCGTTCCTCCACTTCGGTTCTCAAAGGGGTCTAGCCGCCGGGATGATGCTATTCGGGAAACACGGTAGGACAGCCAGGTCACACAATCCCATCAGCATCATCATCGACAGAGAGCAAAGCAATTCACTTCACGAACGCCAAGAGTGGAGACGGGACTGCTCATTCGTTCAACCCTAAATCCTTTGTATAGATCCAGGTGACTTTTCTATGTTCTGTCCCGAGGGCCAAAGAGATGGTTCCTCCCGGCCCAGGATCCCACCCACTGGTCGTTGGTCATGAGACACGAAAAACCACGGACAGAAGAGGGATGTCCAATGTATTTGCAACTTGATCTTATATGGGTTTGCATGTAATGCTTATGCAGGTATGCATGTCCACATGGAAGTACGGAATTGGCAGAGTTCCTGCCTGTTTTCACGGCTAATGGCAGTCTCTTTATCACCCTCTTTGACTTCGCTTCTCTCTTCTCCTCTTCCCTTATTCACTGCTCACTCCCTGATGTACCTGTTATTTCTGGCCTGGAATAACATGTCTAATCGTCTTCTCCCCTGTACCACTGTGCCTTCCTGATGCCCCAGCCGTGAGTGTCTGAAGCTCACCCTGCAGGTCTCGTCCTCTCTTTCTATACATTATTATTTCCGCCCTACCTTTTACTTCTCATACATCATTATCATTGACCTCATATCGACCTTCCTAATTCAAGCTTACCATGGGTGCGGGGGCGGTTTTAGAACCGCTGGTCGTGATCGTCCTTCTCTTTGGAGGGACCTGGATCAACCGTACCATGGGCAGGACGTGGGGATCTGGATCCACCGATTTTGACTCTGGCAGTTCCACCCCGACAACCTCCATCAAAGATAGCTTATTGTTAGATGGGCGACCAGCATCGCCCAGGTCTCCTAGGTCTTCCAGGTCCCCTTCTCCCCGGCTCCTGGAGGGTCGATGGCGCCAGAGACAGATTGGGCTCTTTAACTCCACCTTCACCGTGACGACCCCCGACACCGCTGTCTATCAAGACCGTCTGTTAAGCAGGTTACTCCAAAAGTTTCCGTTTCTCGTCGAATGCTGGTATTGGGCCTTGGTCTATTGGGTGGGTTCGTCCACAGTTGGTGCTGGGTTGCGACTAGGCTGGGAGAAGCTAACTCACTTGATGCATGTGTCTAGACATACCAACTAGGTCGGGCGTTCACGGCAGTCACCCTCCAAGAAGGGACTGTCGACGTCGCGAGGCAGCATGCGCTGCAGTTGATCCGCTTCGAGAAGGCAATTAGGCTGTTCTGGGAGGTTCCGATTCAGCAGGCTTTTCTTCAACATCCTGGTGTGATGAAATGGGTCAATTGGACATATTCCTTCATCCATATTCCCGGCACCATTGCCTTCCTGGTTGGACTTTACTACTATACCACCACCCGGAACCGATGCGACGAGTCCCAGCCTGAGGTACCTAGGCGCGTGATCGGCGGAACCCCAGCCGGTCCGCACCTCTATCAAGCCCGGCGAAGAACCCTAGCCATGTGCAATTTGCTCGCGTTTGTAGTCTTTACGCTCTGGCCCTGCATGCCTCCCCGTCTGTTGAGCGATCCGAACGTCGAGGGCCCCGAAGGCGAACTAGGACGCAGCTACGGCTTTGTGGATACCGTGCATGGAGCTAATGGGACGGGGAGCGTCTGGACGCAGAATCGGTTCTGTAATCAGTATGGTATGCGAGATTGAATCCGGATCAGCGAGCCACGATGTAAGGGACAAGTGCTAACTGCCGCATTTGATAGCCGCGATGCCCTCTCTGCACTTTGGCTATTCGCTCATGATCGGGCTCACGGTTATGGTTATTCCATTGCCGTCGCATCATCGACAACCGATAGGTCGCTCCCGATGGTGCATTCGCTCTCTAGGGATACCGATGCCCTCGTGGCGTCGTCTCGCGTGTCTGATGGTGGGATTCACCTATCCCCTGATGATTCTGCTGGCCATTGTTGCCACGGCCAATCATTTTATTGTGGACGCTGTGGCCGGGGCCCTGGTTTGCGTACTGGGGTGGAGATTCAACTACCTCCTTCTGAACCTGTTGCCATTGGAAGATTACTTCCTCTGGCTGGTCCGGATCCACAAACCCGAGCCCACGACCGTAGACGCCATGGGAGAGTTGGACGGGTGGATCGACGATGACGACGAGCTGGGCGGGCAGGTTCTTCCACGATGACCCTAGAAGAGAAGGGAGCCCTCACCCCCATACTGTCCTTCACCCTCATGTCGTTACGCAATACTGATGATACCCTATGGCTGCAACCTGTTGGGGGGGTGAGGGTTGTCTCTTGTCTATCATTATTACCATCTGCATCTTGTAGAACCTGATTTGGATATATCCGCTATTAATATGCATTTATCTTTATTCATTCATGTCTTGTCTTCGTCCATGTTGTTGGTATACAAAGAGAATGAATGAGTAGAGCACTGAGCAGTGTATACTACGTTCCTTCGATGGTTCCCCGAAATTCTGATATCAAGCCTCTCCTGTTCCTAATCACCTTTTGGTTCTTTGTTTGTGGTCTTATTTCATAGTATGTTTTATTTTTTAAAGTTAATATCCTCTTGGTAGTATAATTCTCGTACTATAATTTCCCCAGGTTAAAGAAATAAGATAAATTAACTGGTTGAAAGGACGGTAACATTGATACCAGATCGAGAGGGGATCGCGTAACGGGGCGGTACGGGCCGTAATGAATCCACCGGTGACTGCAGTGCTTGCTTCATCCTCCTCATTTCAACTCATTTACTCTTCGACTCATTCCCTTGTCTTCTTTCTCTCCACTGGACCTTTTCTGCTGTGTGCTGGAGTATAAAGTCCCACCGACACCCGCTCTTTCTTCCTTTTGAAAATATTCTCTTGGTTGGACCTGTGGTTTGCTACTAACGACGGATCTTGGTTATCCCTACTACACCCCAACTACAAGGTAGGTCGCATATCCCTTCAATCTACTGGCTAGACCATCGCGCTGATAAGTCTTTTAGTATTTTGCTCTGGTGCTTTCCACTATCTCTCTTACTTTTCGAAGGCTCGGCTAGGTCGTCGTGACTGGACCCTGGTGTACTCCTCGATTAGCTTCGTCTTGTCGCAGATTGTGGCGCATCCCCAGTTGACACTGGTTTGTGAGAGCGTGCCAGTCAGCTGTTCTGTATCTCCGACAGACCTCTCCGGTTTCAAGCTGTTGTGATTTGGTCTGGTCGTGGTATTCGCCCTGACCTTGTGTTGTGAGGGGAGCTGATCGACTTGGGCTGTTCATTTCGCCTCGGTCTCTCTACCTTACACTGTCAACCCCACAGCTATCGCGGGTGGTGTGGATATTGAAATCTACAACCTGTCTGCCTGTTTGACCACAAGCTTCTTGTGGACATTCATTGACACCTGTGATACGTCAAAGAGCTGTTGAACGCGTTGTCTCCGATCCGGTCGCATCGCTGAAACACCCAACTGCGACGGAACCCCAATAGCTGTCTACCGGGGAATTGCGAGCAATTGGACCATCTCCAGCTGTTGAGAAAGATCAGGTAGGAATTGTCATGAATTTTGTTCGCTTTTAACTAATTTCCTTTTGTTTGTGGAGGTCTGCAGCGGGAGCAAAACCGTTGCGTCATTTGCGGACTGGGGGAGCAACCGCCGTTCCCTTTTTTTTACGCGTTGTTCCATCTTCCCGCCTCCCGTCGCGACCTTCTCCACCACCATCTCTCTCTCTCTCTCTCTCTCTCTCTTCCCCCAATTCTCATCTTCCCTCTTCATCCTTTTCCCACTCCACCCCATCTCCGACTTTTCCACCACCACACCCTGATTGGAAAGCTAAAGCTTCTCCTCTCATTCTCCATCCCTTCTTCCTCCGTTTACGTGTTTGTGAGCTCTGTCGCGCATCATGGCTGAGGACACGCCCACCGCCGCTGCGCCCGCTGCTGAGCCGGAGCGCGCTCCTGCAGACTCTAAGGCTGGCCCCGAGGAGTCCACTCCCGAGGCTCCCAAGGAGAAAGAAGCTGAGGCGACCAATGGGTCCGACAAGAAGCCCTCTGGTAAGTCATCCGCAATTAATCCCTCCTCCTCCCCCCTTGATGGACAACCCCGACAGGGTGTGACAAGGTGGCGTGGCTAACGGTTTCCGGCTTGTTTCCGACAGAGGACGCGACCGCCACGGAAGAGAAGAAAGAATCGACGGATGCTTCCGCCGAACAAGCTCCTGCCCCCACGACCGACGCGAAGGAGCAGTCCGAGGAGAAGGCTGCGCCTGCCGAGTCGGAGGCCGCGCCCGCTGCGGACGTCACCGCGACTCCCGCGTCCGCCAAGAAGTCGGGAGGATCCAAGCGCAAGTCTACCGGCGGCGCGTCGGACAGGAAGTCGCTGAGCCGGAAGAAGTCGATGTCTCGCGTCACCCACCTGCACGCGCAGCCGGGCGAGTACTACCTGGCGCGTCTCCGCAGCTTCCCGCCGTGGCCCTCCATCGTCTGCGATGAGGAGATTCTCCCCGAGTCTCTCCTCGAAACGCGTCCGGTGTCGGCCAAGCGCACCGATGGAACTTACCGCGAGGACTACGCCGACAGCGGCAAGCGGGCTCACGAGCGCACCTTCCCCGTGATGTTCCTGGAGACGAATGAATTGTGAGTCCCATCGCTTCGTACGATCCTATTCGCGATCTTCATTTTATTCGTCTATTTCATCTATTGCTATGTTTTTTTATCTTTCCGTTGCTTCCGACTTTTCCTGCACCTTTCACCGCCAGAGACTAATCATCGGATATAGCGCGTGGATCCCGAATATGGACCTGTCTCCGCTGGATCCCGAGTCCTGCAAGGATGTGTCGCCCAAGAGCAAGGGCAAGCTGCTCCTGGCTGCCTACGCGGTTGCTTCCGAGGCGCATGATCTGCAGTATTTCAAGACCCTGCTCGCCGACCACCAGCGCGCGCTCGAACAGGAGATCGAGGAGAAGGAAGCCCAGGCGGCTGCCAAAGCCGAGGCCAAGGCCGAACGGGATGCGAAGAAAAACAAGCGGAAGAGCATGGAGATCGTCGACGATGAAGATGTCGATATGGAGGACGCGAATGCGGAATCCAAAAAGTCCAAGAGCTCGAAGAAGCGCAAGAAGGATGTGGAGACCGAGGACGACAAGGTTCGTGCCAGCCCCAGACAAGCCCCGAAACCGACCTTTTCCTCTCCCTCCTGAACTAACATATCCTCTACGCACAGCCGGCGAAGACTCCCAAGACCAGCACGAAGCTGAAGTTGACGACCCCCAAGACCCCGGCCAGCGAAACGAAGAAGACCCCCTCCAAGAGCAAGCAAGCGGGCGGCAGCAAGAAGGCTGGCAAGGCCAGCGCCAGTGAAGCTGAAGAGGAGGCCGCGCCAGCCAAGGGATCGGCGAAGCCGGTTAACCCGGAGGAGGCCAAGGCGAAGCGGGAGAAAGAAAGTATGACAACACTCTAGACTCTCAGGTGCAAGCAAAAACTAACGATCTTGTTGCAGTCCTTTTCGTCCGTCACAAGCTCCAGAAGGGGTTCATTTCTCGCGATCAACCGCCCAAGGAAGAGGAGATGAACGCCATGTCCACCTACTTCACCAAGCTCGAGAATTACGAGGATCTGGAGGTGTCGGTCATCCGCGCCACCAAGATCAACAAGGTCCTGAAGATGATCGTGAAGCTGAACACGATCCCGCGCGACGAGGAGTTCCGATTCCGCGAACGCGCCATGAACATCCTGACCAAGTGGAAGAACGTCCTGGACACCGATGTCGGCACCCCGGTCGCTGAGGAGAAGGAGAAGGACGAGAAGCCCAAGGCCAACGGCGTGCAGAAGGAGGACAGCGTGGAGACCCCGGCGAAGGAGACCGACGGCGAGAAGGAGAAGGAGGAGGAGTCCAAGGCTGAGAAGACCGAGGCCGCTGACGAGCCGATGCCCGATGCGGACGCCGAGGATAAGAAGGCGTCAGCCGACGAGCCTGCCGCGGAGGAGACCGACAAGACGGCTCCCAAGGTGGACGAGGAGGCAAACAAGGAGAAGGCCGAGGAGGAGAAGACCGAGGAGAAGACTGCTGCAGCGGACTCATGAGGACGGGGAAACAACATTAGAGCACAAATGATTTGAACCATTTTCTTTCTTATTTCTTTTTTTGCTGTTGTTTCCTGCCCAACAACTAACTTTATCATGTCTACTTTTGCTGCTTCCCTGGTCTTGATCCGGTTGATAATGTTACTCGCATTGGTTTTAGTTCGTCTTTTCTACTTTCTTCGACTTGTTTTCTATTCACCCTGTCTGTTGTATGCTGGTTTTTCTTGTGCTTTTCATCTGCTTTGTCTGTAATCAATTATGCTGCTTATTTATTTCACTTTACCTTTATTCCAAGGCATTTTTATTATTGGGATTGAATCAAATTCATAGCGGAGAAATACTGAGAAAATCCAGAAGTTAAACATAAGTCGAGACAAAAGAAGCAAAAAAAAAAGAGAAGGAGAAAGCTAGTCAATTGTTAGTTTCGCCCGTGTGTACTGTCTTCCTTCCATTCACGCAACTCACCTGTATGTGCGTATGTCCCTTGTCTTGAGGGGTCTTCTCAACGTTGCGAATAGGGACAAATAGAAAGAAGGAAGGATGGAGATATTGGGTCTGGAAGAGGCTGTGGGGGATGATGGATGAAGGGGAGATTGGTAGGTCAGTTGGCAATCATGAGATTATTACAATCCATAGTTCGCGCCGCGGTCTCGCGAGCTAAACCAATAGTAAGATCTGGTTAACATTCTGCGAGAATGATCTTGGTGCTTGCTAGAAGCGGTGACAGAAGTAGAAAAGGGACAGATTCTAAACCAGCAGGATCTAAACATGTTTGGTCGCTGTTGCATCGATGATATATCAGCTTTGAGTAGTATGGATGCTTTTTTTAGGGAACTGATATGTTTGGATCATATTTAATACCTTCGTTATTGCCTTTACAATGGCCTCGCATGCCTTTTACGCTTACTATGAGAGCATACCTGGGAAACAGGATTAACACTGCTACCGTAAACCTTTAAGGTCTCCAGGAGAATGGCGGTATATGTGGTTTTGAATTTGATAAGTTGACTTCATGGCTATTTCTCATCTGTGGACCAAGGCCTGATTACCCTCTCTACCACGATATCTTTACCCTTCAAGGTTCTTTTGTGAAGCACATGTAGCTTGTCGTGACATCGAGAGCCACTCCGGAAACATTCAAGACAGATATTAAAGCCTCCGTCACGCGGATTCACGCAAATTGAACAGTGATAATGGGAGTCGGAGTCATGTATATCGCAAGCACAGATTTTACACTTGAAGGACACACAGTCAACTTTGCAGAGGCGATCTCTCAGACATTCATCGCAGATACCGCAGGATTTCTTGGACGGGCCTGAGCAAACATCACAGTGAGGAGAGTTCGGGTCTCGTATTTCGCAGCAGCAGTCGTCACAATACAGGGGTGCGCAGTTGATATCAGAGGCACCAGAGGAATAGTGTTGAAGTGTTTGATTTTGGTCGCGCAGTAAGAATGCAATTCTTTCGAGTCCTGAATCCTGGGCAACAGATAGAGCAGTTCGTTGCGCAGAAGTCAAGGTATGTGCTGCAGCACTACCATACTGGAGAAGGGTCTTGACAGCCCTTTCGTGTCCATTCATAGTAGCGAAGAACAATGGAGTGCGATCATTCTTATCGGCCAAGTCAACCGTTGCTTGATGGTCCAGGAGAATCTTCATGAGAGGCCCCTGCCCATCTTCTGCTGCCAGGGAAAGAGGCGTTCGGCCATGATGACCTCGGATATCTGGGTCAGCACCGGCTTCCAAAAGAGCCCTCGCGCATGATAATGTTCTTCTATCCGTTGCGAGAAAAAGTGGTGTGACGGGTTTCCCCTTGTATTTGTTGCTATGTTGATGGTTCGGGTCGGCTTGCGCTTGCAATAACATTCTGACAACCGCTATGCGATTGTTGTATACAGCCCACCATAGAGCAACTCCTTTCAGGTTGTCTTCCACTATATCTTCTGCAAGTCTTCTAACAGTCGGTAAAACCCCGTCACTTGCTGCTTCTATGAACAGAAATTCGGTGTCTTTGGAGCTTAGCTTTAGTCCCTTCTCTCTGAGAATCTCTACCACATTGTGACGACGCCATCTGATCGCTCCCCGCAATGGACAGTCACCGTCGTCACTTTTCAGGCTGGGATTGGCACCATAGTCAAGTAATAGATTGACTATCGCTTCGTGTCCGTATTGTGCGGCGATCAATAACAGAGGCTGGTTGGACACCGTAAGGGACACAGTCCGGGCGAAACAATCCTGATCCCGTTTTCCACTTCTTTATGTTGTTCGTCAGACGACAGTTGCAGTCAGCACCTTTATCAAGCATAAATTTGACGACGTCCTTAAGGCCTGTGCATGCGGCTGTAAACATAAGCTTCGTGCCGTCTTCGTCAACTATATAGTGCTGACCAAGGCCATCGTTGAGCAGTATTTTGACGGTGTCGTCCTGCTTGTCAAGAATTGCTTCTCGTAGCGGATTATAGATCATATCTTTGTCGAGGCTTCTCTCAAGTAAGAGCCTGATGGCGGCGACTTTCCTCGTGCGGACGGCCTGGAGCAGAGAAGCCTCATAATTTGCAGGTGACCACCCTGCATATTGTGAGAAAGCTGCGATGACATTTTCGCTGCTGCAAACAGCAAGCTCCAATGGCGACTTTCGTCTGCTCCAGTCTTCTTCCAATATAAAATATTCATCGCGCCCTTCCTTTTTCCAGCGTCTCCAGAAACCTGTAATGTTCATGCTTAAATCGACTTTGTGCTTGAGCAAGAGTAAAACCAACTCCTCACTTTGCTGAAAAAGTGCCCATGATAAAGCCGTGCGGCCGATCCTGTCTTCCAAATTTGGATTGGCGCCTGATTCAAGTAAGGTCCGGGCCAATGGTTCGTTATCCTTTTTGATTGCTACAGCAAGCGCTGTGGCACCGTTCCTGTCTTTGTGATTTGGATCAACACCATTCAGAAGGAGCTGACTTGCCATATGGGAGTGATCATTTCGTACTGCCCATAGCAGACAATGACCACCAGACGCTCGAATGAGGTCAGCATCCATGCATGAAACGTTTTTTTGCACAAGCGCGAGATCACGACAGACAGTTTCACGGATAGGGTCATTTGCCAAAGTAGCTTCCTGTATGAAATTATGTAATTGGTGATCGTCCATCTCTGTGGATAAAAGCAAAAGGCCTCGGCCAAACATGTCCCGGCATGACAGCTGGTGAGGATGCTTTCTGCCGAGGAGATAGAACATTTCCTTATGGCCATTCTCCAATGCGTAGGACAGTGGTGTCTGTCCGGTGAGATCTTTTGAGCTCGGCATGGCGCCTTTTTCGAGCAGACGGCGGGCGATTGCCTCACACCCGCGTTCGGCAGCGATGGAAAGCAGCGTCCTTCCAGCTTCATCACAACAGTCTGGCTGGGTATCCTCCAAAAGAATTTCGACTACCATCTCGTAGCCTTCATCGCAGGCCCATAGCAATTGTTGTTTCTGTCCTTCGCCAGTGGCGGCTGTGTAGAGCAGCAGGTGTCTGCAAATGGTTCGATTTCCTATCATCGCCGCAAGTGAGAGTGGCGTCACGTCAACTGCCCGATCCCGGAATTCTCGAATCATTTTTCTCCGTCCTTTTAAAGGCCAGCTATCCAGAGGGATTGTTGGTATTGCATCCAGCTCACGACATAGGACCCCGATGTCTGGGCTGGCGCCGCTTTCGAGGAGAGCCTTGACAGTTTCAACTTGATTATAATAAATGGCAATCAGCAATGGTGTCAATCCCCAAGATTCTTTTGAATCAGAATCAATTCCTCTTTGAATGAGAAGCTTGACTATTTTCTCTTGACCATTATGCGCCGACAGTAATAGGGCCACCTGATTAATGTGTCTTGCGCCATCATGATCAGCCGTCCGGTCCAAAAGAACCTTGACTGTCGCTTCGTGGCCCGCTTCAGCAGCAAGGCACAATGGAGCATGGCGGATCCTGTCACTGTACCATGATGACTGGCCCCCACAGTAGGTTGGATCTACCCCAGCATCTAATATGACCTCCACTATCCCAATCTTTCCATGCTCTGCCGCGGTTTGAAGGCAATCTCCGAGATACTCCGGCGAGTCAACTTGTAAGCCATATGTCTTTTGCAATAAAAGTTTACATATTTCCTCATTGTCTGCCCAAACGGCGGCCTGAGAAAGTGGCGTGGTCCCTTCTTCATCACCCACATTAGGATCTGCCCCTTCATCTAGCAGAAGCTTGACCATTCCCACATCACGGTTTGTAACAGCCACGAGTAAGAGTGTTGTACCGAATCTGTCCTTCGTCTCAATAGAGGCCCCATGATCCCTGAGGAGCTTTACAACATCTTTATGGCCTCGTTTCACAGCCAGTGCAATCGGCGTTTCGTCCTTGTCATTTTTAGCGTTAGGATCCGTGTCTATTAGAAGCCTTTCAACAACCGCTGTAAACCCAAGATATGCTGCTAGGTGAAGGCCCGTGTTTCTCTTCGGAACGAATCTACAATATAGTTTCAACTTAATGGACCTTAGAGCTTGGAAGCAGGCAGAGACCTTTCGAACATCCTTCAAGAAATCATACAACAGGTTCTCATCGACGGGCTGTAATCGAGCATGGAAGTCCCAGAAAAGGGCCGCATGCTTATATAACGGATTCTCTTCTAACCGTTGGTAATATTCATACTTTTGGCAGGCCCCCGTTTCAAACGCATCGAAGTTCAAACAGGTGATGTACGTTTGCGCAATCTCGGCATGGGCATTCGGAAACCAATCTGTCCACGTCTGCTCGAAGTATTCCTGGGTTGTATAATGAACTAATCGAATGATATGGCTATGTTCGTCAAAAGTGACAAGGCCTGCACACGCCGAAATTAGGCATTCAATGTCTGGCAGGTTTTCTTCGTCGAAGGCCGAGGAGCCAATTTCAACCCCGAGAGCGTGCTGCAACTGTGAGAGTGTAAGACGCTCTTTCGAACATACCAGCCATGACAACACCTTTTTAGCAAAAGTCTGGGAATCCTGGCTATTGATTCTCTCCATCGTGGCCTGATATGCCTGATTATAGGCACTAGAGCCTGTCGGTAATCCTTTCAATGCGGACTTTATTGATTTCACAGACGGCTTGTTTTTCAGAGAGTCGATGGAAAGCTTAGCCAGTAAAAACCTGGATCTCAATGTCAATATTGTGCATACTCCACTCCGTCTTTGGTGATTGCAAGCAAGGTCGAACATACATTCCATCAATTGCCTTGGCAATGCTTTCAATTATCAGCTCCCGGAGGTTGGCATCCTTTCTGACAAAAGGACGCAGTTTGGCGATTTGGCCCGAGAGGTACGATTTCACGTCATCAGGGTGAGCCCGAATTTCCAGCCACGGGTACTGCTCAAACTGCGATGTGATATCCGGGACGAGCCTCGACGTGGCAAAGAGACTAAGTCGACAATTCGATTGTAGATCAAAAATTTGCGATAAAATGCTAGTACGAACTTCTGCCTCGCATTCGTCTAGCGCATCGATCATAATGTAGATTCGAGATAACTGGCTCGCCACCAGATTTACCCATTGGTATATATCATCGAGCTGCGGTCGTCGTCTCTTATTCTCTCTGTACCGAGCAAAATATTCTCTGATGGCGCCAGGAATCTGCGGCATACTCTGGACTAATTGCTTCAAAAGACATGCCATAAAGGTGTCCTCCGTGATGATAGACTGCTGACTGAAGTTGCAGAAAAAATAGGCTATACCGACTGCTGGCGTGTCCAGGAATTGTTGCTGAAGGTGGTCAACCACAATAGAGGTCATTACAGTCTTTCCTGCCCCGGGTAATCCTGGACAAAACAGAATTTGACTTCCATCTACCCAGGATCTGAACTGTTCCGTTTCCAATAGGTATCGCCCAGAGCCCTTATGCCTTTGTTTCAATGTGTCGGCCTGGACAGCCCCTTCATCCCGAGTTGAGATAAACTCCAGTATATCCTGGCGCTCATGGTCATCGACAAAATTGACAAGTTTCTCAAGATTTGGGACATATGCCAATCTATCTAATGGTAAGATTTTATCAAATAAGAGATAGAATTATAAACATACCTTGTCACTTGGTCAATTGGGAGGTGGGAAAGAAGCTCTCTAGCATAGGCCGCTGCCGCTGCCGCTGCATATCCATGCCAGTCATCGTTCTTATGCGAGTCGCAATAGTCGGACACTCCCCGGATTGCCAGACAAGGGAAATCAGCCAGTGCACCCGCAGCCTCCATCTCAAAACACAATATGCCATGCTCCTGTGCTAGGCGGTCTCTTACAACCCCATCCTTGATCACGAGTTCTCCTGAGGCAATTGTTCCTCTGTGGACCACTATGAGAGGGAGGGCATCTTTGTCTGCCTCCTCTGCAAGACTGTCTATTATCCTTTGATCGGTGTCACATTCACATTGACGGCAAGAAACCCCACGCACCCGATGCACATACTCGGGTGGGTACAGGTGATCCTTGTCGGCGCCAGGGTACCGAAATCGTGACATCTTTGGGGCAGTCGTGTCAATTCGCATAATGTTTTCAGCGAGCGGGTCGCGTCGCCATCTTGCTCTTTTTGCTGCCAGGACTTGGGCGGCCTGGAGCAAGACCGGAGGAGGGGGCGCCAGAGCTCCCGTGCGTTCAAACTGTCCGTTATAGGCCTTCCCGTGGTCGTATTGTATCACGCCAGAATGTATACCAGTTGGTTTGCTGACGACCACATCACCAAGATGGATTCTTCCCTCTTCGGGCATTTCTCCTTGCTCGGTGGTTCCAGGGACCCCGCCGCCGATCCCAACCAGCAGACCAAAACGGACGTGGGGAAAGGTCATTCTCATCTGGGTGACGACTGTCGCTGCGGCGTTGTTTCCGGGTTTCCATAATCCTGCAATCACAACGTTCTTCCCGGCGATACTACCAAGATTGTAAACGTTATGATCGCTAGGCGGCTGAGGAAGGCCCTCGTGCTCTTCATCAAGCATCTCCAACGCAGCAATCAGTTCCACCTCCAACGGGCAAATCCATCCCACTGTGTAGTCCTCGTGAGTGAAACCCCCTTTCAAAGATGGTACATCTCCACAGAGGGTACTTTGGGCGTCTTCACGCATTGCTCCGTGCAGTCAGCGTATATATTCTTTTTTTTTTTTTTTTTGGCGTGGTCATGTAGCAAGTAGAATGTTGGGGATATCAGTCAGTTCAAGCCCTCCCAAACTGCCGTTTGGCTTTTTGGTGGAATAGCTAAGATATATTACCTGCAACTTGCAGAGTACTCAACAGCAGTGTATATCCTGTCGGGGGCGTTCAATATTCTCTTCAGGAAGACCGAGTGAATTCTGCGAAGGTGGAGCCTGAAGACGTTCCGCGAGGCTGAAGCACGGGGATAAGGCGCTGGCGCAAAAGGAATATATATGAGCCAATGGTGGACTAGACACGGCCGTGCTGCGCTAGACCCCGCGTGCATGACCCCTGTGTAGAAAGGACCGACGAAAAAAGTTCTAAAAATGATTAAATCCAGACTAAAGTAGTTGCGAAAGGTTGCAAAATGATTGAGATACAAACAGTCAAATGTGTGAGAAAGGACGCTGCAGGTCAGCTGACATGCCAGCAGATTGCAGTCACTTCCAAAAAGGGCAGGGACCAGGGACCAGGGACCTGGGTGCTCCTAACAGTTTGTATAGTAGGTAGCTCCATTGAGTATACTAGATACATTTGATGTCTGTTTTGGAAACAATGGTCAACTCCTAGTATAGGTCGATTCGAATTCTGTAGCACTGTGTGGATGGAGAAATTGTTGTATAGTGCAAATAATACATAGCACATGAAGGACTTGCGTCGCGAATCTATATCGTCTAGCTGGTAATTCAAGTAAGAGTGTTCAATCCAATCCAATCCGATCCAATCCGTAATGACACCACATGTTATAAAACAGATAAAACCCACGCCTGATGCGGTTCCCCGTCCCTGTCCTTGTTTCTATGTATATGCTAGACCGTGTCTCTATATAGCAGTGTTGATGCGAGATAGATGATATAGCCATGGACTAATGAAAAGAAAAGAATGCAACCAGTCATGCAGATCACCCAACCGAGACATAAATGGAAAGAAAAGATTATATAATGATCGTTCGGAGACGCCAGGAATCTTGGTATCGAAGAGGACAAGAAAAAGATAAGAGAATCATGAACAAATTCAAAGACGGGATTCACGACCCCCTGCCTTCGGCCCCGTCAAGGACTCATCCACCGCGACGATGGCGATGACACAAATGTCGTCGATCTTGCCCCCGCGGTAGTAGTCGCCCGGGTAGTAGCGCTGGGCTTCCTTGGCGAAGGGCCCATCCCGGCGGATATCCACGCTGGCCAGTTTGGCCTCGCCGGCGATGCTGGAGGCGAGGAACGACTGGAGCGTGTAGGGCTGGTCACCCATGGGGCTGGGCGCACCGGCCGGCAGCAGCGAGCTGAGCCCAACCGGCCCCGTCAGCTGGTCGAGTTGGTCGGAGGGCCGGATGCCCATTTCCGGGGTGGCGTCCCAGGCCCCCGTCAGCACCATGCGGCTGGTGACCAGCTTCAGGATATCCTGGTTGTTGAGGTTGTCGTAGACGCCGTCGGTGGCCAGCATCAGCACATCGCCGTGCTGCATCTGCAGCGAGGTGACGGCGGCGTCGCGCGGGAAGTCCTCGAGGAAGGCCCCGCCGAAGATGGAGGCCTGCGCCCGCATACGCGGCGGGATGATGCTGAGCTGGTACGGTGTGTTGAAACCGTGCGTCTGCGGCGCCGAGTAGTGGTGGACGGCCGCCAAACGCAGCAGCACGGAGCCCGAATCGCCTAGATTGGCTAGCTCCACCCGGCCGTCCTCTAGGCCCACGCCGACGGAGGCCGTGCTGCCCCCCGCGCGGACGGTCTTGTCGGCGACGACCCGATCGTAACCGGCCTGGAGTAGCTGCTTTGCGCGCAACTGCTCGACAGGAGCATCCCATTCCAGCGCTGACTCGGCCATGTAGTTGCACAAAGCGTGCGAGAAATCGGCCGGATCGACGCGGGACTCGGACCACCCCCCGACACCATCCGCCACGGCGAAGGCCACGGCCCCCTGCTTCTCGGGGGTGTGTCCGACTCGGCTGACGAAGAAGGCATCCTCACCACTGTCCGGTCGCCGTTTCCGCCGCAGAGCCGGGTCCGTCACATCCGGCGCCACTCCCAGCGCATCCTGGCGATCGGGGAAGAAGTTGTATGCATTCTTGGCGGGGACGAAGGGACGGCCTTTGCCGGAGGAGGACGCCGCGACCCGGTAGGAAATCCGCGAGGGCGCAGACGAATCACGCGACGGAGTAGAATGAAAGGCGCGATGGGACGAAGTCGAAGAGGACGTCGAGAGCAGGAACCGGCGTCGAGCGGAAGAGGCGGAGGGGCGACAAGGGGACGATCCTAAGAAAAACCCGGATAACTCGCCCACCAGGGAAGAGACGCTACTGCCGGCATGACCGCAGGCTCTGGAAGGGGGCGCCAAATGGATCATCAGCAGGACGAGCGAGGTTGTGTTGTGGTTGTGTGGAAATCGCGGTGACCGTCTTAAACCGATCCTTATCTGATCGCCCTCGAACCGACAAGATAGAGATAGAGGGGGGAGTTTACAGGAAGACAATCCCAGCAACCAAATGAGAGTGGAGAAGAAGAGAAAGGATCCAATATAGGAGGAAGAGAAGTTGAAAAAGGGAAAGAAGGGTGAGGAGTGAGAGAGGAAGAAGAGAAGAAGAAGAAGAAGAAGATAGAGAGATAGAAAGATGAGAAAAAAAGGATCGGAGCGACTGACCGCCTTGGGTTATCAATCACTTTATCGAGATTTTTCTTCTGTTTCATTTCAATTGATCGAGAGATGGGAATAAATTCATTTCTATTTATATATTTGTAATAAATTATTGATTTATTATTTATCAATAAATCGAACCAAATACACCGTCCGTGGGGCGTCTATATAGTGCTTCTCTCCTCCGGAGCTTTATCAGGATCAACTTCCGCTCTACGGATCTCTTCCTTCATTTTCTCTTTCTACGAATTCATCTAACTCCATCTCCTTCCAACCCCAACAACTCCCCACTTTTGACCCTCTTTGGATTGGCATTGCTATTGTTTTGGGTCTCACCACCAGTGCGCTTATTATTCACCGAATTATCCGTCTTCTTCCCCTGCGAGGGGCGTGATTCGCCATTATGATGCACCCCTCCAGACAGGCCTATGTCGAGGAGGCTGAGGTATGCTGACCTTCTCGCATCATTGATTTGATCGCATTTTCAAAAGACACCGTCTAGTGCTTATGCATCCCGCAACTGACCTTGTATGCGGCGATTACTCTAGGACACCGACATGGGAATTGATCTAGCCAATATACGTAAGCAATCCATCCGCGGGAGTGATCTTGAAGTACACTCCAATCTGACAGTCCCTCCCTTCTAGCCGTCGATCATGATTATGACCTTCCTTCTTCCGCCGCCGGCATCCCCGCCGCGAGGGCCTCGGCCATCCTGTCCCAGTTCGAGCGCAAACGACGAGCCGCCGCCATGGCGGTGCCCACCGACGATAGCCGAGTGCGAGCCCGCCTGCGCGAGCTCGGGGAACCCATCACGTTGTTTGGGGAAGGCCCAGGAGACCGAAGAGACCGACTACGCGAGCTCTTGACCGACCTGGCGGAGCGACAGGATGCGGCGGATGCCGATGTCGAGATGCGCGAATCGACCACCGAGCTGGGCGCGGAGGAAGAGGATGAAGGCGAGCAGCAGGAGGAGTTCTACACGGAGGGATCCGATGCTCTTCTCAACGCTCGGAAAGAGATCGCGCGTTTCTCTCTTCCGCGCGCAAAGGCCCGCGTGGCCCGCCAACGCGACGAATCCACGATCCCTCTCCGCACGCACATTAAGCATCGCAAGGCTATCAAAGAGAAGCTGCAGGGTTTCGACCTCTACGGGTCCCAGATCGCCGGCGATCGCCCCGTCAGTATCTGCCGATTCGCACCCGACGGCCAGACCATCGCTACGGGCAACTGGGGCGGTGGTATCAGCCTGCTCACCGTGCCCAACCTCGAGGAGAAGCGGTCCTTCAAAGGCCACGCAGATCGCGTGGGGGGTCTGGCTTGGTACCCCGGGGCCACACTGCCCACCTCCAACGTGTCAGAGTCGTCGGTCAACTTGGTGTCCGGCGGCGGCGAGGGAGACGTGGCTTTGTGGTCGCTGGACCAGGACCAGCCGTTGGCGACGCTCCCCGGGCACAGCGGCCGGGTGTGCCGCACCGAGTTCCACCCGTCGGGTCGCTATCTCGCGTCCGCCTCATACGACACCACCTGGCGGCTATGGGATGTCGAGACGTCGCGCGAGTTGCAGCTCCAGGAAGGTCACTCGCGCGAGGTCTACACGGTGGCCTTCAACGAGGACGGATCGCTCCTAGCGAGTGGAGGCCTGGACAGTATTGGTCGCATTTGGGATCTGCGCACCGGCCGCACCGTCATGATCCTTGAGGGCCACATCCGGGAGATCTACGGTCTCGACTGGGGGGTGGACGGCTACCGCGTGCTGACCGGGTCCGGCGACGGCTGGGTCAAGTGCTGGGACCTGCGGCAGGTTCGGAACACGGGGGGCATCGGCGCCCACAAGAGCGTCGTGTCCGACCTGCGATGGTACAAGGGCGGGGAATCGTCATTCCTGCCGGCGGCCGAGGGCGCGTCCGGCCAGATGGAGGTCGACGGCGGCGCGGGCGACCCGCCGGCTGCTCCTGTGCAACCGAAGAAGTCGGGCACGTTCTTCGTGAGCAGTGGATTCGACAAGAATGTCAACGTTTTCAGTGCGGATGACTGGTCGCTCGTGAAGACCCTTAGTGGTCATTCGGGCAATGTGCTCAGTACGGATATCAGCAGTGATGCCCAGTGGATTGCGAGCTGCGGTCATGACCGGACAGTCAAGCTCTGGGGGATTGAATAATTAGCGAGTTGTCAGAACAATATAATATCCGACCCTCAACTATTTTCACCAGATTTGACCTGGAAGCCTGTGGTCTCGACAGGCTGGGCGTACAACGCGCGGTACCGCTCACACGTGCAGGTACCTCTCTTGCTCTTAATAACTGGGACGAAGGCTACTGTCGATACATGAATCCCAATGGCTGAGACCGACCCCAACAGATGGAGCATGGATGTACGATCAAGAAAGCCGCCTTGAAGATGCATGAACTGAGTTTCTATCCACCGTCAATCATGAGTTATAAAATTCTCAACATGCTATATACAATTGTGCCTGTAGAGCCTCCCTTCACTATCAGTGCCATCAGTGCCATCAGTCTTTGCCTTGTGTACCTCGATTTACTTGAAAATGACGTCACAGGCTACGGATTGCTGACTCATTCCACGTGACTTCTCCGGTATCTTTTATCGTTCTTCTTCGCCTTCATCTCCCTCACCATCTTACTGTATATACCACTAGCATTGCATTCACACGGAGACCTCGTCTAGAAACTAAATTTTACGACTTCTGTTCTGTATACAAATCTGCCATATTCCCGACTCTTCCACACACCCGACATGAGCTCTTCCATGCGCGCCCCGAGACTGCTCCAGCGGCTGTCCGTCCCGCGCCCAGCAGCCGGTCCTTCGCGGCCATTGCTGTCCAGAGCCTCCCAAGCCCGCCAGACATGCTGTACACTCTGCCAATTCCGATCGCAGACCTCTCCTCGCCACTACACAACGATGTACCAACAAACGCGACGCCTAACCACCACCGCACCCACCGCATCCCCCGCACAAAACACCAACACCAAAGAAGACATCCACGCAACCACATCCACCCCCACCCCCGACATAACAAACTACTACACAATGTTCCCGAACACCATTCCATCCGGCCCACCCCCCGCCTCCCCCTTCGCGATCCCCATCGCCGACCTCCGCCGCGAATTCCTCAGCCTCCAAAACGTAATCCACCCCGACAAATACCCGCAAGGCGCCGAGAAGCAGCGCGCAGAGGCCCTCTCAGCGCGCACCAACGAAGCCTTCCGCACGCTGGCGGACCCGCTCTCGCGCGCGCAGTACCTCCTGCGCGAGATGCACGGCATCGACGTCACTGCTGAGGACGGCGCGTCGAAGCATGCGCTTGATCCTGAGACGCTGATGGAGGTGATGGAGGTGCAGGAGACGATTGAGGAGGTGGGGACGGCGCCTGATGCGGAGGGGACGATTGTGCAGATGAAGAAGGAGAATGATGAGCGGGTGAGGGATTGTGTGGAGGCGCTTGGGGAGGCGTTTGATAGGGGCGATGTGGAGACTGCGAGGAAGGAGTGTGTGCGGTTGCGGTTTTGGTATAGTGTTGGGCAGGGATTGCATGAGTGGGAGCCGGGGATGACGGAGATTAGACTCGTTCATTAGGTTTGATGTGGTAGTTTTGGATAATGTGGTTGTTTAGATGGGGTGCATGTATAGATTAGGATGTTGGATTTTGCATGTATGTATGACTTCTTTCTCTTACAATGTAGTCAATATAGAGCGTGCAGTCATTATACCGTTGTCCTTGGCAGTCAATGATACCTCAGGCCTCTCACTCACATTTGGTCAACATCTAGCACTCATAATCCACCCCCAATCGTCCAATGCAGCCATGAGACACCATGAGACACCATGTGCTAAAGGAACTTACTACTAATATATCAAGGCAAACCCTTTCATCCCATAAAACTATTCTCATAGTCTAAAGCATCATATCATTCTTATCCAGCGCAGTATAAGAATTGGAACGTCGTGGTATACAGTCCGATATCTGGCCATTCACGTGACCAAACAGCGGGTGAGCATTGATTGGCCCCACCCAGACACAGCGGGCAGATCGGTGGGGCATCACTCCTCAGGCTCCATCTATATCCTCGGTGTATAAGTATAACCCATCCTGTCCCAAGAAGAACGAAATAGGGCGTTTACAAAGCCCAAAGTATCATCAGATACGTCATTGAAGTGGCTATCCTATTGTGTACATCCTACATAATCTGACGTTTTCAATCTTTAGGTATATATTCCATTAAAATCTGGATGTTAATGCCAACGCGGGGTGTACTATCTACAGCCGACAACATGCGCATACATACATACCTAGTCAGCAGGGAAAAGCCCAAAATCTCGCCGTAAATAGGGCTACACAAGAAGTAAAACATCTTTCTGACAATTACATGAACTAGTTTATTCATAGTCACACCCCTATATTAGGATTAGGACGGTTGGACGGTTGGGAAATAAACAGCCACGTGGGATAGTTCTTTATAGATATTTAATGCTTGCTTGGGAGTGATGATTCTATTAGATTGGGACGATCGATTGGATTGCTTTGTTTTTGGATTGTTTGGTTATCTTTCTTTTTGGGCATATTGGATTTGGAACACCTTGTATAATAGGGCAGGGCTATAATTACTGCGTAGGGATTTCCGATATCTATATATATAATGTTGTTTGGCTTGATGGTTACTTTTACTGGACTGTACAGATCACTGGTAAACTGGTGGCTGTACGAAGATTTTATTGTTATTATTGATTATATATATATATTGAAATAGTACTACTTTATATAGATTATATATATTATGGCAGTAATAGGATGAATGATGGAATCATCACACCTTAAGATACTACCATATGCAGGGGTCGACAGTTCTTCACCCACACTACCTCGAACCGACTCAACGTGGACTCATTTCCTCTCCATCAGCATTTTTACCATGTTTGACAGAAGCAAACTGACCGCTCCGTCTACCGATAGGACAAGACCGTTGGGTTGGCAAAGAGGGCGGGAATAAAATCCATCGGGCAACAATCCTAGTAGCCACCTATAAGGTTGGGCAGTACGGTGGAGACCCCTGACCAACCGCCCTAACAAATAAGAAAAAATAAGAGAAAGCTGCACCTTTGGCCCCCGCAGTGGCTCGCTCGCGTGAGGGAGCTTTGCATCTTGGCTGGTCGATGATGAGCTGTCCAGTGAGTGGCATGGCCTATGGTGTGTTTTTCTTGGGGGGATATCCTGCCCCGGCCCCACTAAGCATCTGCCAGCACTTCCTTCGAGTCTTTTCCCCAAGTTTGGTATGTCGACCTTCTATCGACTCTGCAGTTGCACATACATGCGTTGAATAAGAAAAAATCCATCAATCAAAGTAATTGCACGGATCGTTGATCGAGGCAATCTCCGAGGTCACCCGGTGGCTGGGGTTGCTGTTTTCTTTCTTTCATGCTCTTTGGGTGAGGGTGATAAGCACGACCAACCTGTTGGCATCGTCACAAAAAAGCTAGCGGTCAACTCGCTTCAACCCCATCATGGATGCACACGTAGCACACTATCGTGACCCCATTAGGGGGTCGGCTTTCGCGCTTGGAATAGCTAAGGCTCGGTCCGTCATTCCAGGAAGGGGGATAAGAGGACACTGCGCTGTGCTGGACTTCCAGGGGGTGGGGCGCAAGATTGATGTTTAGAAAGATTCTAGTCCTATCTCTGAATATATCAGTACAAAGTAGACATTTTTCAGTTTCGATATTTTTGCAATTTCACGCTTTTGCCTTCCTCTTCTTTATCATACCTTGGGCGATAGCCTGAGGCGAGCACAGTGACAGCCAATGGCGACCGGTCGAGATTACCGAAGGTGAGCTTTTTCTCTCTCTGTCATTATAATTCTTCTCTTTTTTTTTCAATCTTGTTTTTCTGCCTTCTTTTTCTTCTTTTTCTTTTTCTTTTTCTTTTCTCTTGTTTCCTTTTGACTCGCTGGCGGCCGTGGTTGTCGCGGTTATCGTGGCTCTGAGACCGTGCCCGCGACACCCATTGCACTGCAATGAGTGCCGAATTAAAATCACAATATCGACCTCGACGGTGTTGTCACTGACGCATCGAGTAATGCCTTCGTGGATACAGCATCGTCTATTCGCCGCCGTTTACCTTCTTGGTCGGTCCCCAACACACTAAGCTCACAGTCCAGTCGGGTCTCGCTCAGCATGTCTCCGAACCATTGGACCATTTGATGAATGGCCAGACCCGTGAGTCCAAGCACCATATCGCCGTCCTGGAGGAAGAGGATGTCGAGACCTTTGTGGCCTTTTGCGAGTACGCCTACACGGGCGACTATACCGTGCCGCCACCCGGGTCTCGCGAGGAGGAGCAGGAGATCCCTGTGGTCAGCAACCCCTTCGACAGTCACACGGGTGTGCCTCCCTTCGTGCCGTCGCCCCCAAACTCGGGCGGCTTCTCTGACAGAGGACGGGATGACTGGGCCGGTGAAGAGTTTGATCCTGGCCAATATCCGCAGACCGTTGAGGCAGAGGCAACAACAGGCCAGTATGGCTTGACGACCGAAAATCCTGAAGCGACAGGCGAGGCGCCAGAAGACCCGGCGACTGCGACAGTAGAGTCCGCCGAGCAGCAACACCCAACTGCAGAGAGTGACCCGCGGGACTTGAATGACGATGCGTGGGCCCCCCAAAACCAGATCAAGACAAGCAAAAAGAACAAGAAAAACAAGAAGAAGCAGAAGGGTGGTGCATCAGCGGAAGATCCCGGCTCGAATTTGACGCCCCCCACCACGCCGCCCCCCGAGAAACCGCAGGAGGGATTTGAGGGCCAACCCCCCACTGCTGAAACCGCCGAAGTATCAGACGAATGGGAACGATTGACGGGGGCACCTGGTACCGCTGATCCCGAGGATTCTGCACAACCCACCGACGCAGCTGCACCGGAGGACCTCGAGCAGCCCGCACCCATACCGCCAGAAGATGATACCGCTGCGCACCCCCAACAAGTGGGGGATGAAGGTGAGTGGAACGAGCAGACCCAAGAGGAGACAGGTAGGGATGTGGATGGGCCCACCGGACCCCCAACGAGGTCCTTCATCGACTCGTCTTTCGTCAGACAAGATTTCTCCAACCGACACGAGACGGGTATCAGTCTCTGGGATGAGTTTGCAACCATCGACTACGTTGATCCCCGCAAGTTCAGCACGAGACCGCCGAGCTCATTCTCTGGCCACCTCCAGCCGAGCGGATCGGACCTCCCGTACCTCTTGTTCCACGCCAAGCTCTACGTCTTTGCAACGCGATATCTGATCCCTGCGCTGGCGCAGTTGTGCCTCCGGAAGCTGCATCGAGACCTTGTGCACCTCGGATTCCCCGAATCTGCCACCGATAGGTCCGACCCGGAGCAGATGATTCTGACCAACACCAAGGCTCGCATGGTGCTCGACCTCCTCCACTATGCATACACCAAGACGACCCGGCTCGAGCCGATATCGCCCACCTCGGCCACTCAGCTGCGGTACAACGAGCTGCGAAGGCTGGTCATTCATTACGCCGCCTGTAAAGTGCGGGACCTTGCGGAGTTTTGTCCTCCCTTGGAAAGAGAGGTGGGTTATACGTGGACTGGCTTTGAAAAGCCCTCTGCGCGGGGCCTACGTGGGCTCCTGGACACCACGACGGAGCTAGCGTCAGATTTGGTGTACCGGATGATGTGAAGGACTTGGTGGTTTCTCGCCGCTCCTTTTTCTGTTTCCCTCCGTCCATTTCTTCATTTCCCTTTTTTGCACGTCGATTCTTCCTCTCCCAATCCTTGCTGTCCTTCTCCTTCCTCATTGGGCGATTTTTTTTTTCCGTGACGGTTTTGATACTTCCGCCCCCTGCATGTATATTCAACCTCGTACAGAGCGATCACATAGCACCTGCATATATATATGCATGGCCAGGTGTACGGAGTAAATGAAAACATGGCTTAGAGACTACCAGAGGCATGTAATCTTACCCAAGCATAGGAGACCTGGTGGCGGATGGAAGGATAGACGATTTTCGGGTATGCCTGGGGCGGATTTTCTTGCGTGCTCCATTGTGAAACTCTGATTTGCCAAAGGAGCGCCGCGGGGGAATCTTTAAATGTTAGTGCTTGCAGTAAAACCTGGCAGGGCCAATTGAAATTTTCATCATGCGCAGCGTGACATGGATTAGGTTGGCCTAGGGGACGATCATCTCGGTTCTGAGGTTTTCGAACTTCTTCACCTGCCCCACGTCTGCATGCAAGACCCGTCTAACCTGCCATAGAGACACCTTCCCAAATAAGGTACTGTTGTTGTAGCCTTGTAGCTGAGACTGGGTCGTCTGTAGTATGATCCCATGTTGGATACGATCATCACGTAGAGTTCATCGTCGCTCGCCCGACTGCCTTCTAGGCCCACGGACCAGCAAATGACGCAATAACCGCGAAACCCGGTCTCTCCACCTGGCCAGCATGGGTTTGCAAAAAGCGAAGCGGAAAAGAGGGTAGGCCTAACCGCCATTCGCGACAGGGGAGATTGAAAATTATCATCCCAGCTTGCAGATGTCTAGAACTTGCTCGATGCATTCGTGATGAGAGAGCGTGGGATGTTGAGAGGAGAACGTGTGAGAAAGTGAATGATGAAACAATTGGTGTACCCTAATCTCCGACTCAACTCGGGTTCACATGCACATTATCCTATGTTCAAACCAAGCTTGATCCACAGGGTAGAAACGGGCCCTGAAACTGTCGTTGTGGTGTTCCGTCCAATTCATTGACAGTCCTGCCGGAGATGAAGCAAAAAAGAATGCCCAGATAGGACACAGCCGAGCGATTTCGCCAAGTCAGATCACATCATTGACAAGGAACGAAAACAGGGTGGGTATGGGTAGGTGTTGAGATAGGACCTGGGAGAGGGAATGACGAGGTCGAATCTTCCGTGATTCGGAGCCAAGAGAGACTCTTAGCCTTGGCATATGTATACCTGTGGGACGACAGCTATTCATAGATGGATGGTGGCAAGGGCATGATAAGAACTGCAGGTTAGCGGACTGGCGGTATGAGAAAGTGGCGAAGTGCAGAGTGGCAGAGTAAACAGAAAGAGCTGAACATGAGATCGCAAGTTATTCATGATGCCTAGAATAAGGCCTGTTGGAGCGAGAAGTGATGCCATCCGCAAGCCACCCGTGATCCACAAATTACTAGTATGAATGGCCCTCGGGTGAAATGGGGCACGATAAGGCTCTTGGAATGGAGATGCCTGGAACCTTTGAATGCGAATTAGAATCAGTGAAGTCTCCCGGGCGAGAAAATGGAGATCCTGGAAGTCTTGGAAGTCTTGGTAAACATGGTGTTGTTGATTTTGGGCTGCAATGTAGAGAACGTCGATCCACTATCACCTCACACAGCCCATCTTGGCAGACGTTTTATATATAGATCAGATCACATTCGGGGATGAACTTCCAACATAGGTCATTGAGTCAGTAGGCAGACCACGTAGGGAATCGGGCGTGTATCCCAACAAATGAGAGAGTGAGGTTTACGAAAAGTGGAGAGAGGAGGGAAGAAAAGGGGAAGAGAAGAAGAGACAAAGAGAAGTAGAGATAAGAGAACAGTTATGTCACACATTGTGCATCCATTATTCATCATGGATAATTCCATGTTTTTTTTTCTATCTCCTTTTCGATTCAACTTCAACTTCATCTTCAACTTCATCTTCTTCTCTCCGTCCTCTCCCTCACTTCCGTCCCTTCCATCTGATCCATCTCTTCCGCTTTTCCCGCTTCTTCGAATCCCCTCACCTCCTTTTCCTTTTCATCGCCCCTTTTACTTTTTCTCCTTATCAGTAAACAATCACAGCCACTCGCCGTAAAGCTTGGCAGTGGACCTTCCCGTGGATGATGCGTCGTCGATCTCCCTCTTGGCGGCCTGTTGTTGGATTAAACGGCATGGGCTTTTCCACGCACGTTGCACGTCCTCCGACTGGCTCGTACCTGATTAGCTTTTTAGAGCCTAACCCTGCTCCCGTGGACCCACACTGGCTGACCCATCATCAACCCGGCATTTCTTGTCCTTGATTCCTCTTGAAACCAAGACTTCGGGCCGATATGGGTACCCGCCGACTTCCACCCTTTCAAAGGGGCCCGGCCTGGAGGTTCTTGGCGATGGCGATAGTGCCGGCTGGGAAGGAATCGGGCTAAAGTCTGGAAGGAAAACATGATTCCCAACTTGAGGTGTTCCCGGAATGCATTGAACTTGGTGATATGGGAGGACCAGTTTCGATCTGGCTGATCGGACTGGTCAATGAGTCGATGACTGGAAGACCCTCGGGGAAATTTTTGACAGCATCGTAGCCACAAGGTTCTTAGGGCAACCCAATCACTTTGCCCCTAATGACCACCCTGAATCCTGTGCAAGGCATCTGGACTACGGTGGATGATAGCTGTCGTGGTCCCGACCCACCACAGGCTCCAGAATTACCACCCATGGCTTGGCAGATGTTGTCTGGCGTCGCCATCGTGAAGATCATGAACTATCTCGACTCTGTCTGAGAGTTGCCCCTAGGCATCGTCACCTCACTAACGACTGCCGAGAAATGATCCACCGCATCCTCTCACCCCCCGTGGATCCCTGGTCTCTGATGTCTTCCTGATGTTCCCGCCCCCTGTGGGATTGTTGACCCTCTTCAGCGACAATCAGAGTTTCGTATGCAAGTCGCATAATGTCTAAGCCAACCATGGCTGATGTGTGGCTCTTGGCGCGTCCACTAGAATCTCGACTAGTGACGATGGATATCAAGGAATAGGACAGGCTCTTGTGCAACATTTGCCCCCTACACTCCGATCCATGCGCGTGGGGGTTTGTGTCAGAGTGCATATATTGACGATGCCCACCACTCTGCAGCTATCTTCTAGTCGATAGATCTCAATTGGATTCCATTGGCTTCGTCTGTGCTCGACCCGCCTCGACTGTTTGGTCTTACTTTGCTTCTCATCCTCTCATAGTTTCACGTTTTTCTTTTGACTGTTGCCCTATATTCGTGTTGCCCACTTTTTATTTGACTTTCGTTGAACTTCTTATCATTACTCTGATACCTGGTTTCAAATTGATCGAGCTGCAGGAGATCTGTCGCTTATCGTTTTCTTGTTTTGTTTTGGCACCACCGTTTTGCATCCACTTCGGAGGTATACGGCACATATCATTCTTTTCCAGTGGTGGATCGCTATTCTAGCACCGCACACTTCATCTTCATCTGTCTCCTGGGGCTGTTATCCATCGATATATAAATTTCCTACTTTCTTTCGTCCATCATGTTCTATTCTCACCCCACCCCCCAGCCAAGTCCTTTACCAAGCCCTATACCAAGCCCTTGTCCCAGTCCTACCCCAACCATACACTGCAGCCCGGCTACCAGCCCTCACAACGCCTTGTTTCCTCACAACGCCATGTTTGAAAGCCAACAGGTTCCTCCCATGTCTTCCCATTCAGGTGACGGCATGCTCGATCATGACCTGGAGAAGAAGCCCATGCATGTGGACTTTCGGGAGCGGCTGCGGCATTTCACCTGGGCCTGGTACACCCTCACAATGAGCGGCGGTGGGTTGGCAGTGCTTCTGGCCGTCCAGCCCAACACGTTCCCAGGGTTGCGGGAGATTGGACTGGCTGTCTTCATCATCAACCTCTTCTTCTTCGTTGTACTTTGTTCGGCAATGGTCGCCCGATTCGTCATCCACGGCAACCTCCTCGACTCCCTCCGCCACGAACGCGAAGGGCTTTTCTTCGGTCCATTCTGGCTCTCAGTCGCCACCATCATCTGCGGACTATACCGGTACTTTGGGGAGGACGCTGGGGAATCCTTCACCCTCCTCCTCCAGGTCCTCTTCTGGCTCTACTGCGCTTGCACCTTGCTCACGGCCATCATCCAATATTCGTTTGTCTTCTCCTCCCACCGCTACCGCCTCCAAACCATGATGCCCTCGTGGGTCCTACCGGCCTTCCCTATCATGCTGAGCGGCACCATCGCCTCCGTCATCGCCGAGAACCAGCCTCCGAGCTCCGCCATCACTATAATCGTCGCAGGCATCACCTTCCAGGGCCTCGGCTTCTCTATCTCCTTCATGATGTACGCCCACTACATCGGCCGGCTGATGGAATCGGGCCTCCCCTGCCGGGAGCACCGACCGGCCATGTTCATCTGCGCCGGGCCCCCGGCCTTCACGGCGCTCGCTCTCGTCGGCATGGCCCAGGGACTGCCGGAGAACTTCCGCCTGCTGGGCGACGAGAATGCCCTTGTCGAGGGTCACATCCTCGAGCTGCTGGCCATCGCATCGGGCGTCTTCCTCTGGGCCCTGAGCCTCTGGTTCTTCTGCATTGCCCTGATCGCCGTCGTCCGCAGCCCGCCTACAGCCTTCCACCTCAGCTGGTGGGCCATGGTCTTCCCCAACACAGGCTTCACTCTGGCTACCATCACCCTGGGCAAGGCGTTGAACAGCCAGGCGGTCCTGGGCGTCTCCTCCGCCATGTCCGTCTGCATCGTGGGCATGTATCTCTTTGTGCTTTTCTGCAACGTCCGCGCTGTCATCCGCAAGGAGATTATGTGGCCTGGCAAGGACGAGGATGTTTCCGATTAAATTACCACGTTTTCCCGTTAGGAGGTCATGTTACCTCCACCCCCATTCACCTTCCTTTACACCTTTCTCCTCGATCATATACCACTGCGCTCACTTGTCCCTTTCTTTTTGTTCTAAATTGCGTGATTGATTTGATATGATGTTTTGTCCGGTTCTATAGACTGATTATTTGGTGCACATTGGCATGGCGTTCGGGATACCATACAGCGTTTGAACATTGGCACTCTGCTTGTTATTACGTGTTTTCTCTGCTGTTCTATCCCATCTCGGCTTGCATCTCACTGTTACTTGGCATACCCCTAATTGTTTCTTTGTCTTTGTCTTCGTCCTTTTTTGGCATTGCATCCATCCAGACTGGCATTTTGTTCTGAGAGTACTACGTTAAAAGTGATTTTTTTATTCAATTGACATTTCATTTATTTAAAAAACAATCTTCTATTCATCCAGTAGATTTGAAGCATAAATTGAAAATAATCACTACACGGCCACACAAGATATTTTGACACTTTCGTGCTTCGTGAGTAACCAACCATACATTGGGACATCATATAAACAATAGAGACCTCTTTCTCATAAGCCACTTCATTACCCCTACCTCCTGCACAGTATACAGCTCCTACTCCTTCGTCAGTATGATAATACCCAATACATAATAGATATACATAACAAATATCAAACAAAGAAAAGATAAGAAGAAAAAAAAAGCACCACCCAACTAGCGCCCCCATCCCCCCCTCCCCCCTTTTTACCCCAGGCCCATCCGATCTACTACCCAGAATCGGTACGGAGTACGGAGTACACACCCCATAGCAATAAGTAGAGTCCTAGACAAGATAGGCATCCCCCTTGTAGATCAGATCGCAGTCCCGTCCTTTTTTTGGGGGGGGGGGTGATAGATGATAGACGCAGCGGAACCACGCCAAGAAGCCAAGAAGCCAAGAGTCACGTCTCCGTTCCGTCTTGCCTTCTTTTGTTTGTGTTCTTATCTATGCCGCTGGGAAGTGGGGGCTGGGGAGGAAGAGCGGGCTTCGTTTGTTTAGGGTGGGTGGGTGGATCTGTCCCGCTCGCTATTTGTTTTGGATGTTGGTGGGATTTTTGTGTCTCTTTCTTCATCTTTTTTTTTTTTTTTTTTTTCTTTTCTTTCTTTTCTTTCTCTTTCTGCGAATGAAGCTTAGGCGACTGGGTTGTTGTTGGTACTTGGGTCTAGTTATGTATTTATTCATTCTTACTCCCCTGGGTTGTTCAAGTGTCCTTACTCTCGAATGGACCATATCTATGCATGATAGCCAAAACAAAGTACTTTAATTATCATTATCAAGGAATAGGTCAAATTATAGTCTGGGGTACCGTGCAAGGCAACCAAACCAAATCAAATAGAACAGATAGGTTAAATTAGCGCATCTACTACGCACACACTATCCATATCCATATCCATACCCACTCAGATCGGCAATCGTCCACCATTTTTGATTCTGGGTCTGGGGTTTCTGAATTTGTCATGCGTTACGCATGCACACACACGTAGCCCACATCGACGATAGTATGAGATCATGTCCGTGGGGAACACGGGACTGGAGTGGGCTTGGCTATCATTCTTGTGGATTGATGAATAGTAGTTAGGTTGTATCCACTGTGTTCCGCTCCCCACGGGACTCCTCCTCTCCCCCGCACGCGGCACGGTGTGTGTACCGCATGGTGGATGGTTGGCATTGGCATTACCGTGCCCTAGACGACGGACTACCTCGTCTCGTCTCGTGTTCACGACGACGACGTAGGTGTTCATTTTTTATCCTCGCGGAGTTGTGCACCTTCTAGGATACTGTTAGACACTATCTTTCCATTCGTATAGAGAATGAAATGGGGAGGCTTACATGTTTGTCCCGCTTGCTGTTGCAGAACATTTGTTTTTAGCCAGCCTAGAAACGGATCATTTGGTTAGTTCGGTAAGGTAGAGGGATTGGATGAACGTACAGGCTCTGTCGCGCTACTGGGCTGGTCACTGCACAGCTATGGTGTTTTTTTCGGGGGTGGTTTACATAGGGTGTCTGTTGATTTGTTGTATTAGTATTAATTTGTTTGACCCGAATGGAGGGCGTGGTGTCACATACGTTCCCAATAAAATATCTCCCGCTTTGCTGCGTGGATGTGGCTTTTGGTGTTTTTAGCCAGCCTGTTGGATTGAAGTAAGAAATCGTGTTATGCCCATATTGATAGGTGGATATACTTACAAGCTCTGTCACTTACTGGGCTGACCACGATGCAGCTGCTCGAACAGGGCTCTTGTGTGGTAAGATTCAAGGAACCCTGTTCTGGGAGTGGGATGCGAGGTGTCCGTCATCTAGGACTGTACATGCCAAGCAATGACAGTTTCGAATATTCTTGGAAAGGTAGAGATGGAAGATTCAGCAGCAAGAGCACGTCCTAAGAGGACTAGCCGACGGGCGGGCAATCATTCTTTATCCAGCCTGAGATGGATGGTCAGCACATGTTAGGGCTGCGAGGGACCAGCGTGGCTTACAAGCTCTGTCACTTACTGGGCCGGCCCGCGGTGCCTGGCAGATGCTCTTGCTGGAAAAAGTAGTATAGAATATAAGTCTGGCCAAGATCATAGTGATCAAGCAAGTCTAGGTCTGATGGGCCCGCTGGAAGATGAAGTCTGCACCGTTGCCCTAACCAGCGGATTAGGACAACGGCGGAGGGTAGACAGGATCTACCCATCGATGTATGGTCACTTCTCATGAGATATGAACACCTGCGGACCAGACTACCCGTTAGTTGATTCTAAGACAGGGGGAGACCTACCGTTTGGGGGACGTCTACGGAGTGTCGCATTCGGCCGATGGAGTCGATCTGTTGGGTGATCATCATCAGCGCATCGTGGTGATTTCAGATAGAGCTTACAAGAACGCTGTTCCGGGAGAGATACTTAAAAGATCGACAGATAGGGAGAGGGACATCGGATGCAAAGAACCGACAGGGGATTGCGAGTAGACGAAAGAAGCGGCCAGAGGGGGTGAAGCGTACATTTTAGAGCAGGCGAGACGGATCGAGCAGTGGGGATATACTTTCAGCGGACAGATGGTCAATTAGGTTCACTCGAGGGATTGACTGGACTGACACGGGGTCCATGGTCCATATCGAGGTCATCACCATTACATCGGGGACACCGACTACTACTTAGCAAACGGACAGCATTTCTCCTTTGCGGGTCAAGCGATCAAATGGGAAGAGAAAGAAGAAGAAGAGAAGAAAGAAAGAAAGAAGAGGAGAACTCCCTTTGTATCATTCCATTCATGTAGACCCGTCAAATGCTGCAAGGGAAGAGAGACATACGTCCCAAGCTGGCGGCGGTATCATATCCTGCAGCAATCAACAGCCACGCGCTGGGAGTTACCAGAAGTCGGTAGCTAGCACTCTTCCAGTCTCACCCACCGTGTTGACTCCACCTCGGAATCAAGGGTAGTTGACAGCTGAACGACCGATCGATCGCATTTTGGGGCTTGCGACGATATCAAATATCCGGTTGGGACGATATCTCAATCCGAGGGAAGAAAGGAGAAGAAAGGCGAACATAGAAAGTAGGCAAGGTAGACAAGAACAGAGAAAGGAACGGAAGGAACTGTACTGGTTACATTTCTGGCGAGATTTATATACATCGAAAAAAGAAGAGAGAAAGAGAGAGAGAAAACAAGATCAAACCTGGAGAAGGAGGGTGGACTGTGATATTAATTTGATGGATGTTTAGACAGTGTGTTGGAGGATCATGATTGTGTGAAGATGAAGAAGAGAAGAAGAGAAGGAGAAGGAGAGAAAGAAAGGAAGAATGAAGAGAGAAAGAAGAAAGAGGGGTGACAACTCAACCGATTCCCCATAGGGCGATCCTAGCGGTGAACAGTACCTAGTACCTAGTGAGTCAGTCTATTTATCAGAATGATGATAATAATTATAAGGATCATAATTTGAAACAAGTGAATTTAACGCCAATCCTAAGATACATATAGACAAGGTGGGTATCATTTATTCAGCATTCCCCAATCAAACTGATTTCTATGGCTTCAACTCCAACAGAATCTGGGAATTCCTCTCTCATTCCCCTCATTCCTTTCTAGGATCCACGCAAGGATGGAAATCAACAGAATCAGAATGATAATGAGGAGAATGCAAGTTGGCGCTTGGCAGCCACGTGTGGGACCCAATCACGACCACCAGTTGGCAGTCAATGTGGTCCCAAATGCATCGGGCATCCACGCTGGGAATCTCTCCATCTCCAACCCATAAAAAGAACTGACGTGGTGTCATACTCGTCCAGCGTGACCGATTCCTTCATGGTCTTCTGGAGGGATATCTGCCACGTGCACGGTGGTGTGGGTGTTTCAACAACCTGAAACAGTTCTGTGACCCTCCTTCAAATCTCATGAAACAACCCATGAGAGATGGTTCCTGATGGCTGAGCTGAGCTGTCGCGGGCCGGAGAGTTGTAGATCGGTTTCCATCCATCCATCCTTCCATCGCCCAGTAACAAACTAAGCCACCTTACGCCCAACGTTGCCAATCCCGCGCCCGACCACACTGACGATGACGTCGCTCGTAGTGTTGTCGTCGCTGGCATCGCGAAGACCCCAGCCGGGACACCCAAACTTGGTCAGGTCGCGCGCCAACTGGATGACGCTCTCGTCGCCCACCACCTCTCGTCCCAGCTGCAGACGACCGACATCTTCCGTCCCCATCGTCATGAGTCCCAGCATCGTCGGCGCCGCGGCGGGTGCCACACACCCGCCCTTGGAGATGGTCTCCAGCAGCTGGTACGCGCACTGCTTGCCGATATCCTCGGGCGGCTGACCGCCCGACGGCGGGCACGCGACGTCCGCCGAGTACAGACAGCCGGTCGACGACTCGGCCACCAGCGACAGGCCGAATCCCAGACCAATCTTCTTCTTGGCAGCGGCGTTGGTCTTGTCGGGAGCGTCGACGAGCGGCGCGGACGACATGTCTGAAAAGACGTAGGTATCCGGCGACAGCGGGTTAAGGATGCCACGGGCAGTTTCGATCATCCGGGCATTGTTGGATCCCGACGTGCCGACCGAGTAGGCCACACCGCGGATGCGCTTGATCCGACCGGCGTTCAACATGTGTAGCGTCTTCGCGAGACGGACCTGATGCCCAAAGACCAGCTGCACCTCGCCGCCACCGCCCTTGCCGTTCGGGCCGGGGTTGGACCGCCGCAGCACGCGCAGCTCGATGTTGTTGAAGATGCCGAATTGGTTGTAGAGCGGGAGGATGGCGGTCCGCACGCTGTCGACCGACATGTCGCCCGTCGGGGTGGACGAGGTGATGACGCCGGGACCGCTGAAGAGGACTCGGATGGGCGCCTTGGAGAACGGAGCGAGAAGGCAGAGAGGGACGAGGAAGTAGCTGACGCCGCGCGAGCAGTTCGGCGGGAGCTGGTGGTGGATGACGCCGCCGCTGGCGCCATTGCCGGGCGCGCTGCCCGTGATCAGACCGGGCTTGAAGACCAGGATCGTACCGGTGTACGAGATCTCCATCTGCGAGCCATTGGTCACGCTCTCGATCAGACGGAGGAAAGAAATCTCATGCGGGGCCAGACCGGGATTGGTGGACGACGGGCGGATCTGGGAGATCTGGATGGTGCGGCCGGTCAGGACGGAAAACACCAGTCGCCAGACGAAATTCTTGTGCGAAGTGAACCGGACGGGGGGTTGGGAGGTCGCCATGGTGCGGTTCTCGATCGGAGTCGTGTAAATGGTGGTGAAACTGAACAAGAACAAGATCCAACTTCCGACGGAGAAAAGAGAGAAAAAAAAAAGTAGATCGAGAAAATCAACCGGGGCGGTGGATGATCCGCTCCGAGGGTGGTCCGCGCTTAAGCCCGGCGTATCTCCGGGTATGGGCCTGAGGAACCAACGATGTCAGAAGTAAATCATGAAGCATCATCAATCATTTCATCATTGTCGATCTTCTTGATTTTATCCATCTCTTCTCCATTCATATAGAGCTACCTACGCGATCTCCTTCATATCAGAAGAATCACAACTAGTCCACCCACTCAGCCAACATGCTTCCACCAGCATTAAACATCCCCAAATGGTACATCCATCCCACCCAGCATACCTTACCCCTCCCCCACCTTCTAACCCACCTACATACTACCTACCTCACCATCACAATATCACCACCAAATCCAACCACTAACCACATCCCCAACAGGCTCGAATCGCACTCCCACCTCCTCCAACCCCCCGTAAACAACCACTGCATCTACCACCCGTCCTCCCCAAGCACCCCCGGCTACACAGTAATGATAGTCGGCGGCCCGAACGCCCGCACCGACTTCCACATCAACCCGACCCCCGAATTCTTCTATCAATACCGGGGATCCATGCTTCTCAAAACCGTCGACACCAGCACCACCCCGCCGGTCTTCCAGGACGTGCCTATCCACGAGGGCTCGCTGTTCCTGCTGCCGGCGAACACGCCGCACTGTCCGGTGCGGTTTAAGGACTCCGTCGGGGTGGTTGTTGAGATGCCGAGGGGGGGCGAGGGGGTGATGGATGCTATGAGGTGGTATTGTGCGGGGGAGGAGGGGTGTGGTGAGGTTGTGTGGGAGAAGAGGTTTGTGTGTACGGATTTGGGGACGCAGGTTAAGGAGGTTGTGGAGGAGTTTGGCGCGGATGAGGGGAAGAGGACGTGTGGGGGGTGTGGGAGGGTGGCGAGGACGAGGTTTGAGGAGGGGGAGGTCGTGCAGCCGCCACGGTCTCCGGAGTAGTATGTAGGAGTGGCCTGTGCTGTTTGTTGTGTTGTATTCATATCCCTTATCTTACAGAGATAGTGAGAAGCTTGTTTTGGATAAAGAATGACTCTGTATCCTTGTCAATTGTATTAGGTGCACGTGGCCTATATATAGTGATTAAATGCATCAGGTCCAAACGCTCGAAGGGTGTAAGCCGGAGTGTATCAACGAGGGATATGGAAAAGAAAAAAGAGAAGAGAATCAGATAGAAAAAAGAGAGACAAGAGAAGGAGAAGGGTCAAAAGAAAAGCCCAGACAGACTCGACAGCCGAACGGAGCATGAAGCTATTAACACATGGACCAAGTGGCCCTGGAATAATAAACAACCCTGGCAATCTAAGGCATATGCCACCGACAAAGAGTATAGTCAAGCATCAAGACACTAGCCAACAAGATGGATGGAAGAAGAGTGAAGAGGAGATGAAAAAAAAAAAAAAAAAAAAGATCAAGATCAATGGATATACCGATGTTGAAACAAGCAAAGGGTGATTAAACAAAATAGGCAAAACAGACCCGGCACGCTGTACCATGAGCACATCTCACATTACACAGTGGGAGCGTCGAAGGTCGCAAACAATGAAAAATGATAAAAGCGAAAGAACATATCAAGACTGTCCGTCACCATGAAGCTCATGTCGACATGCAACCCCATTTAATCGTCAAACGGGCAATCGATGCTCTCGTGACCGTCTCTCTCGCAGAGCGCACACCACTTGGTCTCGTCAATCACACCACTGGCTTTCCCAGCCACCGGGGCCATGGAGGTTGTTGACATGGACGACGACATGGCCATGCCGACGCCCTTCAGTCCCTCCATCACCACATCGCGACCCGTCTTCTGGGGCGTTGTGCTTTCACTCCGGCTTGAAGGAGTCGCGTCCCCACCCCCCGAGCTCTCCGAGGTCGGCTTGTCTTCCGTCGCGGTCTCATACTGGGAAGCTCCCTTGGACGGTGCGTCTTTGTTCTTGTTCTGCGCGCCGAACATGTTGGAGCAACTTAGGATATCATGATTCCCGGTTTCGCAGATCTCACACCACATGGAATTGCCATCGTCCGAGCGGCTGTCGGACTCGGGCATTGTCTCGAGGCGACGGTTCGAGGCATCCGGGGCCGTGCGATGGGGAGGATAGGGTTGGTAATCGTCATCCGGTTCGGGAGCATCGTGCCAGTCACTGGGGACCACGGTGCGATCCGACAGGCGATGCGAGTGGTTGCTGGTAAGGTGGTTGCCAGCCTTCCCGGTGGATCCGGTCTTTTGGTGGTGGGGGGCCGCGGCAGTGACCGTCGAGCTTCGAGCTCGACTGTTATCATTGGTCTGGGACTGTTGCAGCTCCCGCTCCAGCTCCTCGATCCGGTAGGTCTTCTGTTCGGTCAGGCGTTCGAGTTCCTGGACCTGTTGCTCCAAGTGGGCCAGATGCTGGGGGTCGTGGTCGCCCTGGGAGTTTTGCCCATTCTGCTGGAGCGCATGAATGTCGGGATCTCCCCGACTCAATGAATGGATGATGGCCTTCAACCCGCGGATCTCGTCGTCCTTCTGATCCAGTTCTCGAGATTGACGGGGCCCACCGGAGCTCGATCGAGGGCCTGCAGAGTTCTCTCGCTCTCGCTGCAGCTCGAGCTTGGTCCTCTCCACTTCACCTCGAAGGAATTCCACTTCCGCTCGGGCTTCGGCCTCCCCGCGGCGGGCATCCTCGAGACCTTCCTCGAGCTCCGACACGAGTTCCTCAAGCTGCTTGAGCTGCCGGGCCACCTCCTCGACATCCTCTCCCCGCTCTTGCAGTTCCCGGTTGTGCTGCATCACCTCCTCTAGCCGCTGTTCGTATACCCGCTCGGTTTCCGACGCGGCGATTTCCAAGGTGTCGAGGGTGCTGCGGAAATCGGCTCGGTGGAGATCGAACTCGGCCATCAATTGTGCGATCCTGTCGTTCTTCTCCCGCAGCTGGGCCCGGACCGAGAGGGCATCGGAGCCCTCGAGTTCCTCCAGGAGATGCTGGAACTCGGATAGAGCCCCGGCCTGTTCGCCCAGCTGTTGGTCGCGATCCGACAGCTGTTGCTCGAGATTCGACACCCGGTCTTTCAAGGCTTGTACCTCGGCCACATTGGACGTGCGGATGGGGAAATCCGAGGTTCTGGTCGACACGGCGTCATCCTCCAGGCTCACTCGCGAGGGCGGACGATCAGAGGCCCGAGACGGCGCCTTGACGGGGCTTCCTTTCACGGGACTCCGCGGATAACCGTTCGAGCTCGGAGCCGAACGGGCGGCGGCGGACGGGGTGCGGAGACCAGCCAGGCTGAGTTTGGAGGGAGGCGGACCCCGGGGGGATTCTGGTCGCGGCAACGAGGGCCGTCTCACTCGCGGGGGCCGCACGGCGGGACTGGTACCGGGGCCCACGGACTTGCTGAAGTTGACCGGTCGGGAGGGGGTGGGCGGGTTGGCGGACGGGCCCATGGAGGACGACCCGGACGACCGTTTGCAGACATATTTGTTGTTGTTCATGGGCACGAAGATGCCCGACCCAGCGATGGACGTCGCAAAGTACTTCTTCCCATCCACGTCACCACTGTTCTTCCCGCGTCTGGCATGCTCCGCCGCCAATTCAATCCCGGCGAATTTCCCCGGCTTTCCGGCGACAGTCCCGAGATATCGGACCGTTCCGAACATGCTACCGGGAACATTCACCAGGTCTCCGACCTGGACCTCGTCGAGGGGCGCCATTGGAATGTTGGTATGGTGCGGGGAGGGGGCAGACGGTGGAGAGAAGCGTTGTCGGCCGTCCTCGTAGAGCGTTTTTCAGAGGACGGGAAAGGAGGAAAATTTGAACAGAAAGGGAGGACGAGGACGCAGGGAGAGTCGGAGCAAGAGGTGGTCGCAAGGGACGGTCAGCAGGGAGTGAAAGGGGTGGAGCGAGAGCGACTCGGAGTGAAACGTCGAGGCAGCACAATGGATGGAGGTGAGCAAAATGAGTGAGACCGGTCACAGACCAGCAATAATCATGGCGTTTTTGAAAGACTATCGACACAAGAGAAGCCGGATGAGGCCGTCGGAGGATTTTCTAGGATTCTAGGACGGTCGAACGAGTAGGAGCGGTCTCTAGAAATCAACAACCCCAGTCTGGACCCAGTTCCAGCTGTTGGGCAGCTACCGAGGGGTCTTGTTTATTATTTATTCCCAAGGGGGAAAACAAACCCAAAGTGAAACCCCACCGTGGTGGATAATCTCGTGGTAATTTTGGGTTTGTGACCTTAATCTGAAGTGTAGATAGGAAGAGTCAACACTGGATAGGGACCACGGTCCAGGGGTTCAAACCGGGAGCCACCAGAAGCCGCGACTAGTTGGTTAGACGGGGATCAACTGGATTAGAAGCTTAACCGATTCTAGAGACAGTCTCCTGTCAACAATGGGCAAGGAGAGGGAGAGGCGAAGTGATCCCAGACGAACCATGGATGGGGTTCTATCTCCACTGCGGCGAGAGATGACCAGTCACATTGCGGATTACGTCAGTGGTGAGTAATTATCCACTGTCATTAAACTAGTAATGTTTAGATTAGTCATGTTCATTGTGTTGCTTACTAAATTATTACATAAGAAGTACATGTATGCAACTTGTACGGCGTATAATTCAATCCTCTAATCTGACCAGTTGCAGGATTATCGTCATCTCTATAATCGTTACATTGTTTTCTCCAGTATCTGATTACAGTCCTTTAATTCCTCGTTCTGGCCACTTGTCCCCTGTCTTCCAAACAGCCTTCGCGGAAGTGGAGTTCCAACCGCTCTGATCCACCCATCATCATCCAGTTCAGCCTTAGTTGGAGCTGCACGTTACATCTTCCAACCCTCCACTCCATCCCTTCCTCACTGCCGTCTCCCCAGTCCTATACCCAACCAGGAAAAAGAAAAAGAAACACAAGAACCGTCAGAATGGCGCAGTATTTCTTCGATCTGCTATATAATTTTACGGATTGCATGTGCTGCTTTCCCAGCACGCCGCAACTGAAGATCAACAATCGCAGCTTTAAAATGCTGCGACTCCTGGGTGAAGTATGACCATCCCTCGTCCCTTTCCCTCGTTATTGGTGTCCCAATGTCGCGTTCGGATGGAGCTGACGATTATTTCGAGTAGGGTGGTTTCTCATACGTCTACCTCGTTCAAGACAAATCCACCTCCGAACTCTTTGCGCTGAAGAAGATCCGTTGTCCGTTCGGTCAGGAGTCCGTCTCGCAGGCACTGAAGGAAGTGGAGGCATACAATCTCTTCACGAACCAATCCAACATCATCCATTCGATCGATCACAGCGTTGCGACCGAACCGGGGTCCAAGTTTCGCGCCGACGGGGGCGATGCCGGCTCCAAGACCGTCTACATTCTCCTGCCGTATTACCAACGGGGGAACCTCCAAGATGCGATCAACGCCAATCTGGTCAACCACACCCGCTTCCCCGAGAAGCGTCTGATGGTGCTGATTCTAGGAGTCGCCCAGGCCCTCCGCGCCATGCACCAGTACCGGGTCAAGAGCGGTTCCGGAACCACGCGCAAGGCCAAGGCCGTTCGGCGGGAGGGCGCAGAGGCCGACGCGGAGAGGACAATGACCATGAAACCCCAGCGACGGGCCAGCCAAAAGGTTGCGGACGACGAGGACGACGAGGAAAACGAGCCGTTGATGGATGACGAGGTCACCCAGAGTCAGCAAGGGATTGCGGATGGCCAGCTTCGCCCCTATTCCCACCGAGACATCAAGCCTGGTATGTTGTAATGATGAAAGTATCGTCCGGACAATCGCTGACCGCTACAGGCAACGTAATGATTGATGATGACGGTCGGAGCCCCATCCTCATGGACCTGGGGTCCCTGGCGCCTAGCCCCATTGCCATCACGTCGCGCTCGTTGGCCATCGCCGTCCAGGATACCGCAGCCGAGCATAGTACCATGCCGTATCGCGCCCCCGAACTGTTCGATGTCCAGACGGGCTCGGTCATCGACACCAAGGTCGATATCTGGTCGCTGGGATGTACGCTCTACGCCTGCCTAGTAGGCAAGAGTCCCTTTGAAGCGCGAAGCGAGGAGACCGGCGGGAGTCTGAGTATGTGTATCATGGGTGGCGATTGGCGATTCCCCGACGAAAAGTCGGGCGCAAACAAGGGCAAGTCCAAGACGGGAGGCGGAGACGCCCAGCAGGCCGATCCCGCGACCATCAGCGAGCCCGTCAAAGATGTTGTCCGGAAGTGCTTGCAGGTGGAGCCTGCCGACCGACCAGACATTGATGAACTGATCCAGCTCATCGAAGACGCCATCAAGGATCTTCCGGACGACGATGGGATCTCGGGCAGCTCCCGTTAGATCTGCGCGGATTCTCTGTCCTTGGTCGTTGATCCATGGGCGACGTGGTCTGAACTACATATGTACCATATGAGCCGATTTCCTTGCACATACATGTCCCTCTTCTCTGCTGTCCGTGGCTGCGATTGATGCCATCTGCCGGTTTGAACCTACACTTTGTTGATTATAATTCTCGAGTTTGATACCACAATTACATTGGCTGCAAGCGGGTTTTGCAGGAACTTTAACCGACTGATATCTAGCGGACTCGAGTCCGATCTTGCCGTATAACGAGTGGGATAACAAATACCTTCAATGACTCGTAGAAGGGGACTGATAGCGTAGACTACTATACTACTACCTGATACTTACCTGGTTGATGGTGATAAGGTGACTGGCTTCCCTGTGGTAACCGACAAAGAGCTGTCCTTCTCCCCGCTTTCTCCTCCCCAACCATCTCCCCCAAGGAGAATAATCCAACATCGAACCTTCTCCTCACCAGACACGAGAATAACCGGATTGTCATCTTTCCCACCTCCGCACCAAGTCGATCACACACGATACCCCCATCCTCCACAAGGGGTCGCGGAATGGTTTCCGGCGTCCCCCCTGCTTATCGCCACTGGTCTCCTAGCCTGGGGGAACAGATAAGTGGCTGGAAAGGGCGATGATATTCCCTCGATGGGGTTTAGGGCGATTCAGGTATCTGATATCAGAGGCCGGACGGCAATAACGCTGCACCGATACTCCAATCAATGCAGATCGTGATTCGATGGTCGAAGCGGCATTCCTGATAAAGAATTCTGTGCTGCCGGTGTTTATATTCCGAGGTTACGCCCACATGGGGCAATTATCTCTTTCGCAGTGGACTCCTTAGCAACCACTAGATTGTGATACCACGGCCGATGGCTCCTCTGATCGACACAAGTGCCATTCCTGGTACGTTCACTTTAATCGACTCGGACCATGTAGTGGCTCGTCGGCATCTAGACGGGGGGAATTCGGACATTGTCCTCGTTCCTGAACCATCTAATGATGCTGATGATCCGCTCAATTGGTCGCCTCGGCGGAAGCTGTTGTCGACTATTTGCGTCAGCACGTGGGGTGCCCTCGTCCGCGTCCTTACACGTTTCTAATAGAGATAGGTATACGCTCTTTGCCGGGATCGGAACCTCCGTCGTCTACTCGGTGCTCACGCCCCTCTCCGAGGCCACTGGGCTTTCGATACACACGCTGAATGAGGGTACTGGATTTTTCTTTTTGCTTGCGGGGTGGGGACTGCTATTCTGGCAGCCATTTGCATTGCAGTATGGGAAGCGGGTGACGTTTCTGGTTTCGTTGATTGGAGTTATAGTAAGTTTATTATGTGTATGGGTCGTATGCAGGGCTGACTCAATGGTCCATTTAGGGGACACTTTTATGGGGGTGAGTGAACCACCGACGCAGGGTTACAGGATACTAACGAACAGGCCATTTGTGAAAAACAACGGACAGTGGATAGGGCGAAGCATATTAGCGGGCTTCTTTACAGCCCCAATTGAAGCCCTCCCAGAGGTCGCCGTGACCGACGTGGTATGTCAGTCTGAAATCAGCGGGGAGGCGACTAACGCGGGCAGTACTTCACACACGAGCGCGGGACCTACATGGGTCTCTATGCCTTCTTCTTAGCCGGAAGCAACTACTTTGCGCCTGTGATCTGTGGCTTCATCGCCGAGCACCACGGATGGAAATGGGTCTTCTACTGGCCGGCGATCTTCTGCGGCTGTGCGTTTGTGTTTCTGTTCTTCTTCATGGAGGAGACCAACTATGTGCGCCAGATGGAGACACCGGAGGATGTTCCAGAGGAACTTCCCGCTGAACCAGAGCCGACCGAAAAAGAGAAACCCGCCCCTGTTGACACGACGCAGGGTGATGCGGAACGAGGAGTAGTGTATAACAAGAGAACCTACCGCCGGAAGCTCTCTGTGATAGGAGCCAAACAACCGAGAAACAACATGTTCCGGCGGTTCTACCAGACGCTGTATTACTTGAGTTGGCCGGTGGTTTTTTACGCGGGGTTAGACCCTTCATGCTTCTGAATGGATGAATACTGACACCAGTAGATTTTCTTACGGTTCTTATTTGATCTGGTTCAACGTGCTCAATGCAACTGCCTCTATCGTTCTTGGGGGAGAACCGTACAAATTTGGGTATGCGCTCCCATTATAGATCACTGCATCCATCTAAACTAACTGTACAGCGCATCGATGGTCGGTCTCAGTTACGTTTCGTGTTGTCTGGGGGTGATATTAGGGTATGTACCTCACTACCACAGTATCTGCAAGCACAAGCTAAGAAGTTAGATCCCTCTTCACCGGCCGCTTCAGCGACTGGCTCACCATCCGCCTGGCCCGCCGCAACAACGGAATCATGGAAGCAGAGCACCGTCTTTGGCCTTTTGCAGCCTGTCTACTCCTCGTTCCCGGGTCTTTACTCCTGTGGGGTGTAGGGGCAGCGCACGAAGTGCACTGGTTTGGGTTATTAGTGGCCATGTGTGTGTTGGCACTGACCAACACGTGTGGCGTGACTCTGAGCGTGAATTATTTGGTAGACAGCTACCGGGAGCTCAGTGGAGACGCCATGTCGAGTATTATCTTGGTTCGCAACACCATGTCCTTTGCTGTTGGCTATGGGTACCTCCACCTTCCGTTTCGTTCTCTACATCTTTTCTGTTTTGTCTACAAGCCCTAACACTATGATAGGATCACGCCGTGGATCGAAAACCTCGGGTACCAGGACTGTTTTATATCGGCCGCATTTATCGGCCTAGCCTGTTCGGCTGTCTTCCTCGTCATGATCAAATGGGGCAAAGAATGTCGGATTCGCAGCCGCGAGAAATACTGGGCGATAGTAAAAGAGAACCAAGCGAAAGGAATGGGCCATTGACTTTCAACACTATGTACCAGACAAACATCACAATCTATATACTCAATTCAAATCAAACACAACACTGGGAAGAAAGATCAAACCAAATGAATATCCCCCTTCTCATCATACCCAATCTCCCTCATCCTCACGCTCCTCAAATGATCCACCCCCTTCGACAACTCACAATCGTGATAAAACAACCACCACCGACCCTGGAACTCCACGATAGAATGATGGGTCGTCCACCCCAACACCGGCTCCAAAATCCGTCCTCGATAAGTAAACGGCCCCCACGGATTATCCCCAACAGCATACACCAAAAAGTGCGTATCACCCGTCGAGTACGAGAGATAGTACTTCCCCTGATACTTGTGCATCCACGCAGCCTCGAAAAACCTCCTCTCGTGATCATCAGCAGCAAGGGGCTCGCCCGTCTCCGGAGCCAAGATCTTCACCTCCTCAACGTCGGTGTCAAACTGCAACATGTCATCCGTGAGACGAGCGACCCGCGGGAAAAGAGCGCGCACGCCCTCGCCCTTCGGCTCCTGAGGCCCGGTCTTGCTCGCGTCAAACACCCACTTCCCTGCGTCGTCCCGAGACCAACACTGCAACTGCCCGCCCCAGATACCGCCAAAGTACATATACGCCTGCCCGTCATCATCCACGAAAGACGCAGGATCGATACTGTAACTGTTCTTCATGAAATCCTTCTCCGCAGTGAACGGCCCCTCAGGCTTATCTGAAACCGCAACACCCATCCGGAACAGCCCGTCTGGTGCCCTAGCGGGGAAATACAAGTAGTATTTGCCATTCTTGGTCGCCGCGTCGGGAGCCCAGAGCTGCTTTGCCGCCCAGGGGACGTCTTTGTCTGCCAGGACGACGCCGTGGTCGGTTACGGCTGGGGCGCTGCTGGTGGTTGCGCCTGCCGGGGCTGGCGGAGGGGCGCTGTCCATGGAGTACACGTGGTAATCCACCATGTCGTATTGGTCGCCATTGTCGTTGAATTGGATGTCTGTTTCGCGGTCGTGGGAGGGGTAGATGTAGATTTTGTTGTTGAAGACGTGGGCGGAGGGGTCCGCTGTGTAGATGTCTTTGACGAGGGGGGGGGTTGGGGGGCCATTTTTTCTTGATTTTCCTAGTAGGTGATACTAGAGACGTGATTCTGATTGTGGTGGTTTTGATTGAGTCGTGATTGCAACAATTGAACTGGAATGGTTATGTTAGTACAGTATAGATCTGGCATAGGGTGGCGCTTTATATGTATAAAGTAGGTAGGTATATTAACCGATCAGCCTAAACATCCCACAGGATTCATCCAGTATAACCCCGCAAACTACTCCGTCCTCCGTCCTCCGTCCTCCGTCCTCCGTCCTCCGTGCCTACTTATCTACTGTACGTATGCAGCCGGCTAAATGACAGGGGTCTGAAACGGTGGGGGTTTCTATCCTCGGTCTAACGCTCAATCTTTCTCTGTTGCTATGCTCATGATAATGGGGAATCTAACGCTGAATGAATATGACGCAATGCATGGATAAAGGAAAACATCATTGAGACCAGCTCTAGCTCTCTGGGAGTGGAGGGGGGGGGGGGGGGGGAAGAAAAAAAAAATGAGAAAAGAAGGGAAAAAGAGGGGAAGAACTAATTAAAGTGTCCGAACTTCATCCTCATCGCCGCCTCCGAATCCTCCCTCGACCGCAACAGACACTCGTCCCACTCGCGCTCCATCCTCACCAGCATCTCCGCCGCCGATTCAGGCTCCGATTCCGCTTTCGCTTTCGGCCTCTTGGAAGACGACCAAGCCGTCTCCGGGGCCCGGTCCCGCACGGGCGACTCACACCCGCGCAGACCGATAAACCGGCCGAAGCGCCGGCGCTTGGTGCTCAGGTCTACCTGAACTTCGCCGTCTAAGCCTAGCCATGCCTGCACCATGACTGGGTAGGAGGTTGTGGCTGGGAGAGGGGGCCAGACTTGGTGGAAGTGGCGGGCGAGGTTGTCGAGCTGGGCGGAGGTGAGCAGGTGGAAGGAGAGGAGGTTCTTTGGGAAGTCGGGGTGTTGAAGGCCTGTTGTGCTAGAGACGAGGGGGCACAACGGGGTTCGAAGATGGCGGAGGACGGGGTGGAAGGAGGGATGTGTGCGTGAGAAACACTCTTCTGTGCGGGGGGACATGGGCGATATGCTCATTCCTGAGGAGGAGGAGGAGGACTGTGGTGATGGGGGTTCGACCACGATGCGCGGAGGAGAGAAGGGATGGTTGTTGTCTAACATCTTGCAGTCTCTGAATGTGTCGTCTTGAGTGGGCCTGATATAGAAGTATCAGTGTCGTTGGATTCGTGTTGGAGTCTCAGGCTGCACGAGAAGAGACGGACGCCAGTCAGTCGTGGCAAGAGCTTTCTCTATATAGGAAGCAGGTCCAGAACCTTGCACAATGAACCAGGGAAACCCCTAAGACATGAAACTCTGCAGAATCGGGATACCATTGTTCTCATCGTCCACTCATCTTTCATCCCGTTGTCTTTCATCCCATTCCAGACTTTGCTATGAACACCAGTTGGGTGAAAGATACGCTTTGTTCTTAATTTAGCAACAATGAAAACCAGAAAGTCCTCTTTCATAACATCGTGAACAATAGATTGAGAGCTATGTATAATAAACCATTGACAAACGATCGCTTTCAACTGCAGACATCAATGACATTGACAGAATTCATACCCTAATTCATGGCTAGCTTGGCCACATCCCGATCTATCGTGCCCCGGTTATTCGACACGGGCACACTATTCGGGTCCATCGCAGGAGGCAGCCCAACGTGTCGGTTGATGAAGTTGAAGATGGTGTGATGCCACATCAGCGCATTTTCCGGATTCAACACCCAGTGGTTTTCGTCCGGGAAGGTCAAAAACTCGCTGTCAATGCCCTTTGTCTGCAACACGTTGAAAGCGGAAAGACCTTCCGCGATGGTCAGACGATAATCCAATTCATTGTGGATGACAAGGTGCGGGGTCTGCCAATGCGCGGTATGCCGGGACGGATCCCATTGTTCCCAGTTCTCGGGAACCTTCCACAAAGGACCCTGCAGATCGTGGAACGGGAAATAAAGCTCTTCGGTTGCAAGGAGTGCCGTGCAACTGAACACCCCATCATGGGTTACAAGGGCCTTGAACCGCCGACCCAGGGGGTGTCCCTGCATCCAGTTGACCATGTAACCGCCGTAGGACGCCCCCAGGGCGACAGCCCGCGATGTGTCGACATATTTCAAGTTCTTTTCGATATACTCGAAACCCTTCTCGAGGTCAATATACGGACTTCCACCCCAATTCCCGCGGATCGCATCCGTGAAGGGCTGGCCATATCCCGTGCTCCCTGTAGGATTGGGTGTGACGACGACGTATCCTTGCTCCGCGAACACGGCGGGATTCCACCGGGTGCTCCACTGGTCATTCCAGGCGCCCTGTGGGCCCCCGTGGATCAAATACGCCAGCGGATATCGGTGTTCCGGGTTGAAGGTCGACGGCCTCACCACCCATGCGTGGACGGGGTGGTCATCTGCCCCGGGGAACCATATTTCATCGACCTGTGTAGAGGATAGCCCGAAAGTCGCGCCATCGCGGCCAATCGAAGAAATGACCTGGGCATCCTCAGGGGATGCTGGGTCGATGATGGACCACTGACTGTTGTCCACCATGCTGTTGCTCGACACCAATAGCTTGGACGAGCCCGCACTTGCCGGTAGCACATCAGTCACATACCCCGAGTGGGTCAGCTTCTTCAGCACATCGGGTTTGGAATGCCGGATGTTGTCGAGGGGAAATTGGTACAAAATGCCGCGGCCCTTCTCCTCGACCGACACAAACAAGGATTTGTCGTCTTCGGCAAAGGACAGACTCGACGGACTCAGACTCCAAAGACCCTCTCCGTCCGATGAGGCAAACGCCTCGATCATCTCGCCGTTCCACGGGTTCGGAACATATAAGATCCTGTTCTTATCGGACTCGTAGCCATCATGGCTCATTGCCAGCAGAGCGATGGAGCTGCCGTCCGACGACAGCACAGGACTGGACATTGCCCCCTCCAAACCCTTCGCCACACACACCTTCGACTCCAGAGCATTCATACCCGTCCACGAGAACATCGGACAATAGTAACACGAGCACGACGTGTGAGTGGCAGGATTGAGACTGGGATCTTTGGCAACGAAAACAATCGCAGACGGGCTAATGTCGAAGTCCCCTGCGCCACCAAACGGCGGGATAGGCGACTCAACGCCAGGCAGCCCACTGACGGCGATGAGGTTCGTGAGGCCCGAGATCGTATACTTGCCCGACTGTCGGGTAGCCGGACTGAGAGGAGTCTGCTGAAGCAGTCCATACCAGATAGAGTTCCGCTGGGGCTCAATATATGAATCCCAATGTCTCACAAACAGCGACGTATAGTGTCTCCCCGTACTCAACGGCTTCTTCACATCATGGGGATTGAAAAGCGAGCCATCCGGGTTAGCCTTGCCCGTAACAGCAAACCCAATCTTCCCCGGCTCCACGACCGTAACTTTCAAATCCGAGACAGGGCCCGGCACCGTTCCCGCCGTGTATGTCTGATCCGCCTGGCGCGCATCCCCGATAATGAAGGTAGTGTTGCCATTTGCCTTGGTCTTCAACCAGATCAGCTGGTCCGTGTTGCCCAGCCATTGCGCAGAGCTGGCGCCGGGGTCGTTGGTGATCAGCGCGGATAAGCCGGTGGGGATGTCCAGCACGCGGATTTCGTTCGTTTTCGAGTGGGAATCGAACGAGTACGTGGTTTGGGTGTATATGGCGAGGGTGCCGGATGAATTGGGCACGGCGCCCGAGCGGCGGGGGGCTCCCAGGAGGACCCTGAGGGGTTAGCACCACACTTACTCTTGAGGCAGTATGAAGCAATGGGCTCCGGGATTGCGTAGAAGATTCACTTACTCCGGGGTGAACTTCATTGATCTGATGGTCATATCAATGTCTCTTAATCCACCGATGGACTGATTGAGCGAGTGAGATAAGATAAAGACCAGACAGCTATCAGAGTGGAGCCCAAGATAAGAGATTGGGAGTTGCCAAGACAGGAACAGAAATTGAGAAAACCAACGAGGGAGAGAAATATAGAGGGAGAGAGAGAGAGAGAGAGAGAGAGGAAGAATGGAAAGAAGACAGAATTACAAACAAGAGAAGAAGGAAGGAGGAGGAAGAAGAATGTATCCCAACCGTGGCTGGCCTGCCAAAAGGTACCCGCCCATGTGACCTCTTCACCCCTTCACCGACTGCCGTGTACGTCATGGTCCAAAAACTGATCAACGTTACAAGCTTGCAGATAGATACTAGTATAATGTACATCAATTCCAAATGTGAATAGTACCAATCCAATGGGGATTCCCTACCCCGCAATTCCCTTTCCCTTTTCCAATAATTATTTATTCCTCGTCTTCCTCCTCGCTCTCGTCCTCTTCCATCCCCTCTGCGGCTGTGACCTTGAATGTAGGCGCCTGGTCGACACCCACGTAGCTGTCGCTCATCAGGTAAAGAGTCAGCTCGTGCTCGCCGGGCGACGGCACGATGTACTCCAGTCGCAGATCGAGAGTCCGGCCGATAGTCACGCGCTTGATGGCGAGCAGGCTCTTGGTCTTCTCATCGCCGACCACCAGCCACCAGTTCTCCATCTTCTTGTTGGGGTAGAAGGGCGCGTGCACCGTCGTGTCGGGCTCCTCGTCTTCTTCCACCTCGCGCTCGATCTTGACCTTGAGGTACGCCGGTTCCCCAGAGGTGACGTTCTCCGGGTCCTCGACCTGGAAGTCCAGGTCGATGTTGGGGTACTTCTCGTTTGTGAACGCCGCAGCCTGCGCCAGCTGCTTGTTGTCGAGGCCGAGTCGCTTCACCAGCGTAGCGTAGTTCTTGTTCTCGGACGGGTCCATGGCCTCCATGAACTCGAAGATGTCGTTGATTCTGCGACGCAAGTTAGCACCGTGCGGGGAACAATTCAGTAGATATACATACTCGTACTCGTTGGCCACCTGGATGACCTCCGGGCCAAAGTGCGGGATTTGCTTCAGGGGACTGTCGCGGTCCCACATGGCCTGGACCACCATCTGCGACATCTCCATGGCGTTCATGGCGTTGAGGTGGCCTTCCGACGACAACACGTCCACACACGCGCTGAGCAGATTCAGCACCTTGCTGACGATCTCCTCCTGGTCCTTGGCGAGATCGATCGGCAGCTGCATGCGCGAGAAGTGCGCCTGCAGCAGCACAAAGGCCTTGAAGTGCGGCGACTCATACGCCGACTCGGACATCTTGACGGGCACGCGGTCGTACACACGGCGCAGAATGTGCTCCTCATGACGACGCATCTGGATCGACTCGAACTCGGTGGCAGACGTGACGATCTCCAGGATACCCTTGAGCTTGGTCCGTGCCGACAGCGACAGGAGGAAGGTCTGCATGGTGATGAACGAGATGTTGTAGTAGGCGCCGATCATTGCCGCGTTCAGCGGCGACACACTGTCGTCCTCCTCGTCGAGGTCGATGATCTTGGCTTCGCTCAGTTCCTTCAGCGTGTTCTCGACCAGCTCCGACAGGAACGTGCTCAGTCCCTCGTGGCTGACGTCGCTGAGCCCGTAGAAACTCGGGTTCGCCAGCAGACGCCGGTAGAAGTAGGTGTACGTCATCCAGTCCACGGCATCCTGGGTAGACCCGATGGTCCTCGTGCTCACCTCCGTCACGAACGCATCGTGCATGTAAGCCTGCAGGTGGGATTCGACCGGCAGGGCTTCGTTGAGGAACTTCTTATAGTACTCACGCTTGACGGAGGGAACCATGAGTACGCCGCGGCCGATCTGGTCCTGGCCCGGGCGAGAGGCCTTGCCGAACATCTGCAAGATCTCGCTGATCGGGTAATCGATGTACCGATGTTCTCTGCCCTCGAAGAACTGGGTCCCCATGACAACGACCAGATGGGCCGTAACGTCCAGCTCCCAGCAGACCTCCCGCGAGGCCAGAAGCACCTGGATGGCCCCGATCGAGAACAGATGGGAGACAATTCGCTTGTCGGTGGAGCTCAGTGCCTCGTGGTAGTAACCGATGCCGTGAGAGAGCGACTCGGCCAACGTCCGCTCGTTAATACGACTGAGAAGGGGCGCCATCTCGCTCACTTCGGCGTTGAGGAAGCGGTCTTCATTATCATCCACGGCACACGCAGCCAACAGATCCATGGCCGAAGATCGCGTCTGCTTACGGTTGGGAACGAAGATAAGAGACGGCTTGTCCGGAGACAGCTGCAAGATGGACATATAAGCGGGGCGAGCCATAGCGAGCATCAGCGACGGGAAATGAGGAATGCTGAAGGACTGGATATGGAGTTCCAAAGGAACGGGGCGAGCATGGGGGCTAAAGTTGTAGATCGTATGCTTGTTGGCTCCAATCCACTCGCCGATATCACGGGCATTGGCAAGAGGCACGCTCAACCCGACGATACGCATGCCGTTCTCCAGCTGGAGCGCGATGGAGTGCATACGGGAGACCACGACTTCGTAGATGTAACCACCGTAGCCTCCGAGCATGTGGAGCTCATCCGCAATGAACAGCTGCACGGATTGCACGTTCTTGCGCCGTTGCCACTGTCGGGACAGGACGTCCCACTGCGTAGGCGTAGCGAGAACCAGGTCTGCCCGCTCCAGGAGCTTCAGATCGGCAGTGGTTTCGCCAGTGAGCTTCACGATGTTCTTGCCCCCACCAACCTTGCTCAGCCGCTTGCCCCAATCGGCAAGTTTCTGATCGACGAGCTCCTGGAAAGGAGCAACGTAAACCGCCCGACCACTGTCCCCTTGGGCCCAGTTGCGGAGCAAGGCAAGTTCTGCGCAGATAGACTTCCCGCTACCAGTAGGAGCGCCGACGAAGACATTCTCGTCCGAGTCGTAGAGAGACTTGAAAGTCTGGGTCTGGATCTTGTTGAAGTACTGCCAGTCCGGATACAGCTGCTGGTAGTCGTCGCGCTTCAGGGCCTTGACGGGAGCCCGCTGCATGTCCAGCAGGGGCGTGTGAGGGGGGAAGCGTTCCGGCAGGACCAGCTTCTGGAAAGACACGGCAACCTTGGTTTCGGAATGCATCCAGCGGTCAGAGACAAGGGTGATGAAGTAGTTGGGCGGCATGGGTTCCGTGATCGGCACGGTGAAGTCGACCAGGTGCTCAGTGACCTCGCCTTGGGCATAGTCGCGACGCAGGATAAACCGATCGTGGAACAAGATATCCTCACCGTCGCAATCCTCCACCAAGATCCAGAAGTCCTGCGCAGTGCCGTGCAAGTCATCATCCCACACGAAGTTGGGAGTGATGGTCAGCTCAACCCGGAGCATGGAGCGCGTGATGGGCTGGACCTGAGCCTGGACTTCTAGGCGAGGGAATTTGGCGACCAGATCGCAAACAATACGCCCAGCCTTGGGCATACCGAGAAGCTCACCCATCCGGGGCGGGTCGAGGTCGAAATAGCTCTGCCACGGCACGTCGATTCTCTCGGCCTTCTGCAAGATATCGCGGGGGCAAGACGAGAACTGGCGAAGCGGGGTCATTGTAGGCCACATGCGTCTCTCGGCCATCTTACACAGGTCAAGAGCGATCTTCGCGACGGACGACCAGCCCTTCTTCAAAGAGATCTCGAAGATGGCCCGGAGGATACGACCAGCCGACTGGGTGACGTAAACCATATCGGCCATCAGGGCCAGCCCTTCCAGCTTGAGACGCGAGATATAAGCCTGCAACAAGACATTGATCTTCGCATGGGGCTCGTCGATACCCTCCTTGACAGGGACAGGAACGCGACCGAGGAGTTTGGCGAGCTCGAGTTTCTCGTCCTGCCGGACAGGGATGTACTTGAACTCGTCACTGAGAGCGAAAATGCGGAACAACTCGATGGTGGTGATCGACGGCTGAAGATGCTGCGAGTACGTCAACATGGAGTTGTGGCCGATATAGTAATGCGAGGCAACGCGACCCAGCTCCGTGGACTGCAAGCGGCCCGTCTTCTTATCATACTTGACAAGGCCCGCTCTCTCGAGGATAATGGCCGCCGAGTGGATGAGATCCACTCGCTTCTGCTCCAACGCATCGTCATCTTCGTAATCCGCTCCGACGCTGTAGAGGCCCGGAGAGCGAAGCATGCGCACAAACAGATAGGTGTACCCCAACCAGTCAACGCCTTCGTCGCGAGTCCGGATGTTTCCGAGGACGACCTCGGCATTCATGTTGTCGGCGAGCTTGCTCATCAACTGACTTTCGATGGGAAGTTGCTGGTTCATGAGCGAGAGGTAGTATTGGATTTCGGCTTGGGCTGTAATGATGATACCCTCACCAAACGTGTCGAACTGCGGACGACCGGCTCGTCCCAGCATCTGGAGCACATCCTGAGGACTCAATTCCACCCAGCTACCCTTCTCAGGGGAATAGATCTGAGTACCCTTGATGATGACCGTGTGGGCAGGAAGGTTGACACCCCATGCGAGCGTCGCGGTACACACGAGCACCTGGAGACTGCCATCGGCGAACAAAGCCTGCACGGAATCACGATCCGCAAGACTCAATCCGGCGTGATGGATACCGAACCCGTAGGGCAATAGATCCTTGAGCGAAGCATCATCCACCGACTCGGCTTCCTCGGACAGAATGGCCCGACTGGCGGCATCACTGCGCAAGATCTGACCGATGGTTTCCATCTCCAGCGCCTTGTCCCGGATATACTTGGCGGTCTTGGCGGTTTCCTTTCGCGAGTGGACGAAAATCAGCATCTGATTCCGGCGTTGCCCGACTTGCTCGAGCACTTTGTTGTAGCAAATATCGTTCATCGTCTTCAGCTGTTTGATGGCCTTCTTGTCCGTCACACCGATAAACTCCTGCTTCAACGGACAGGGTCGGTAGGATCCGTCGAAGTGGAAAAGGCCCTTGGCCGGGTCGATGCGGAGGAAGTTTCCTACGTCACGGTAGTTGGGGAGCGTGGCACTGAGACCGACGATGCGCACCGGATCACCAGTCTGCTCACCCTTGCGGATGGTCCTGCTCACGATGCTCTCGATGACCGGACCACGCTCGTCGTGCAACAAGTGAATCTCGTCAATGATGATAAGGCGAACCAGATTGATGTAGCTCGTTTCGGATCCCTTACGGGTGATAACGTCGAACTTCTCGGGGGTGGTGACAATGATCTGTGTTTCGGCGATCTGCTGCTTCGTGAGCTGACGATCACCCGTCAGCTCCGCCACTCTGATACCGTAGGGCTCGAGGCGCTTCCCAAGGTTGCCGACTTGTTCCTGGACCAGGGCCTTCAGCGGGGAGATGTAGACAATCTTGAAATCATCCAGCATCACCTGGCCGGTCTCCGGGTTGCGGTTCTTTCCGATCTCACGGAGGATCGTAAGCATGGCGACGTTGGTCTTACCGGACCCTGTGGGAGCACAGACGAGCATGTTGCCGTCATCCTTGAAGGCACACGGGTAGCACTTGGTCTGGATCCGGTTGAGCTCCTTAGAACTTCCAAATCCAACACGAGCCCAATCCGGCAGCTCGGTCGTGGACATGTTCTTCTCGCCGGGTTCCCGCTTGGCCTTGGGGGGCGGCACGTGGATCTCTTCGTAGCCCTTGAAAGTTCGCTTGGTGGAGCCCTGGGGCAGCTTGACGTTGGGGTTCGTCATTAGATGGTTACCCTGGTGGAAGACAAGGTTTTCCAGGTTGATCTGTCGCTTGGGCTGCAATCCACGCACGAGGCCGCCTTCCGTGGGTTTCTCCTCGGGTTCCGGGGCCTTGGGCACGTCGACGTCCATCAGATCGACCTTGATCTTCTTCTCCGACCGACCAGCGCCGTCGTCGCGGGCGTGCTTGCCACGGATCTCATCCAAGATGGCACGGTTCCCCGCCTCGACCATCTCGCTCTCAACCAGATGGCGAGCGTCGGCGTCCTCGGCCACTCTCCGCCAGCGAGTCACCCAGACGATCTTGTCGCGGTTGGTGACGAGCTTGGCAACCAGTTCCGGGTGGTCATAGTCGAACAGTTCCATCAGATCGTTTTCGACGTCGCGCAGGGGCTTCTCTTCGCCCTGTTCGTCCTTGCCGCCCATGATCTCGAGGGCCTCGAGGGCCTTTTCTTGTTGGATATGCGCATCGGAATATGCCGCACCGATTTGACGCTGGAGCCAGTAGGCATCGATTTCCCGGGCCGCGACCGCTAGGCGTTTATCGCCTTTATCGTCCCGGCGATCCAGGCCGCCATCTATGACCATTTCCTCGGACTCTTCCAGCCCCTCGAGGTCTGCCTTTTCGCCGGACGCATCGTCGACGTCCTGCTGATCGGCCTCGTCCTCGTCGGACAACTCGTCATCGTCACGAATCTCGTCGACGGTACCCATGCGCTCGTCGTCCTCGTCCTCTTCGTCGAAGACAACGGCAACACCCTGTCGCTCGTCCAGTTCGCCATCGGCATCACCGTCCAAGCCACCGTCCATATCCTCGTCTTCGTCCTGGGCGTCGTAGTCCGTAATCTTCTTGCCCAAGTTCACGAGCTCGTTGAATTCTTTCGGATTCATCGCGCTACCCAGCAAGTCATCGACCTCCTTCTTTTTATCAAAATCTTTCATATCCTCATCCTTCAACAGCTCGAGCACGGCATCAGCCGCACTGCGCACCACCTCATGAGGCACATCGCCCAGATGGCTCGCCGTCATAGTGAGGATAAGATCGTAGGTGACACGGGTAGCGGGGGTACGGGGGCGATACTTCAACCCCTCAACCAGCGCATCCGCCGCAGAGAGAATGCCCTGACCGCGTAATTGAGCAGGCTGACCACGCTGTCGCTTTCTCTGTTCGCGAGCGAGCACGTCCTCGCCTTCCCGAATAGCGCCGCGCTCTAAATCCGTCGGCCCGGCCGTCTTCTTCTTCGACTTCGGCGCGTCGTCACGCGAGATGCGCGAGCCCATCTCTCGGATGCCGATGCGCCCGGCGAGGGATTCCGGGTCGCCGGTGGGTTCATCGTTGACGCGGGAGACGAATCGACGGTCCGCCTGGAGAACCAGGTTGGACATCGCCGAGTATTTGTACTGGGAGATATTTTGGTCCGCCATGTTGGCAGAGGCGTCCGGAGCGGGACGATCCTATATTCGATAGAAAAATTGAAATGGAGAACAAGGGAGGTATCGTGAAATGCGACTGCGAAAAAAAAGCGTCGTCTGGGCTCGGGTGGAGCTCAGAATCAACCGGCGCGTCGAGACTCCTGTAACCAGAGAAAAGGGAAAAAATGAATTCTGTGTTTGATCAGATAGTTAGAAGGCTTCACGAACCTGGAGCATCCTCCTGCAGAAAACAGGAACACTTGCGGTGGAGGGTTGCAAGCTGCGCAAAAAAAGTAATTGAATTGATGGGAGTGGCAGGAGTTCCGGGATGAAGTTGGCCGCAGGTCGGGAGAGACGCAGATTTCGGTGGCGGCGAGAGCTGTGGCTGCCTGGGTGCCTTGACACTTTGTGCCTGAGGCATTAACCATTCTGTCACCATCGTTCTCCACCGTCTATCCGTACTATATAAATCAATAAAAACCAGAAGATAATTAACTATTTTTCTATTCGGTTAAATTTTATCAAAATTACGCAGGACGTCAATCTTTTGGTCATCATGCACGGATCTTGCAAGGCTCGCCGTTGTCCTAGGATGACATCTTGCTACAGTAGTAAAAAGAACGTATATAGCCCAGATCTATACGACCTATATCATACACATAGAGACATCGTTAACTACCTACCTACACAGTATCATCTCCTCTTATTCCATTATTTACAAGGTATAACCCACATCTAAAGCCTCGCCCCCCCACTCCCCCGTCCCCCAAATCCACAACCACGCCCTCCCCAAACTCCACCTCCTGACAATCCTCCTCGTCAACCCCATTCCCAAATTGCACGACCACAAAATCCACGCGTCTCGGGCCCAGAACAACCATCGGCGCATGCCACGTTCCCACCCCATAGGTGACCGCCTGACCGCCGCGGGCTACAAAGGCTCTCAAGCGCGACAAATCCGGCGGGTCTTGGACGGTGACGGTGTCTCCTTTAGCGGTCTTCGCAGTCGCAGTAGTGCCCTTGAGAGTCGGCGCAACGACAACGAGAAAGAAGGGCTCGTCGTGGTCGCCGGCGCGCGTCTGCGAGGATAGGTCGATGGGGGTGAATGTCTGTGTGGTGAAGGGGTGGCGCTCGAGGATGCGGACGTCAAATACTGCAGATGATCGCGACGACGACTGAACAGTGCGCAGCGAGCGCGGAAAGCAGGAGAACATGGTCATGCGGCCGGAGGAGGGTTTCCCGCTGGGACAGCGATCCGGGTACTCGTTGAGTAGTGGGGAGATACCACTGTATTTGAGCGCGGAGTTCTGGTTGGCGAGCACGGGCGCTGGATCGTGTGGTGTCAGGGAGGAGACTGACGATGGGGGTGAGGAGAAGTCGCGTGGGAGAGGGGAGTAGACGGCGGTGCCGAAGGGCGCGAAGGCATCCCGAGTGAGGGGTTCGGGGACGACGCTCAGGGTGGGATTGGAGGTGAGGTGGGGGGCCATTGTAATGTTTGGACGTATATTGGAAGAGAAGGTTAATATGCTCAATTGCGCGATCAATTATGAAGTTAAAGCAAGGTCCAGCCTTGTCGCGATGGAAGATAAAAGAGGTGGAGGAGATGAGGAGAGATGAGGAGATGGAGAGACGGAGAGATTAAGTACGGTTTTAGGGTTTCGGCAGTCGCCGCTCTGGCCCCACCGGTAAGTTCCGATCTCTATTGATTCCTATCGCTGTTTTGACTATCCCGAAAAGCTTTTTGTCTGATATGTACGTGAAATGCCCGAAATGAATTTTAATCCTCTGCAGAACAACTGAGGTGCACCGTGATCTGTCACCAAGTCCGATGACGTGAAGCAGGTGAACGCTGACTTTAGGCCCTAGGCAAGCCAGAATCAAGGGGGACGTTTGAAACTGCAGATGCCTCCTTCTCCTTCAGTCCTGTCTTCGTTTCAACGTGTTCTTGGCTGAGATGCTGGCGTTGGATGAAGACACTGGCGATCAGTCCACATGCGGCCAGAGCCGTGTATAGGATCCACATGTTGCGCAATCCCCAAGCAAAGGCGCTCGTGACGGCCTCTCGCTGCTGGGGATCCTTGACCGCATGGATCGACACCACGTTGGCGGCGGCTTCGGCTCCCGTGAACTCCGCCATCAAGGACGGGGAAAGACCGGCTCTGCGGAGGCTGGATTGCTGCGTGTTCATGCCGTTCTGGAAGACCACTCCACCGATGACCACGGACAGCGCCATGGCCACGTTGCGGATAAAGCCGAAGGTCGCCGTGGCGCTGGCGGTTTCACTCTGCTTGATGCCGCTCTGGAGGGCAATAAGCGGCGGGGTGAAGAGAAGCCCACAGCCCGAGCCGGCCACCATCTGATATCCGATGATCTTTCCCAGGGAGGTGTCAATGCCGTAGTCAATGAGGAGTCCGGCTCCCAGGACAACAAGCGTCATGCCGATCCAGATCACCTCCAGATAGCGACCGGTGGCGTGGATGATGAGCCCCGCAGCGAGGCTTAGTACGGCTTCGGTCAAAATGAAGGGGAGAAGAAGAAGACCAGAGCGAAACGGGGAGGCCATCTGGACGGACTGGAAATAGAGAGGGAGGTAATACTCCATTCCAATGTAAGCCTACTAACAGTCAGAGGGTGTCTGTGTTTTGTAGGGTGGATTGTTAGAAAGATACTTACAACCCCGTGGGTAAAATCGACCAGGAAGCAGGCGATGTTGGATCGAGTTTTGAAGATCTCCAACGGCATCAGCGGATACTTCGCAAGGCGCTTCTCGCAGTAAATAAACACGAGCGACATCAGCGCGCCAAAGACAATCAGACAGATGACCTTGGCCGAGCTCCAGGGGAAAGTGTTTCCTCCAAAGTCCAAGCCCAGCAGGAGCATGACCGTCAGGGCGAGAATGGCAAAACTGCCCCACCAGTCGACTGCTTTGATACCATCGATGACGGAGGTCCTGGGGTTGTGTACATCCAAAAACACGAGGAGCAGGATAAAGGCCACACCACAGACGGGTAGATTGATCCAGAAAACCCACCGCCATGAAACCGACTGGGTCAAGGCACCACCGACGATGGGACCCAGGGCGCCCGCAATGGCCCAAATGAACTCGATCAGGCCCATGAACAGACTGCGAAGTCTAGTGCAGAGTCAGCGCGTGGTTTCCACACGGTCAATTTCCCTGGAGACATACCGAACACTGAACAGATCCGAAATGGCGACGATGACCAGCTGGAGGAGGCCGCCACCGGCGACGCCCTGAAGCCCACGGCCAGCAATCAGCATGGGCATGTTGACCGCCATTGCACATATGATCGAGGAGCCAAAGAAAAGCGCGACCGCCGCCAGCAGAATGGGCTTGCGGCCCCAGATATCCGACAGATTAACCCAAATATTGGAGCTGGCAGCGTTGGCCAGAAGATAGGCGCCGCCAATCCAGACATAGCCGGCGGCCGAGTGCAGCTCCGCGGAGATCGTGGGGGTCGCAGTAGCCACAATCGTTTGATCGAGGGCAGCGACAAACATCCCGAGCTGGAGAGAGATGTCAGTCAGTCGGTGAATCGTCAGTAGTCCTTGTATGGTCTACCCAGACAATGGCTCCGTCTTATCCGCATCAGCGTTGGTGAATTCCCCTTACCGCGAGCGCAATCATTATTGCACTAATCTTCCACTTGCTGCGAGTCTCGCTTGCCACCGGCAACGAGTCGAATCCCTCGCGATCTCCATGAGACAAGGGCTGTGTCATTTCCTCGTCCTTCGGCCCGCTCCGTTGGCGGCCCACCGAAGCTACATCTCCTATCTCGGACATAGCGATCTCCATACTCGACGAGGAGACTGTGCGGGCATGTATATCCGCAGCAACAGGAGAGGACGACATGGGCAAGACACCTGGTTGTCATTGATCATATGACTAGAATAGATCATGGCTTGAATAGAGTGGGGGTCGAAAACTATGACTCAAGCGATTAGGGCCAGCTGCTAACCTCGTTTCGGTAAAGATCCCGCCATACTGTTGTTGTCTGGCATGGATGATCACTGTGATTACCCTTTTAGTCAATCTATACAATCAATTGGAGGGGTTCCGTTGTCATATTTCGACATAGATTGGGCTAGTAGGTAGTAAGTGAGTGATATACAACCTTGGGGAATGCCTCATCCGGAGCAATGATGGACAATGGCTTCAGTCCATGTGGTGAGACCTGGGATACAGGTTCTGACCATGATATAGAGCGGAGATATGAAGTAGTCTCGTGGGAAGGTCAAAAGAAGGCAAAACTTCTGGCATGAAGGTGCCTTAGGCTATAGCTGCCTGGGTTTTCCGGAGACCTGTCCATCCACCAGAGTTTATATATACCTATATTTATTGGTATTGGAGGGGAATTTCTTGCATATACCCAACATGGCCATGATACAGGCTTATAATGTATATTATCCTATCCCGTCCCCTGCAGCCAACTCATTCACTCTAGCAGTTCGTCTATCTCTAATTCATACCAGGCTATATAGAGCCGCGGGTGTGCGAGGAGATGCCTCAAATTTGCCCGCATCAAGAGAGGAGAAAGGCTTGTAGCCGAGGCATAGCTTGATGCCAATACTGTCACTGTATTGACATACAGCAGGGTTTAGTTATTCTCATTGTCTTAGTAGCCAATTTTTTATCCTTTTTCTTCCAGATAAACTACAGCTGTACTATATTCTAGTATCTCTACTTTCTTGCGTCTTCATGCCACTGATCTCAATAGTCACTGAGAGTCTGTTTATCACAGTATGATAATCTAGTAGCACTCTCCTCGGTGGCTTCGTTGTATGGCCGAAACATTAGCAATTCCTGACTGATGTCTACTGACAGCAGTCAGAGCAATGGAAGTGGCCAATCACCTGATATAATCATCATTATATAGTAATTCTAACAATCCTAGCCCTAGTGGTGAAACAAGCATAATAGAGTAAACGAATCCACGAAGATACGAAGAAAGTAACAAATATATTCAAAAGCCGTTCTATCGCCCTCTTGCAGATCTGAGTAACCATCTACACATTTCCATTTCATCCACGAATAACTACAACCCTATCTCCTATCCAAATATATATATATCATAGTAAGCGAGATCATGCCCATCCTGCAAACCACAATATGACCAGCTAAAATGTCATTTACTAGCCCAAGATTGAGTCCCAATCAATCAAGCAGCTCAGGGAAAGGGTATAGAAGCATGGGAAATCTCTTCATAAGCCCTGGCGGTCCTCACGTCTAGGGAACAATCTTCGTCATGACGGGGATAGAATTATAGGGAGTCCCACTTCTGGGCCGAAAGAATAAAAAGAGTTCTTCTGTGGGCTGGAGTATCAACATGGAGGCACTTTTGGTCCTGGTGATGGGTGAGTTGCAGGCGTGACAAAACATTAGGTAGCTTACCAGAAGATATAGAGGGATGGAGGGTGGAATGGGGTGAGGTTCTGGAAGGGGTTTTTGTTGACCAGCGCTGACTCTGTGTCTAGGTCCAACTAGGCTACATGCCAACTTGATACTCTCAGATAGATGGGTGTCATAATATTCAATACTCTAGGAGACATTTAGGTCTCTCCCAAGGGCATCGGAGGTGTACGGTCAGATATTGGCCAACATTGAGGATATATCGACATTACGGCACTATAGAAATAGCCACCATATTGCATTCGAAAACCACACGATTCGAGACCAATTTTGGGCTTTTTCTTCTTAGATGCCCCATTCAATGAATGCTCATGTTGGGTTATGGCTACTGCCAAATAAATAAGTGTTGCACTGGATATAGGGTTAGATTATGAAGTTCAAAAGTGTCGTGATGTTAACTCATAGCTAGGATTCACCCCAGGTGAACCCTGGTGGGATCCACGATAAATTATGTTGTGATCATTTCAGTTACATGTATAAGTACGTTACTGATTCTTTCGTGTTTTTTATAATTACGAGGCAAGTAAGTAGAAAGATAGTATAAGTCCCTGAATTATACGTGCTGGATATGATTATTAACTTTACTTATAGTTACGGAGTCACAGAAGCCACGTTGACTCGTCTAGCAATGAACTGGAGAGGGATCTACAGATCCTCTTCAACAGGCTCCAGAGCCCCGCGATGACAATTTGGCGTTCAAAGGGCTTGCTTTAGTATAGAAGACACGTACGTGTGGCAGGGATGGAATTTTAGTTTGTTGAAATTAAATTTCCATCAGTTTGAAAGAAGACACATTGCCCACGATGCTAATGAACACATGGAAAGAACATAACAGACAGTAGCCTTGCTCGATGGAGAACTATATGCTTTGAATAGTACCAGGAGAAAGAGTTTTTAGCTACAACATTCATGGACCAAAACCGACAATGAGATCGATAAATCTTTAGGGCTATCGCGTCTCCTCTATCTCTTCTTCTCTTGCCCCATCGATCAGTGTTGCACATTATGGATTCACATTAGGGGTCTCACATCCCCGTTACCACTGTTCAAATCACCGATCTCGATTTGATGCGACTCATCGATTGCTCCGAAAGTCACCTTACGCTCCCTCAACCTAGGGAACCGGACCCGCGTCCAACCAGGTCCCTCCAGAGGTGCCGACCGCACATCCCACCGGATGTCCAACTTCTCCAACGACAGTCTCTGCTGCGCAATGGCACGTTAGATGGCCTCCCGGTTGCACGTCCGTTCTTGCCAGCCGTCGGGTAGCTCGTCGCAGTCCGGACGGCGACTCTCCAGTCGAAGATGCGTCAGCGCCTGAGGGGGGGCCAGGATCTCCTCTAGGGCCTGGAGATCAATATAAGAGTCGATAATGGATAGAGATTCCAGGCTCGTCTGGTGGGAGTAGTGAGTGAGCCCCGAAGATGCCCAAGGATGTGGGAATAATGCGGGATCCCCATAATTCAAAACGATGTGGTCTAGGGTTAAATGCTGGAGTTGGGGAATCAAAAATAGAATTCCAAGATCTGTGAGGAGCCAGTCTCCCTGATCTTGGTGGACCTTCAGGGTCACTATTTCAAGTGCCGCTGTATCAGTGATAATCCTTGGCCGGTGGAATTGGAGGAAATCGTACAAGACTTTAAATCAGCCAGAATCCTGGTTTCAATTGGAGTAATGAGACTCGCGCGGAGCATAGCCCTCTCGAAATCCCCCTGGAAAAACTGATCATGGTACCACGATGTACGGACGCCGCACATGTGAATCTTCTCCAAAGCGGGCAGCTTGTCCAGGAACGAGGCCACTTCGAACGAGCAATAGTCATCTCCGCCGTCGATGTCAATCTTGTGAACTAGTGGTGCAAATTTCGAGACGAGCTCTTGGAGGCCTTCAATTTCCTGGCGGACGACGTTGTTCTGGAAGGATGGGATGCGTGTGTAAATGGAGTGATAGAGCCAGTGTGTTGCGATACCGCTCAGGGCGCGGCATGTTAGACGGGCAGCTTTGAGATCTGCGCGGAACAGGCAGCTGAGTATGTGATCGATGAGAGCTCGGGGGGGAATTGGTTTAGGGATCGCATGTTATTTGGTCGGATATGAGGAGGGATGTAGATGATAAGAGTGTTTTCATCTGGGTCGTTGGATTCTTTGGACTGATTGGACCCATGCCTGGCACCACAACTGCGGGGGTAGGTAATGAGGAAGCAGTTCAGATATTGATGATCTTCGATGATTGAATACTATGAAAGGGTCGCGAATATTTTCAAAAGCACGACTAATCTAACCACAGTCAGTCTGGGGAAATCTCGGCCGATCACTTGACAAGCGCTGGATATCAAGATCCTCGCACGCGCCGATTGGTGTTTTTGGTCGAATGGTCAGGAGAAAATGACATGCTACCATGTTTTCCGATTGCATTCACTATTTCTACAACAACTATCATCATCTACTTATCAAACTATACATTAGTTTATCATATCTGAACAGGTGGACATAACGATGGAATCCCTATAGTACAAGTGTGTTCTTTGGTGCTGGTAAAGGTGTGGACTCGTGGATAGTATATATAATGTACGTATCCGAGGTCATATATCTAAGAGTATTTACAAAAAGAATACTTATACAAACCTTAGGAGAGTTTCTTTTCTTTTTTGATCTTATATATTTTTTATAAGTTATACTTATTACAAGCCTGTTCAAATGGACATATAATCATGTTGAACAAGATGTATATATCCGAGGTCTCCATCGATCTACCGTATGGCATTGCCCCGGATGGAGGATGTTGAACTGCACGAAAATCCAAATCGGATCATCCAAGCCTATGAGACTCAGTATAGCCAGGACGACCTAGGTCCTTTTCGGCGCCAGTGTCGGAGCTTGCCATATTCAGTTTGTAATCTTGGAGACTTCCCCGCACTCCGAGAGACCCACTCTTATATACTACTCTCTTTCCCTATATCTAGTCCCTCCCATCGTGGGATTGAGACCGAAAGATACAACATACTAACAGTATACTCCAATTCAACATGACGGCCACATATCCCCTCCCCCGCAAGCTGTGGGAACACCCCGATCCCAAATCCACCCAGATGTGGGACTTTAAAGTCAAGCTCGAACAGGAAAAGGGCGTCATCTTCCAGGTACCCCTCCAAGCATCCTCTCCAAGCATCCAGACAGGAAGAATAACGAGAATTGATTGGTATGAAAACAGACATATAACGACCTCTACCAATGGAGCATCAACAACCGAGCGGCATTCTGGGATTTCTGCTGGAAATACTTCCCCATCATCTACGAAGGCTCCTACACCATTTCCTTCGACGAATCTGCCCGCATGGATAGTATCCCCAACTGGTTCGACGGCATTCGTGTCAACTTCGCCGAGAACATGCTCTTCACAGCCGACAATTCCATCAATGGACCCCCCAAGACCACGAAAAAGAACAAAGAAGACGACAAGATCGCCCTGACGCAGATCCGCGAGGGCGGTTCCGAGCCTGCCGTCAGCATCACTTGGGCCCAATTGCGCCAGAAGACGGGTCGGCTGGTGCAGGCGCTGAAGGCGGCCGGCGTCGTCAAGGGTGACCGCATCGCTGTTGTCGCGAGTAACAGCATCGATACCCTGGTGGTGCTCCTGGCTTCCACGGCGCTTGGGGGTCTCTTCTCATCGGCTTCGACCGATACCGGCGTCAAGGGAATCCTGGACCGGCTGCTGCAGCTTAAACCGAAGTGGGTGTTTTTCGATGACGCTACCGTTTATAATGGAAAACAAACGGACTTGCGCTCCAAGATCGCAGAGTGCGTGAGCGGTCTCGAAGGGGTCCGGGAGTTCAAGGGTGTCGTAGCGATGCCTCGCTTCCCTGAACGACCGGCTGATGTGGCTCCTCTGCCCAAAACCCAGACGCTAGCCACCTTCCTGAACCAAGCTCCATCTGATCAGCTGGAGTTTGTGCGAGTGGGCTTCCGCGACCCGTTCCTCGTCGTGTACTCATCCGGTACGACTGGCAAACCGAAGCCGATTGTCCACGGCGTGGGCGGATACATCCTCAACTCGAACAAAGAGGCCCGTCTGCACCGCAACAACGGCCCCCAGACAACAGTGCTGCAGTACACCACAACCGGCTGGATCATGTACATGTCGGCCGTTTCCTGCCTGTCCATCGGAGGCAAACCCATCCTCTACGATGGAAGCCCCTTCCTGCCAGATGTCACGTTCCTCATCCGCCTGCTGGACAAATACAAGGTCACTCACTTCGGCACGTCCCCACGGTACCTGCACGAGCTGCGCAAGAACGGTGTGAGCCCGCGGGAGATTGCCAACCTGCAGAATCTCTCCATCGTCACTAGCACGGGCATGGTTCTCTCCGAGTCCCTGTTTGAGTGGTTTTACGACCACGGTTTTCCCGCCCGTGCCCAGTTGGCCAATATCTCCGGCGGTACGGACCTGGCTGCCTGCTTTGGGCTCGAGAACCCGCTGACGCCGCTTTATGTCGGTGGATGTCAGGGTCCCAGTCTGGGGATCCCCATCGCGGTGTATGATCAAGCAGACGAGGGCGCATCTGGCGTGAAGGGCACCGCCGTGCCAGACGGCGTGCCCGGCGAGCTGGTAGCACCCGGCGCGTTCCCCACCATGCCGGTCAAATTTCTGGGAGACGATGGGGCGCAGAAATACTTTGATTCGTACTTTGCCCGATTTGACAGTGCGTCGTCCCCTTTCCACCTTACCTAGACTTTCCTCCCCAACTTCTCTCCTTTCTACCCCGGCCACAAACTAACCTTCATATCCGAAAACAGACGTCTGGACCCACGGCGACTTCATCAGCATCCACCCCGTAACCAAACAAATCTTCTTCCTCGGCCGCTCCGACGGCGTCCTCAACCCATCCGGCATCCGCTTCGGCTCCAGCGAGATCTACAACGTGATCGACACGCAGTTCCCGCAGGAAATCGCCGACTCGATCTGCGTCGGCCAGCGCCGTCCCCACGACGCAGACGAGTTTGTGCTTCTCTTCCTGCTAATGCAACCCGGGATTTCATTCAGCTTGGAGCTTGTCGGGAGAGTGAAAGAGGCGATTCGAAAGGCACTGAGTGCGCGCCATGTGCCAAAGTATGTTTTTGAGACGCCTGAGATTCCGGTATGTTTTTTTTTTTTTACTTCTTTCTTTTCTTCTTTTTTTTTCTTTCTTTTCTTCGTTTGTTTTGTGTCTCTTTTCGCGTCTCTTTCCCGTTTTCTCTTCTTCCTCTTCTACTTCCCTTTCTTCTTCCCGTTCTTCTTCCCGTTCTTCCTCCCAGAGTGAGGCAAAATAGACAACTAACATGTCCAGACAACGGTCAATCTCAAAAAGGTAGAACTGCCCGTGAAGCAAATTGTATCTGGTAGACAGGTCAAGGCGTCAGGCACGTTGTTGAACCCACAGAGTCTGGAGTTCTATTACCGGTTCGCAGAGGTGGAGAAACTGGTGGCTCCTCCGAGGAGTAAGCTGTAGAGATTCGTCTGTTTGAGGTGCACATGTGTGATTTCTCGAGGGGTCGTTGAAAGCACTAGATGGTAGACGGGCTAGAGCGTCAACTAGAAGTATAGACAAGTCATTGGTTCTGGGTCGTGTTACCAAATTGCCCGGGACGGCGTGCCATATTCTGCATAGAGTGGAACTGTGTTCAAGTTCAAGCACCAAGATATGCGAGCCAGTAGCATAGAGAGAGGTCGGTGTTTCAAGACAAGATTCACAATTCACAATGGAAGGAATCCAGTGAATGCACTCGGCCAGTCTGCTGATTTCCAGGGTTTTCCCTCGCAAATCTCATTCTCGTTCTTCACACAATCTTTCCAATCTTCAATCGCACAATAATGCCATACAAAATCGTTGCCCTTTGACCCTTTCCATCGGTTTGCTTCCCGTGTTCCATGACCAAGCCGCTTTTCGTAAACCAAGCATGCCTCTTGAGTAAGATGCATGGTTTACGTCATATCTCAGCCCTGGGACAATAGTCACCACGTTCACCACGAAGTCGTCCGAGCTCGTGCAATGTTGTTGTCATTTCAGAGAAAGAAAAGTCTCATCATTGACCTTTCAAAAGGAGCTGTCTGGGGAGCATTTCCTTATTAATCGCCACATATCATCGAATGTTGGGGATATCAGTCAGGTCAAGCCCTCCCAAGCTGCCGTTCGACTTTTCTGTGCAGTGGCTAAGATTGGATCAGGCCAGTCGTTGTTGCCCATGTCTAGACAGTAGCTAGCTGTTGGGAACACACGTCATATTTTCCTGTCCATGGAGAAACATCATCGCCACGATAAATGTCCGCGTTCGGGGTGCATTGCTAGAAGGCTATAGGGTTGATTTGAAAATCCTGGGAGCGAGCCCAGCATGTCGATCGCTAGGGGTATGGACGGCAGCATAGACGGCAGCCCTAAGCATTGACCGGGCATAAACTGTCGGCTCCTCTGTCTTGCAACATCTGCACAATTTACTTAAGGCCCTTAGCAGAAGCTGCCTGAAGAGTAGTGCCATATTCCCCCCCTTTGGCATTGATCTCCGCTCCGCTATCCAGTAGCATCTCCATAATATCCCTGTGGCCTTTAAAAGAAGCTGCCTGGAAAGCAGTGCCATACTCTCCTCCCTGTGCATTAGCATCAGCTCCGCTATTCAGTAGCATCTCCACAATATCCCTGTGGTCTTCAAAAGAAGCTACCTGGAGAGCAGTGCCATACTCTCCTCCCTGTACATTGGCATCAGCTCCACTATCTAGTAGTATCTTCACAATATCCCTGTGGCCTTCAAAAGAAGCTGCCTGGAGAGCAGTGCCATACACTCCTTCCTGTGCATTAGCATCAGCTCCGCTATTCAGTAGCATCTCCACAATATCTCTGTGACCTTTAAAAGAAGCTGTCTGGAGAGCAGTGCCATACTCTCCTTCCTGTACATTAGCATCAGCTCCGTGATCCAGTAGTATCTCTACAATGTCCCTGTGGCCTTCCAAAGAAGCTGCCTGGAGAGCAGTGCCATACTGTCCTCCTTGCGTATTCACATCAGCTCCGTTATCCAGTAGTATCTCCACAGTTTCCTTATTACCTCTATAACAAGCCGCCTGGAGGGCATTGCCATACCTTCCACCCTGGGCATCGACATCGACTTCTCTCTCCAATAACAATTTTGCAACATGTTGAAGACCTGATAGAGATATGTAGTACAGTGGAGATGCCAAAGGAAGTTGGAACAGGCCTTTAGTCCACCATTGCTTTGGGTCAAATAGGTCTCCCCAGACTGCGTATGCTTCCTTTTTCTCGAGAAGAAATTTAAGAATGCTTTCTCGGACCACTTCTTCAATCTCTACAGTCTTCGCATAATCCATCCAGTACTGCGCGGAGTATACCGATAGCGGAAACTGTATCGTGAGCTCATGGGCCGGACGACGCTGTTCCCCCAGATGCGATAAGTACGACAGGCAGACTCTTGTAATAGTTGCCTTTGCGTCTACTTCGTTGATGCTCGTCTGAAACAGTGCACCAACCTCGGCCATGTTCACTGGGAAGGTTGCTGCAATTCTTGTTGACACGAGATATTGCTGTACAGAGAAGTGCGCCAACTGAAGCACCGTCACATATTTTGGATCGTCGTATTCTAGATAGTCCTCCTCTGTCCTTACCACGAGGGTGATTAGACTTGGACATATTCTCATAATATCTCGGGGCTCTGGCATCCTATCTTCGGGATCAAACGGGATGTCCCCATCGGGGTCAACCACCAAAGCATCAACGACTTCTTCTATTGTGAGGGGTCGTTCCGAGTAAGTAAGGAATTGCAGAATCCTGATCGCATAATCTCGATAGATCTCGTCAATGTTGGCCAATATTCGACCGTACGTCTCCTCTAGCGTCTTTGGGAGAGACCTGAGCGACTCCCGGAGTTTTGGCAGATTCGGACACTTTTCCAGAATATCAAGTTGGCATGTAGCCCATCTGAACCTAAAGACAGAGTCAGCACTTCTAGACGAAGAAACCGTGTATAGAGCCATGAGTTCAAGATTGCATCTTACATTCCATCGGCTTTCCTCATAAGTTCCGTCTCAATCTCTTCTTGCACCTGTGGCCTCGAGCGCCACCTCTCAAATCCTCGATCATATTGAAGTCGGGCATGGACATATGCGCGAATGTCTTCGTCTACAGCACCATTTTGGATTGGAATGATATTGTCCTGGTGCATCCAGCGCCTAATTTCTGATTCAACATCCTCTTCTTTCCGACTGGTGGCGAGGACGGAACAACCGGAGTTTGCGAGACTTTCCATTAACAAAAAAAGATCGGGTCTTGCTCTGCATTCATCGAGAGCATCTAAAACGATCCGAATTTCTTCAACTCTCACAATCCGCAGGAATGTGGTGACAAGAGATTCGTATGACGGCTGTTGTCGGCCATTGTTGCAGGACAAACATAGCTTATCCAGCTCCTTCCGAGAATTCTCACATCGCGAATACAACTGTGAAATAAGAGAGCGGATGAGATTGTCACATGACTGCTTGTCGACATCGTTGAAATCGAAAAAGTAATAAAGAACATCATGAGTAGGTTTGAGTTGTTGAGTGAGGTGCTCTATCGTTGTCGCGCTCAGAACGGTCTTTCCGCAACCTGGAATCCCATGTAGCCAGAGGTTTTGACGCGTCCCAGATATCCACTCTCCGAATTGTGGGCTCTGGATAAACCAAGAACCCGTTCCTATGTGTCGCTCCTTGAGTGCTTTGCTCAGATTGACCGAGGGATCAGGGGGGCTAAGCCATTCGCATATCTTATTGTATTGATTATCTTGAGCGAGGCCTTCAACTTGATGAATCATTTGATCCACGTCTACAGGGCGGTCAGTATATAGGGTCTTTACTCATCTATCGCTGCTTACTGACCGTGTTCGGCTATTTTGACTTGCTTCACCTCATCCACAGGCATGTGGAAGAATAGCTCACGAGCATAGGCTGCTGCTGCTGCTGCCGCGTAACCGTGCCACCGATCATTCTTATGCGAGTCCGAATAGTCCGCGATACCTCGAATAACAAGGCAAGGGAAGTCGGCCAAAGCCCCGGCAGCCTCCATCTCAAAACAGAGGATACCATACTGCTTTGCTAGTTCGTCTCTCAGCTGGCCATGTCTGATCACTAGTTCCCCGGCGGCAATCGTCCCCCTATGTACCACGAGTTGTTCGGCTTGATCGGATATGCTGTCTTCATCATCGCTGTAATTATCGCTGTCGTCAGCGTGACGATCCACAATGAAGTCCGATTCGCATCCACACTTCCGGCAGGAAGCATTCGGGTCACGGTGGACATAATCTGCTTTGAACAGGCGGTCCTGTTCAACCCCAGGAAATTTATATATCCGCAGTCGCTTAAGACCGGTGTTGATACGCAAAAGGTGATTGAGAACCGGATCCTCCGGCGCAATTGCACGCCTTATGTCCATTTCTCGAGCGGCATTGAGTAATACTGCTGGCGGCGGAGCCAGGTAGCCGGTGTGTCGAAACTGGCCGACTTGGGCTTTGCCGTGATCGTATTGGATTACCCCTGAGTGCTCGCCTACCGGTTGGCTGACGACCACATGTCCCAGATGAATGTCTCCCTGTTCAGACTTGGTCGGTACGCCACCGCCTATGCCGACCAGCACACCGAATCTGAGCTGCGGGAAGGTGTTTCTCATCTGCGTCGCGACGACGGCCGCAGGGTTATTGCCAGGGGTGTGGAGGCCAGCAATCACAACGTTATGCCCGTTGATGCTTCCAAGCGTGTAGACATTGTGGTCACTGGGCGGCTGTGGCAGACGTTCATGTTCACTGTCCAACATGACTATTGCAGCGGTCTGCTCGACAACAAGAGGGCAGATCCAAGCCACAGTATAATCATCATGTGTAAGTCGGGGTTTATCAGATGACATGACGAGACAGTCGTTTTGCTAAAAGGAGGTTCGTATATATAGATTTTTTTTTTGTTTTGTTTCTTTCTTAGTAGATGATTGATATTGGTATGGTTGTTGATCACAGCAGTGAGGTGAGGAGACCAAAAGTTTTCAACAAGAGCGGGGCTGTGAGAAGGACGAGCTGACTAGCAGTCACGAGCTAGTGTGGACATGTCGTGGGGGTTTTGCAATAGGCTGATCAGGCTGAACATTTAGTGTGCTCACAGCCTTCTATTTATTCGCTCGGGCTTAATACAGCCTGATATGGTGTTGTGGGAAAGAAGTAGCACTCGGCTACAAAGGACATCACGACCCGTTTACGTTCTGTGAGTAATTGCGGCACGTTATACTGCGGAGGGCACCGGGGTCGGTCAAATGTAATGACTGGTCTTCTAAGATGCGGTGGATTGTTTGGGATGTCAATCAGGTCAAGCCCTATACCAAGTGCTGGTCCAGCATTTCGGCGCAGGGCTGGACCTAACTGATATGCCCAACATATACTGTCACTGGTTGGATATAAAACATGTGCATCGGTCCGGTCACGTTTGGGGTTGAGCATCGTGTGATAGTTAGTAGGGTCCAAAGACAAGTTTCCCATGCAGACTAGGAAATGCAGTGTTAAGCGGCTCTCACCTACTCTGGTGTATATTGGTGGTAAACAGAAAGCGGCACACGAGAAACCAAGCCAGAGATATCGGACATCAACCCATGTATGACACCTGCGGCACCGAAGGCAACAAGCCAAGTCCATTCGTCATGAATAATAGATACAAGAGGAGCCAGGGAAACATAGACAAGAAGAAAAAGACCAAAACCATGAGAATACTATATGCACCAACTCTATACGCCGTGGAAATCAAGAAAAAGACGCGGGCCCAGCCGTAGGGAAGGAGGGGGAAATGAGCGGGACGGAAGGAACGATGGGTGGATGGGTGGGGAAAGGGCATGGGAATATAACGGGAAGGTAGTCTATTTGTTGTGAATGAGGAGGTTACGGAAGGAGTCCCAGTGGTCGGAGTCGGCGTAGCTAGGATTGTTAGTCGACTATCTTGATATATAAGGAGAGAATAAATGGGGAAAGACTTACATGTAAACCATGCTGCTTCGGAGACTCGACATGAGGGTTTCGGGATACCAGCGGAAGATGTACATGACGAAGGCCCAGCTGAGCGAGGCAAACACCGGCCAGGCATTATTCTGGATCTGCGTCCGCGAGTCGGGGGTGATGAGGGAGGAGAGGGGGTGCATGTTGGGCTGGACGGAGAGTTTTCCAGCGGCCAGAACCACGCGCGCAAACACGTAGATGACGATCTGTGGTCATTGTCAGTTGATGATTCCCTATTTCGAGAGAACTGCCATTAGCAAAAGAAAGCTGGATACATACCTGCTGCGTAACACTAGTCTTGTGTCGTCCAAACACAGCATAACCTCCCAGCGCGCCTGCGAAGAAGGTGTCATACCGGCCCTCTTTCCCAGCACCGGCGGGGTTCAGATAGCGCAGAGCTAGCATCACACTCTTGTAGATGAAGGCAAAGGTTGCTAGGTTGCGAGCATGTTGGCGGGTCGCCTTTAAGACGAGTTTGGTTTTCTCGCGGATACTGCAGCGGGGATCAGTCGGGTGTGGAGAGTAATGCGACAGAAGCGTTCTTACGTTCCGGAGCGGAAGAGGAAGATCATCCTGTTGGAGACAAGTATCGGAGGTTAGTATCATCCATTCAACAATTATTCGATCAACAACTCCTTCATCCCCTCGGTAGAGAAGCAACGTACACCAAGGCATGCGGAAAGCGCACTTTGGCGCCATAAATGGCGCCATTTCGGACACCCTTGAGGAGCGACAAGAGGGGCGCAAGATCCGGGTTCTGGACCAAGGTGTCCAGATGAGACTATACAGAACCTTAGAAAACCAATCTAGAGTATCAAGAACACAGCACATACCACAAGAGCATCCATGGTGTCTCGTTGTGTGGGACCTCGGTAGACCGGCTGGGAGCGAACAAGCGGGTTGGAGGTTGACTTCACCGGCGGAGATCTCCCGGGGCGCTGAGGATCATAGGTTGAGCGGAATGTGATCGGGGAAGAAAAGAACAGACAGAAACTAAGAATAGATAGAAGTCGTCGAGCTATTAGTGTCAGGATTGCGTTGAGATAGCCGGGGGAGGGGGATGTGGAGTATCCGCGTTGAACTCCGTACGGTGGAAAGTCCCTCGGCATGTGCGTCGGCGCAAAACGTCATGTCACGTGTTGTATAGACCATCTGCCGGGATAGCATCATTTGCGATATAACAAGGGATTACCACACAGCTATAAGATATATCATGACATTTTTGTCTTCGTTACGTGACACTATATTCGATGCGATACTTACAAATAGTACAGGCAAGGGAACAGTCAGACCAATCCGGATAAATGCCGGCAACTTTTCGTAGCAGATAGAATAGATCTATACACAGTAAGGTACCCAGAAGACGGTCGAATCTCTGGTTCATCGCAGGGAAGGAAGAAGAAAAAAACTATATCAAACCACCGGGAAACGCCTCGTGCAGAATGGGAAATAGAATCAGACAATGCACACGTTATATCCGAGCCAAGGGACCACCACCCATCATCTCGTCCACCGAACTCTCCCCAACTCATGCGGTTCTCGCCCTCTTGTGTCCCTCATCCTCCGAAATCTCCTCATCATCATCGACATCCATCATCTCGGCATCCTCCTCATCCGACTCCATCCCCGCGCGCCGCTTCAGACCCTTCATCTTGCGGGTCTGCAAGCCGCCCAGATCCTGCTTCGCCAGATGCACCCGGCCGACCTTGTCACCGATCGAGTCGACGCTGATGTTCTTCTTCATCTTGATGTCCTCGTTCGGCCGCTTGCCCTGCTTCATAGCCTCCTTCATGAGGTCGCGAGTCGGCTCATGCAGACGGCCGACCTTAAAGTCAAACTTGGGCCCGAACTCATCCAGCTCCACCCGCGGCAGCTTGTGACCGCTGCGCTTCGTGCGGATCTTGAACCACCGCAGGTGAATCACGGGCGCCAGACCCTCCGTCGGCTCATCAGCCGCCAGCATAAGCGCATACTGCAGCCCCTCAGCGTCGATCTTCTCCGACGTCTCGCCCTTAAACATATCCACAAACATGCTCTTCAGCATCTGATGCGGCGCAGACGTCTGGTCGTCCCACGCACTCCCGGAGTAAATCATCAGAGGCCGCATGCCGACGCCAACCTCCATACTCAAGCTGTTCATAGCGGGGTTCTCCTCGCCATCCGGACGAGGCAGCAGCATCAGCTCCGCCATGTCCAGCACCTTGGCGTTGAAGATGCGCGCCAGCGTCACCGAGTTAGGCCGCTTCTTCGAGCTGCTCCCGAACACCACCACGCCGCACTCGTTCTTGTCGGCCAGGAATTCGAGACTCTCGGTGTTCTCGAACGGGTGGATGTTCTCGTTCTTCTTGTGGAAGAGAACCGAGTTCGGCCGCGTCAGCGAGTGGAAGGTCTTCAGGACGGTTTGCAGAGGGCCTGGGCATTTCGATCCGTGCAGCAGCAGGGTGCGCTTCGGCGGTTCGACTTGCTGGGGCTCTTTGGCTTTGAGCAGCCGCGCGGTGCGCGGGTTCTTAGGTTTTCTGTATCGCAGATTTCATTAGTATCCTGTTTTATAGAATATAGGAGTGCAAGGGGTAAAGACATACACTTCTCTGAGCATCTTGGCAAGTTTCTGGTAGTGTGATTTGAACCTGCGTCGTTGGCTGCTTGTCGCGGTAAAATTGGGTGAGAAAAGAAGGGAAGAAAAAAAGTTTGGCGGTCAGGGCTTGGCACCGCTTATCGATAAGCCGACCCTCACGGCAGTATCCAGGTCCACACTTTACATATACTAGAACACAAGTTCAAATTTATTCTGATAGTTTAAGAAGTAACAGCATTATGGGTTTATTGGTTTTGTCTGTCTTGGAAGTGCTATATGCATAATATTCTAAGAAAAAACGGGGAAATTCTTTACTCCAGACGCAGCTTCTCGAACTCGCGAATCTGCTCCTCCAACTGAGCCGCCTCGATCTCGGCATTGCGAAGCTTCTGCTCCTCCATTTGGCGCACCTCGGGCTTAGCCTTCGACTGCCACGCGGGAGAGCCGATGAGACCCTGCTGGCGGCGCACAACGTCGAGGGAGCGATCCAGGCTCGCCTTGGCCTTCTCCTCCTGCTCGAGGGCGACCTCCTTGGACACGCGGAGGTAGACAGACGCCTGGGTGTTGACGGGGGCGACGACGCATCCGGCCGGACGGGTCGGGTTGTCAGGGCCCCGAACGGTGAGCTCACCGAGGGTCTTGCCACCCAGGGACTTAATGCTCGTGATCTCGTCGCAGACGGCCTTGTAGCTGGCCTCGTCGTAGGTCGAGATGACGATGTCACCCTTGGTCTTGATCTCGTACGAAGCCAGGATCGAGCGGATGGCCTTGGAGGTGTTCAGGATGAGCTCGTAGGCCGCTTCAGCCTCGGGGTTGTGGAACGAGGTGTCGAACTCGGGGAACTTGGCCTTCATGATCGAGATGGTCTTGTCGTCGGGACGGCGGGGCAGACGCTGCCACAGCTCCTCAGTGAGGAAGGGCATGATGGGGTGGATCAGGGCCAGCGCGCCCTCGAGGGCCGTGTAGAGCGTCTGCTTGGCCGACTCCTGCGTCTCGGCGGAGGCGTCGGGCGACAGCAGGTACTTCGAGTTCTCGATGAAGACATCGCACAGCTGCGCGTACCAGTACTGGTAGATGACGACGGCAGAGTTGTTGAAATCGCGCGACTCCAGAGACGCGTTGACCTCCTTGGCGGCGTTCGTGAACTTGTGCAGAATCCAGCGCTCGGAAAGCGACTCGTGTCCGGTCTTCGTGGGGGTGGCCTGCGGCTTGAAGTCGTCACCCAGCTTGCCGAGAACGAACTTGGTAGCCTGGTAGATCTTGTTGCAGAAACGGCGGTAGCCGTGAATGACCTGGATGTCAAAGGCGATATCACCACCTAAAATGCGTCGGTTAGAAAATCCCTAGGAAGGTCAAACAGCGGAGTCGGGAAAAGATAAACTTACCACCAGTGGTGTAAGACACCAGGGCAAAGCGCAAAGCATCAGCACCACACTCAGGGATACCCTTGGGGAACGCCTTCTTCTGGTACTTGGTGGCAGTGGCAACCTCCTTGTCGGCAAGGTTACCGGTGAGAAGTTTGGCGTGGAGGTCGTTGATGGCAATGCCCTCCATAACGTCCAGAGGGTCAATCACGTTACCCAGAGACTTGGACATCTTCCGGCCCTCGGAGTCACGGATCAAAGAGTGGCAGTACACCTCCTTGAAAGGAATCTTGCCGGTCATCTTGATACCCAGCATGATCATACGGGCAACCCAGAAGAACAGGATATCCCAACCGGTCTCGAGGACGGTGGTAGGGTAGAGGTTCTCCAGGTCGTGGGTCTGACGGGGCCAACCCAGGGTCGAGAAAGGCCACAATCCGGAAGAGAACCAGGTGTCGAGGACGTCAGGGTCGCGCTCCAGAGAGAACTTCTTGCCGGGGAACTTGGCCTCGGCCTTCGTCCGGGCCTCGTCCTCAGTACGGCCAGTGACCCAGTAGTTGCCATCACTCTCGTCGGTATCCTCGCCCTCGATCTTCACGAGGTAGGCCGGGGCCTGGTGACCCCACCAAAGCTGTCTGGACAGACACCAGTCGTTGATGTTGTGCATCCAGCGGAAGTAGCTCTTCTCGGCAGATTCGGGCTTGATCTTGATCTCGCCGTCCTCGACGGCCTTGATGGCGGGCTCGGCCAGATCCTTCATCTTCATCCACCACTGGGGCTTGAGGATGGGTTCGATGACATCGTTGGACTTGGCACAGCGGGGGATCTTCATGGGGTTGTTCTCCCACTTGACGTACAAACCCCTCTCCTTCAGCATCTCGATCACCTTGTAACGGGCATCGAAGCGCTTCATTCCGGCGAAGGGACCGGCCTGCTTGTTGAAGGTACCGTCGTCGTTCATGACAGAGATAGAGGCGAGGTTGTGGGCCTTTCCACGGTTGAAATCGTTGAAATCGTGAGCGGGGGTGATCTTCACGGCACCGGTACCGAACTCGGGGTCGACATCGGGGTCGGCGACGATGGGCATCAACCGGTCAATGAAGGGGTGGCGGGCGTTCTTGCCGATCAGGTGCTGATAACGCTTGTCGTCGGGGTGGACGGCGATACCGGTATCGCCAATCATGGTTTCGGGACGGGTGGTGGCAATCTCGATTCTCTCCTTGCTCCCGTCGACCTCATAGCAGAAGTGCGTCAGGACACCGAACTCGACCTTCCGCTCGTAGCCCGGCACATCCAACAGGGTGCGTCCCTCGACCTCCTTGTTCTCCACCTCCAGGTTGGACAGCGACGTGTTCAGCGCCACACACCAGTTGACCAGGCGGTTGGCGCGATAGATGATGCCCTCTTCGTGGAGGCGGACGAAGGTCTCGGTAACGGCAGCGGACAGGTTGGGATCCATCGTGAAGGCCTCACGGGACCAGTCCATCGAACCACCGACTCTCTGCAGGGCGTTCTTGATGTTGGCATGGTACTCATGCTTCCAGGCCCACACACGATCCGTGAACTCCTTACGGCCGAGGTCGTGACGGGTCTTCTGCTCCTTCTTCCAGAGCATCTTCTCGACAACGCTCTGCGTGGAGATACCGGCGTGGTCCATACCCGGGAGCCACAGGGTCGTCTTGCCCCTCATGCGCTCCCAGCGGATCATGGTGTCTTGGAGGGCGTTGGTCAAGGCGTGACCCATGTGGAGGGAGCCGGTCACGTTGGGGGGAGGGATGGGGATGACGAAGGCACCCTCGGGCTTGACCTTGTTGTCGGAGCCGAATTCGGGCTTGAACAGCCCGCGCTCCTCCCACCACTCATACCGTCCGGTCTCGATGGTCCTCGGGTCGTAGGCGTCGGTGGTCTTTTCCTTCTCGACCTTGTTGGGCTTCTTCTCGGCCTTGGGGGCAGCGGGCTTGGCCGCAGCAGCCTTGGCCTTCTTCTCGGCGAACTTCTTCGCCTTCTCGGCCTTTTTGCGCTCCTTCTCCACTGATATCGCACTCAGTATTAGTAAAAGGGAAGAAGAAAAAGGTTCATGCGTCTCAATATCAAAGTCCATCCATGCGCCAAGGGCCTGGATACAAGGTAACAAAGGACATACAATCTTTCTCGGACTTCACCTTCGGAGGCGCAGCAACAGCATCGGCGTTCTGGTTTCTCGTCTGGTCATCGGCCTGAGGGGGAGGGCTCACGACGGGAGCCGCGGGCTCGCCAGCTATAAAAAGATCACGACATTAGCCTGAGGCCCAACATAAGACAGTAACATCCACACCAACGAAAGGAAAAGGAATACATACTCGGATTCTGGGGGGCAGAGGATTGAGCCATTCTGGAAAATGAACGGTAAGTCGGAGGAGGAAGTCTCCAGGGCGCCGATCGCGCCACGAGTTGTCGGATAAGTATCTTGACAGCGGGGTGAGTCAGACCGCGATAGAGCGAGCGAGAGAGAACGAAGGAGGGGGAGGGGCGGTTGTTGTGCGAATGCGGGCAACTAAATTATTTCCTGCCGCAAAGTAAAAGACCGGAACGATTCAGCGAATGAAACGGCGACGTTGGGTGGTGGTGGTGGAGAATTGGCTGGAGGGTCTTGCAACTCTGGTTCTCGTACCGTGGAGGGACTAGGTTAGGCTGGTAGTCAGGCTAACATAGTCCTGTGATATTTGAGGAGATTGAGTGGACTGTGTTGGCCGTTGAAGGTCGATCTCCGTCTCTTGGGGATCTCTGTTGTCTTCAGTCTTTGATTCTATTCATCTTTGCAGCTTTTCCGGCGAGGAAGAAAACACCCATGTCACGTGCTGTATCGATACGGATAAGGATGGCTTATCTTATCGGCCGTCGAGCCCTAACATCCTCACTCCAGAGCCAGGTACGCCAGCTCCTAGCCAGGATGTCGAGTACTTGAATGGTGGAGGCGTGGAGAGCCTGCTAGACCCTTTTTGCAACAGTTAGGTACTATACATATGCTGTATAGTCAGCATCTCAAGGTAAGATCCCTCTGTACTCTGTACTGACGAACCTTCCAACGGCGGATCACCAGAATCTTCCTCTTGCATATCAAATCTATTCTCGCATTGGATTTGGGTCCAAGGGTAAGGGTAAAAGGACTACAAGGGAACCAATTCAGAATACTGAGTCTGACATTCGTACCCCACCCCCGTGTCATGCCACACGTGGTTATGCTTTATGCTCAGTGAGCCTAACACCAATCGATTGTTGTTGCGTTGCCGTGTGCTGCTCTTGACGATGGAGATGTCCCTGTATGACCACTACTAGCAATCACTGTTGAATATAATGAAACCTTCTGTCTATCTGGCCTCCTAACCAAGGCAGTTGCCGAGTGGGATCTATCTCACAAAGCATTGTTCATCCCTTCAAAAGAAAGCAGACCGTCACGCCCTTCAATCACTGATCAAGTATGGTTTGTTCACAGGCAATGGTATTGGAAATAGAATAGTCATAGGCATAAACTTGAATGCAAAACATGGACAGAAACAACAGACAAGAGAAAGAAAGAAAAAGGAACACGAGGGCAAAATGTAAAGCAGACAAACAAGCAAGATCCCATCAACACCAGTCCAACATGACACGGGGAGAGAGAAATTGGGAATAGAAAAGGACAGAGAGAGGCTGGCTGTGTGGTTACGCAGAATTAAACAGGAAGGAAGCTAGCTCACTACCGTCACACGCGGCACGCGGAGGAATCAAGCTGAGAGGGACGGTAGCCAACTGATTAGGTGTAAGTCATCTGTTCATCATCGTCGTCGCTGTCGATATGCCATAAATCATTCTCCACGCCCTTTCGATCGTACCGGCCTAAAACAACCAGAGATATGGCAGTACCTTATCTTTTTTTGTCTTTTTCTTATTCTGGTTTTTCTATTTCAGGCCCCCTGTTTCAACGTGGAACCACATAAACCATGCGAATCAAGTCATCCAGATTGCCAGGCGCGGAGAGCAATGCACTTAGAAAGTTCGGGAACATGAGAGGATATGGTTCGTTTCGACGGTTCGAGCTTACGCTGACGTCGCGTTGTTCCTCCGTGCTTCGGTGGTCCGGACGACCTCAAAGAACGGGTGGGCCATGGCTTCCTGGGCGGTCAGACGCTCCTACACAAGTGGTCAGTTATCTTGAAATCAGCGAATGGAAAAATGAGAACATACCGCATGGTCATAGCGCAAGAGCTTGTCCAAGAAGTCAATGGCCTCCTCGCTGACGAACCGCTGGTTTTCAGCGTTGATGAAGCTATGCCAGGCCTTGCGGGGGAAGCGCGAGAGGATCTCATCGTATTGGGGATCCAGCTCGATCTCGTACTTGTCCAAGTACTCAAACAGCTCCTCGGTACCCAGGACCTTGGCAATCTTGACCAGCTGGTCGGAGTTGCTGTTGCCGTGGAAGAAGGGCTCTTTGCGGAAAATCATAGAGGCGAACATGGCTCCCAGGGACCACATGTCGAGCGAATAGTCGTACTCCTGGAAATCCACCAGCAGTTCAGGGCCCTTGAAGTAGCGCGACGCGACTCGGACATTGTACTCGGTGCCTTTGTGGTAGAACTCAGCCAGTCCCCAATCGATCAAACGAAGCTATATGCGCATTAGCCTGTGTCACAATCCGATGAAACCAGAAAACCAACCTTGCGCTTCTCGTGGTCGATCATGACATTATGCGGCTTGACATCTCGGTGCATGATACCCTTGCTGTGGCAGAAGTCCAGGGCCTTCAGCAGCTCAAAGACGTAGAAGCGAACATCGTAGTCGGTAAACCGCGGGTAGAGGGTGCGGAAGTCGGTGTTGTTGACATATTCAAAGACCAGACTCGGCGTTTTGCTCTGACTGTCCCGGACCACATCCAACAAAGCCACCACGTTGGGACCGCCTGCCAGGTTCTGCAGGATCTTGATCTCTCGCTTAATCTTCTTCTTCTTGACCGGCTTAAGGACCTTGATGACACATTTCTGGTAGTTGACGACGTTGATGCCTTCGAAGACTTCCGAGTACTTTCCACGGCCTGGGGAGAAACTGTTAGCATGCGGGGCCCTCGTCCTATCATCGAGCGAAGGGAAATGACTGCCTTACCGATCTTACGGACCACCTCGTAGTTCTCCAGAACCCCCCAGGAAATGTTCACACTGTCATAGTCCCAGTATGACCGGGGCATGCGGTCGTTGACATCGGAGTAAACGCGCGCCATGGTAACGGCGGTTGACAATGGAGATCTGGTCGACAATGACTTCCCAACGACGGCGGGGTAGGGCTGAGGGGTGGCACAGACCGGTGCAGAGGAATGGAAGGATTGAGACAAAAAGAGGACCGACAACCGCAGCTGCAAGACTAGGGGGGAACCAAGCCTGTCCGAACAGTGCAGCCGTGCTATCGTCCGAGAGCAGCGATCAGCCAAGATGAAATCTGGGCAGGCAATTCTTATACGCAGATGATGATCGGGCGAACTTCCCAGCATTAATTTCGGCTCCGCCTTTGCACCGGTCACGTGGTGAGATATCCTGCTTAGGTCAGTCGGGCCGGAAAGATGTTGATGCGGGAGATTTTCAATTTCCTTTCTCGGACAGCTTCATCTGTATCTATAATTCTGTATACCTCTAGATCACAATCAGTGGAGATCGTCGTCCTTTTTAATCAACCCTTTGGTCAACATGTTCTATGATCTCAACGTCCCGTACAGCCCGGATGATCCCGAGATCTCCCACACTCTAAATTTCCTAGCAGAACGTATGTCATTTTCCCCTCTCCCCTCACAAGACCAGCCGACCTGCAAAAATGCCCGACCACATGAGACGCTGACCTGACTCCTAGTGGGTTACACAACGGTCGCTCTATCCCAAACCATCGCGGGCAAACTGCCCACCGATCTCTCACCACCGCCGACACCCGCGAACACCCCCAAGGGCCTGACACTCCTGACCCGCCTGAACCTGACCTTTTCCGACCCCGCGCAGAACCAGCGGCTCAACAACCTGGCGCAGGTCTATGACCTCGTCGCGGTCCGCCCCACCAACGAGAAATGCCTCCTGAACGCGTGCACCAACCTCGACTGCGATGTGATCTCGCTGGACCTCTCCGTGAGACACCCGTACCACTTCAAGTTCAAGATGCTCTCCGCCGCCATCGCACGTGGGATCCGTCTTGAGATCTGCTACGGCCCGGGCGTCACGGGGAGCGGGCCCGACGCGCGACGGAACCTCATCGGCAATGCGATGTCCTTGATTCGTGCGACGCGTGGTCGCGGCATTATCGTCTCGAGCGAGGCTAAGCGGGCGTTGGGGGTGCGCGCGCCGTGGGATGTGATCAATTTGACGTGTGTTTGGGGCTTGTCACAGGAGCGGGGGAAGGAGGCGATCTGCGAAGAGGCGAGGAAGACGACGGCGCTGGCTAAGCTGAAGCGCACGAGCTGGCGCGGGATCGTGGATGTCGTGGACGGGGGAAAAACTGTCGAACGGAAGGGCAACGCGCAGAAGGGTCAGAAGGCTGCGGGTAAACAGAAAGGCGCACCGGTCGAGAACAACGGCGATGGATTGAAAAGAAAGGCGTCTGTTGGCGCGGACACTACCACCGATGAGCCGGAGAAGGCTCTGTCTAAACGGGAATTGAAGCGTCGGGCCAAGAAGGCACGCTTAGCATTGGGGGAACCGGAAGGCGGCTCGGAGACTCCCGCTGCTGGCTAATCGCACTTAGTTGAAAGGCCGATTATACATGGACCAGCTTGCACTAGCTGCTTCCGTCCTGCATTTGAGTCGCTGGAATAAGCCCCAATGCAGCGTGGCCGTGATCGTCAACCGGTGCACAAGCTATCCACCAGTATGACGTTCTGAGGCTCACCACACCCTAATCACACCTGAACGTCAGGAATGCATAGGTAGAGCGAGCTATCTAGGTCCCTCGTCTGGGATGGCCTTACCAACAGACAAGACCACCTGCACACAACTTGAAGTCTAAATCGACTCTTGAAGGCATGAGCCGGCTACTTACCGCCGTGGTATTGAGTTTCATACCTGTCTGCCTTGCATTTACAGCCTATCAGATCTAGACTCGCAGACCATCAACAGGTCACCTCGCATGCTAGATCTCAAGGCGATCCGCATGCGATGGCAACAATTATGACAGAACCTGTTAGCGATTACCTACCTACTTTGGCAATATATATGGTATATCTAGCTGCAAGTCTACTTTGTTGTTATATTCTACATACCTAGGATAGTGGGCAGTCGCCAATGCTTCCGTACCTAGTAAACCCGGTGCAATTTCCACCTCGCACAGCACTCTGCCCACAGTGGTATCGTTGTCACTAGCCTTATATTCAAGGCCAGAACTCAACCGAGTACTTTATCAACACAGCTTCATCAACACAGCTATAGACACAGCTACGATATAGACATAGTTACGTAGGATATAGATCCATATAGCTCCCTGGTATAGGATATTGAATGAGTTAGAAGTAAAGAATAATCTGTTTGCATCATATCTCATATCCACAAATACACTAATAAGAGAAAGAGAAAGAAAGAAAGAAAAAGCGAACAGATGAATCAGGACATCAAGGTATGGATGGATATCTCTATCCCTGGAGAGAGAGAGAGAGAAAGGAAACCATGAAGGTGAATAAAAGGAGTAGTAAAAAGAATAAAAGATAAATAGATAAAGGATGAATAAGTAGAATAGAAAGGAATAAGAAGAAGAGAAAAAGAAAAAGAAAAAAAAAGTAAAAGAAGAGTATGCAAACCCCAGGCATCCTCCATTCTCCCTTTCTCCACCCATTTCCTAGAACATGCCTACCAAGCCACTCAAACAACCGTAAGATAGACAGATAAAACACTCATGGGAATAAAAAAAACCAGACCGTTGAAAGAACCACCCCATGCTTTTCACAGCTCAATCAAACCCCATCAAACACAAAAGGAAGAAGACGAGAGGAGGGGGGAAAAGAAGGCTAAACCTCCTCCCCAACCTCCACCAAAACCCTCAAATCCCCATCCATCCAATCAACACTACTAGCCGACAGCAGCGCAATAGTCCACTCGCCATCGTTATGCACCGTCGTAAGCCCGTCCGGCAGCCACACCTTGAATTTCCACGGCGGGGTGGAAGACGCCCATGTTGCTGGGTCGAGGGCGGAAGACGAGTCGGATGAAGGAGGGGGAGGGGGAAGGCCGGGTAATTGGCCGCCGAAGCGGCGGGCGATGAGCTGGCGCGTTGTTTCGAGGTCGGGGCAGTGGCCTGCGGGGAGGTCGAAGCGGGGGAGGGTGCGTTTGCCGTTTTGGAGGATGTTGAGGCGGAGGGAGATGGGGTACGTATTGTTGTTGGTGTTGGAGGTGTTGGCGTTAGAGGTGGAGGTGGCGGGGTTTGGGGGGAGGGGTGGGAAAGACTGGGGATGGGAAAGGTTATGGGTTGATGAGGAGACTTCGTCTTTGGGGGTGGACAGGCTATCGCGGATGATGCGCGAGATGTCGCGGATGACGCTGCTCGCACTGGGGACGGGTTAGTAATGTCGTCAAAGGGTTGGAAAAGAGAGAGAAACGTACAATTCGTTTCGGGTTGGCCGATTAGACCCCCCAATCCTCCACCGTAAATCAGCCGTGGCGTGGGAATCCAAGATGCGGCCGACATTGTCGTCCTCGCACGGCGTGGGACAGTCGGCGCCGCCATGATGGTAGACCTGATAATGGCTGTCCACGGCGGCGACGAGCCCGCGCCAGTCCGGTGGCTGCAGACCAGACAGCTGCCACAGGTGGTCCAGCTCGTAGTTCTGATTGTAAAAGTCGTACGACTTGGACACCGTGTTCCAGTCGGTGGGATACCCCTGGAGCAGGAGGTCCGTCAATCCCACCTCCAGTGGGTGGTGTGAAGGGGGCTCCATCTGAGTGTAGGACGAGGCCGACATGGGCGGCTGGCTGGGCGGGTACTCATCATGCAGATCGTGCTGCGTGTGTATCTGCAGATGGTCGTCGCCGCCAAAGCGCGATGTACTCGGGCTGTTGAAATTCGGAAGACTGTCTTCGGTCTTGCGTCGTCGTCGCTCCTCGCCGCCGCCCTTTCTCGTCTCGACGGCGTACTGCCGTTGGCGCTCGTTGGTCACCATCCGTCGCAGTAGGGGTATCACCAGGGTGATGATCTTCTGCTGGTCCCGCGGCCAGATATAAGTCCTCGGACCCATGCCCTCGTTGACGACGTTCTCTCCGAAGAAGCGCTCGCCGTGGCCCTCGCCTTCGAGGAATTGGCGCACGCAGTTCCACAGCCGGAGCTTGACCATCTCCGTGTCGCCCTTGCCTCGCTGGCCGACGCATTCCCGCCGCTCCGGGTACTTGTCATCGAGCATGTAGCCCTTAGCAGCAGCCTGCAAGTGGAGGAAGTTCTCCGGCGACAGCTCCAGCGAGGAAAAGAGCTTCGACATAGGAGGACGGGTGCATTTCTTGTTCGCCGCAGACCCCTTATTGCTAGACGGCTGTCGGAAGAGCGCCGCAGCCGAATGCAAGCCAATAGAGCGTGCGTCAGCCAGCGTCTGGATCGGGGCAGCCCGAATCTCCAACCCATCTCCGCCATAGTGGTGAGAATGCTGCTGCTGATGTTGTTGCTGTTGTTGGTGCTGGTGCTGCGACGGCGTCCCCGCAAGACCCGCACCCGAGGAACCAGCCGTCAGCGCCGGGTCCAGCGGCTCCTCATTCCTCTTTCTTTTCTTCGTAGCCGTCCGCGTTAACCCGGTCGACTGACCCGTCTGCTCAGAACCCGGTCCCCGCAACTGTCTCCCAGCACCCATACTGGTCCCAAAGTTCGCGTCCCCGAACCCGTCATCGTCGATGTGTATCTCCGGCCCGTATCCATCCAGATGATGCTGGTGTCCTGTCGCGCCTGCGGCCGCGGCGACCGCCGCGGCAGCCGCCCACTCCGAGACATCCTGGCCGGCCGCAGCCGTCGCGGCTTCTACCAAGCCAGCGAGCTGATTCTCGTTCGGCGCATATCCCCCAGCGGCCATGTGGGTGTTCGAATCGACATTGGATGCGGCGGTTGTATGATTCGTCGAGAAATCCGGAGCCGAAGTGGTCGGGGGATGCTGGCCGTTGGAGCCTGAGGCCGATGTCATTGTTGGTGGTTAGATGTTGGTAAGGCGATTGCTCCGAGGCGAGCCAAACAAGCCGGGATCGTGTGGGGTTGGCGAAGCGAAACTGGAAAGTGTGTGTGTATGTGGTGGCAGTCGACGGGGTATTTCCGTAGAATGATCCGAACCTGACCGCCGAATATGGTCGTGACGGCCGTAGGAAAATCCCAGAATATCACCAGAGTCAGCGACAATCCGCGAAACGCAAGCTCACTCGCGCCGTAAGGATGTCCGTAGCGAAATCAAACGCGATGAGCGGCGTCGCGCAGAGCTTCCAAAGCCCGATCGGGGAGCCTGTCGTCGTCCAGCAAGGGACACAGGGGAGTAAAAACACAGGACCGTTGGGTCAATCGGCCCCGTCACGTCCAGGACAGGAGGCGCAACAGTGCAGGAAGCTGGTCAACAAGACCACGAGAGCACATGGGAAGCTCTGAGCTTCCAATCTTCAAGAGCAAGCTAAGTCGCGTCGAGATTCGCGATAGATGGAGCCGATATGGTCGCGGGTCCAGATGACGCTGTTTGTGTGGTTTGAAGGAACGGCAGACAGTGCAAACTCTGCAGGGCTGGAAGTTGGGGGTTTATCCGGTGGATTATCCGGTACTAACATGGTAAGATATTCCGAGTCCTTACTAACGCCTAAATCTCCAGGCTACACATTAGAACATATATAATCATGTCTACAAAGTACAGAATAGAATACAGAATACAGAATACAGACTGATAAATATCATCACATGATCCAATTTGGAACCTGCCAAAATATGACGCTATGCGATCTGCATGAGCAAATGGTATCCACGCATTCGAAAACATTCAACCGGATATCAAACATCCAACACCGACCCCGAAGCCATAGTCAAAAGACAAAAAGAATCCACAAGAACCAAACACGTCGGGGAATACCCAGCAAGGACAGCCTGCGATCCCACGGGACGATCAAAATGGGAAATATCCACACGAAAATAGATAATAATAAAAAAAAATAATGGCGGCGATCAACGTGCCCACTGGCCTAGAAGCCGTCTCCCTCCTTCCAGGGCCGCCCCGCTTCGTGAGCGCGCGCTTGCGGGTCCTCTCCCCGGATGGTGGCGTTGCGGAAAGTCTCCTCGATCAGCAGTTCCTGATCGACGATCTGCTTCTCGAGCTCGACGTCCTGCCCCGGCTCGGGGATCCGGAGTTCGCTCATCTCGCCCAGATCGCCGTTCATGCGTTCGATCTCGATGAGCTCGGCGTCGGTGCGCCAGTCCTTGAGCTGGTCCTCGATCTCGTTGCGGCGGTCGCCGAGGCCGCGGAAGTCGTGGTACTCGTTCTCGCCGCCGAAGCAGATACCGTAGGCGTCGCAGTAGCAGACGTGCTCCTTGGGGCAGACGACGTTCTCGCCCGTGAAGACGACATGCCACAGGTACTCCCAGACGCGGCCGGAGATGTAGTCGCTCAGCTCGGTGCGGAGGACCCAGTCGCGGTAGTAGACGAAGCGAGCCTTGGGGATGGAGAGGATGCGCTCGCGCGAGACGGCGAATTGGGCGCAGCAGGGCTGGGCCAGGACATCGGGGATGGGGTCGTCGGGGAAGATCTCGCCCCAGGAGCGAGCCAGCATGGTCTCCTCCTGCTTGGATTCGTTCTCCTCCATGGCGCCCGGGTGCAGCCAGTCGGGGCAGCCGGGCCCCCAACTGCAGCGCAGGTTCATGTAGCCCTCGCGCACGATGCGGGCGGGGTTGAGGCGGGCTAGCATGTCGGCGGCGTCACCGTTGAACAGGTCGTCATTGTGCCAGGCGAACTGGTGGGAATGCATGAAGGCGATGATGTCGGGGAGGCGGTCGTAGTGCTCGATGATGTAGCTGAGGTAGACCATGACTTCGTGGCCTTTATTTTTGGGCGGGTGCAGCGGGGCGGCCGGATCGTCGACGACGTAGACGGCGGACTGCCATCCGGGGATGCCGTCACCCATCCACGACACATCCTCCTCTTGGGTCTTCGGGACGACCAGCATCTTGGAGTAGGGCACCCCGGGGGGTTTGGGCACGCCGGGGATGTAGTGCGGTCGCGGGGCGTACGGTTGTCGGACGAGGTGGTCATCTGGGGAGCTAATATTCCAGCGTCCGGAGGCGGGATTGACGAGCTCGCCCAGGCCAACCTTCTGGGGCATATACTGCCATTCTCGCGAGAGACTCCGGACGGTATAGAGGAAGATGCAGAGGAAGGCTAGGCCGAGGAAGGGGATTGCGCGCCGGGAGGAAATCATGGACGTAACGGGTGGGAGATATGGGAATAGAAAGATGGATAAAGATAGAGATAGGTATCGAAGAGAGAGATGAAGTGAAGTGAATGATACAAATCAAAGAGAAAAGATAGGTTAAGAGGAGGAGAGGAGGTTGGTGTACCGCGACAGGAGAACGATGATCCTGCGATCCTGAGGATGATGGCGCAGTGACGGAATGAGCCTTAACTCTCCGACCTGCTCCACGGTCGAATTACGCGATCCTGATGCGATTTAAAGTATCGATCGGTCGCCAGGACCCGTGATATTCAGCGATATTTAGCAATTAATCAGGTAGATCGAATTCACTGGGCCAAGGGGGAGGGGAAAGACGCAGATACAAGGACACAGCCAGGATGTCGGTGTTCAATCATGGAAGCGCTGTAAAACGAGGAGAGAATGAAAAGACACGGTCCCGCAAGAGGAAATCAATTCCACGGGAGAAGAGGAAGGGAGAGAGAGTAAGTATTGAAGTAAGAGAGAGAGGTAGAGAAAGATAAAAATATGGTGGTGAGGAATGGTTTAAATTGCAGCCCAGGGACCACGGTCGGAGACCGAGTGGAGCATGGAGTGGAGCCGGTTGTCAACCAGTCTAGTGCGTCTACGTCTTGGATGACGACGAGAAGGAAGAGGATTCAGGAGGAGGTATGAGATCATGGATCAGGAACATCTCTAGACACCGGTGGTAAGATGAATCATGGTGACATTGAGAGAAGTCGAAGAGAAAGATGTATTATCCAGTATCCATACAGGTACAGTCAGTCAGTCAGTCAGCTAGTCAGCGATGGATCGGTTTGAGGAAGATGAAACATCTGCTCCCCGCACTAATCCTGACTACTCGACTCTACTAAGCTGAATGTATCTAAAAAGGTACACTGGCACTCTCACACAAGAAAAATATAGCTAGATGGCAAGAATTCTGGCATAAATACCACAAGCAAAGAATAAAGATCAGAACAGGAGAAGAAGGGATTCTATATAATACAAGAGGTTAGCATTGATTTGAGAGAGCTGCTATTGATGTACTTGATTATATATATCTTGAAAACTTGCAGGAATCGATTAGTGAGAAATACATATCTTATATAATACGAATCAATTCTTCTTGGTAGATAGTAAGAATAGTTACCAGCTTACTATACATAAATATAATCAGAAAAGACTTGTAGCACAGTGACTAATTATCCCATCTGTACCCACTGTTATACACGCCCAGCTATACGGAATAGATAACCTGGACGCTGCCAACGCGTCTCTGCTGCATTGATGAAAACAGTTGGGAGTTGATTCAATCTTCTACTCTGCACTTCAACAATTGGATTATTCTCATGCACTTATCCTAGTGATACAGCGGGGATGAAACAATCACAAGCTGCAAGCACAATCACCCGGTCCACTTTAAGCTTTTGAAAAAAAACCGTCTCTTTGTCCTTGGGATTCTGCAACATTCTCTTGGCATCGAGATGTTGGTTGTTAGGGGCGTGGATAGAGTAAAACGCAGCGAATGGTAGCTTTGCTTCATTATAGGGTTAGGTTAGATACTTTGGAGCCCCTGTCCACTGGAGTACGGTGGACGTGGCTAGTTTATCCCGGGCTTTTTTGGTCTGATTATGGGACAGTGTAGCTCATAACGAGGGCAGGAGTTTTACAAATTCATAAATCAATTAGTTGGTCTCTTCTATATCTAGTATCCACAATCATCCATCCACCCGCTTTCAAAGAGATTTCCAACAGGGGGGGGGGGGGGGGATAACTAGACCTATCACGCCGACTAAGCAGGGAAACATTGTTGAGCCCGATTTAGGTCTGGTCCATACTCTCTTACCATAAGAAAACAGAATACTGTGGATATGGATATATTGTATAATATCAACGGCACTCTTCATACTCATGAACCACAGACAGTTCCAGCGCCAGTCAGTAGACGAGAGCACCTCCAAAGGCCAGGCAAGACCAGCGCGGAAGAGGAAGATTTTACAAAATCATAGATAAATTAGGCCCGTCAGCTAGATGGCAAGGATTGCTAACATGCAGGTAGCCTGGGTATGAATGAATATTTTCCGACTCGCTAATAGAACGCCCATGAAGCAAAATATCCCAAATACACAAGGGGGAACGGGAGAAGAGAAGAGGGTTATAATCCAAATGCCAATAAAAAGAATACAAACACTTCTGTCATGTCTCTTCGTCTGCCGCTTCCTCGACCGTGGCTACTCGGGTCTTCCCTTTGGAGGAGGATTCTGAGTCCTCGTCTTCTCCTGCAGCCTGCCCGTCCACCCCGGCGGATGACTCTGCTGGCGGCGGGGATGCTGGCGCGGTCGACGACCCGACGGGCCCCGTGGGGTTCCCAAAGTTCCATTGGGGCACCGTCGACGGCGGGGATGCGGCCGTTGTTGGGGTAGGATCGGGAACCCGTTCGTCATCCTCGTGCGCCGGAGGCGCATGGGCTGACGGGCTCGGACCGTCGTCCGGGGCTTGTGCCGGAGCACCCGTTGTAGGAACTGTCGGGGTCGCAGGGACCGTCGGAGTCGCGGGCTCAGTGCCCCGCACTCCCGTCAACCCCGGTGCCTGAGCGTCGGTTGCGTGGAGCGGGAGAAGCGACCACCCCGGGGGAAGACTGAGCCCCTCGGGCAGTCGAGCGTCGTTGGCCGTCATCGCGGGAGCGCGCGGGTCGGACGCGAACTGACGATGCAGGGCAACGGGCGACGTGGCGGACGAGGCCGCGGAGGCAGTCGGGATTGGAATACCCGGGGGGTTCGACGGGGTAGCGGGCAGGTTCCGAAGGCGCTGGAGTTCCGACTGCAGCAGTCGGACCAGATGCAGCTGGTCCACCGTGACCCGGAGGTTGTTGATCTCCTGCACGATCTGCTGCTCCATCTGCTGGAGATGGTTCTGCATGTCCGCGGTACTAGCCGCGGACGGCTGTGGTGCCTGTGGCGGAGGAAGGGCCTGGCCCGGGGCTGGGGCCGGAGGTCGCCCAAATCCAAAGCCGAAACCGATCTGTCTCGCACCAGGAGGAGCATTGGCGTTCGCCAACGCTCCCGGGGCGTTCCCCTGGCGAATCTGCTGGTGTAGATTGTGGAAAACGTCCCCTCTCCCAGCCCCGAAGCCGATGCGGATGGGCCCAAACTGAAACACGCGGGCGCGAGGTAGTCCATCGGCGGGTCCATTACGGCCCTGAGGTTGGTTGTTTCCGCCTTGCTGCGGGCCAAGACCGCCACCCTCCTGGGCGCCGTGGGGGCGCGGCGGGGGTATGACCGGGCGTCGACAGGTGGGGCAGTTCTGCTGTCGTTCGAGCCAGCTCCGGAGGCAAACAAAGTGTAGAATGTGACCACAAGGCAGCTTCTTGGGTCGGAGCCGCTCGGGTATCCGGGGCCGGGCGCCGCCCGCCGGTGGCTGCCACGGGGTCATTTCTTCGCGACAGATGATGCAGACTTCCTCCCGGGCCACCTCCTCGGCGGTGGCGTCCGGATAGCGCTCGTTCATGTCCCGTGTCGCATTCCGGTAGCGGATGAAATCCATGATGCGGCGCGCGAAGGAGCGGATGGTGACGACGACGTCGCGGAGGATATGGATGGGCAAGCCATAGAAGGTGAACAGAATGGCAAAGAAGGTGAGGTAGACGGTCAGCTTCAGAAAGTCCGTAGCCAGGTCGAGGTAGAAGATCCAGCGGCCTTTCTCCTCCCAGCCCGGAATGTCCAGTTCCATCTCGTTGATTTCCTCGTCCGGGGGCAACGTGGGGGATGGCTCCCCTCTCAAAGCCTGTTGGCGCACGGCTTCCGCCCTCGCTTCCCGGATCTCCTGACGCCGCTCCTCGATCCGAGCCTTCTTCTGCTGGTTGTTGATGTAGATTTCGACTAAGGTGATGGAGTACCGGGCGGCCGTGGAGGTGGAGAGGATGGTGAGCACAGCGAACTCAAAACCAAACATGACCATCATGTCCGGTCGCGCCTGTTCCAGCACCGTCTGGACACAGTATTTCAGCATCAGGGAGTTGAACGCGACGGACAGCAGCAGCGAGGTGGCCAGTCTGGCGTGGAACCATCGGGGATTAGGTGGCGGCTGTTGTTCCACAAACTCGACGCGGCCCTCTCCGATCCAGCCCCAGACCTTCCCGGCCAACAGGCAGACGAACATGACCAAAAACCAGCCACCCATTTCTCCACGGAAGATGGTCATGGCCAAACATGTTTCCGTCACGGCGAACCACGCCTTCTCGTACAACTGTTCAGTCTCGATGGGTCGGAGGGGTCCGTAGAGGAGACGTTGGAGCCAGAAGAGTAGAAATCCGACGGCGAGTAGGGATACATTCGTCAGGATCTGAACAGATCATTAGCGATTATAAGTTCACTGCGACCCCATCCTAGGGAAGACTCACCATAAGATTTGCGCTACTCTGGGACAGATAGACACAAGCGGCGTAGAAGTTGGCCCGTTGATGCAGCGCCTTAAGAAACACACCCGAGGCCAGAGCCACCGAGGCCTATGGCAGAGCGTCAATCTGGGGGTTCCTTTCCTCCATGACCGAAAGGGGATCCATCAGCCACTTACCCCAGCGTAGGCGGCTAATCTCATGGCCACAAGGGGAGATATGTGGGCAACCAGCCCGAGCTCATGGACAAGATGACCAAATCAGAACAATCACCTCAGCGGGACATTGAGAACCAACGGGTGTCCCGAAGAGAAATGGACGGAAATCGTACGTCAAGCAGACCGTTGAGGAAGATGATCTTGTCCGGTAGAATCGCGTGGTCAATTGCGGCGCGGAGTAAGTTTAAGGTAAGGACAGCTAAACTAATCCGGTCTTACGTCAGCGGGCCACTCCGTACTTTTACCCCATACAAATACCTGGTACTTCTTCACTACTCCATATTGTGGGGATAATACTGGGTTGAGACTCCTGATTTTACTAATTACCAGACAGAAGAACAATGCTTTGGTCTATGCGACATCATCCAGGCGCCTCCCTCCACATAACAGCTAATTGCCATTCTACAAACGTTGTCGATCTGAGGCCCACTGATTCGCCCACGTGACCGCGTCGTACAGAGGGGCATCAAGGCGTCCACATCATCGTCATCATTCCACTTCTTACAACCCACTTTCTATTGAACAGACCAGAATATATCAATTGATCGGGATCTTCAACCGCAGTGGTGACCGGTATGCGGTCATTGATCTGATGGCTTCTCAACCGCCATTGTTTACGGCGACCCGCGCCCAGACACTCACCTACCTACTAGGCGTCTGTCCATTCTCCATCGCCTTCCTTGTCTTCATCAATTCCTCTGTCTCCTTTGTCGTCACTGAGTTGATTGGCATTCACGAGGGTCAGGGTGATGTCGTGGGAACGCTAGGGTTTGCGGATGAGCTGCTCGCGCTGGCGGCTTGCCCGCTGTGGGGAGTTCTGTCGGACCGCATTGGGGTCCGCTATGTAAGCTTCTACTGCGCCGTTTCTATCCTAGGGACGGTCTCTGATCGTGTCGATGTAGGTCTGTACCGTGGGATACGCCATTGTGGCTCTGTCGCTGGTCTTGTTCGTCCAGGCCGTGAATGTCTACCCCCAGCTTCTCCTGGGACGGCTTCTGTTCAGCTTAGGAGCCTCGGCGGTGTCGACCATGGTGACGGCGGTCTTGCCAGCTGTCACAGACCGGTCGATGCCCGTGCGACAAGATTCTAACTCGGACACTGATCACACTAGTGACGAGCCGGCGCCGTCCGAACCGGACGCCCGTAAAGGTGCGCCCGCGTCCCGGCTGGCCGGGTTTGTTGGCATGTGCGCTGGCTGTGGAGCACTTGTGGCCTTGGTGGTCTTCTTGCCCCTTCCAGCCCGGCTCCAGCAGTCAGGACTGTCGCCACCGCAGTCGATCCAATGCAGCTACTACCTGGTCGCGGCGGTGGCCGTGGTGGTCAGCATCGGTTCTCTGATTGGCCTGAAGGATCTCCCCGGTGAGGAACACAAGGGATGGGGTTCATTGTGGTCGACAGCCGACGACCCTGCGCACACGGGAGAAGGCAAGCCACATCTACCGTGTCTCGGAGAATTGAGCACGGCAGTCGCGTTGGGATTCCACAATCGGGACATCTTCATCGGGTATCTGGGCGGGTTCGTAGCACGCGCCTCGTCCGTCGGGATCTCGTTGTTTATTCCCCTTGCGGTCAATCACTACTACCTTACCTCGGGCCTATGCCACGACGACTCCGCAGGCAGTCCCGGTGACATCAAACGGTCGTGTCCGCGCGCCTACGTGCTGGCGTCCATCTTGACCGGGGTCTCCCAGCTGGTCGCACTCATTGTCGCTCCGGCCATGGGATACCTCTCGGAGAAATCCCGGCGGTACCATCTCCCACTGCTGACGGCCTGCTTCGCGGGAGCGATCAGCTTTACTGCGTTTGCGCTCTTACCCAGTCCCGAATACAAGGGGCAGAACGGAACCGCCGCCGTGTTTCTGATCATGGGCTTGATGGGCATCAGCCAGATCGGCGCGATTGTCTGCAGTTTAGCCGTACTCAGCAACGGTATCCTGCAGGTGACGGGGCCCACCGAACCCGAGCATGCCAACCCCACGGGGAGCGACCCGAGTGATCCGCCGAACGAGCAGCGCCCGCTGTTGGCGAGACCCGCGCCACCCCAGTCGCGCCGGCTGTCGCACCTGAAGGGGTCCATCGCCGGGGTCTACTCCTTGTACGGCGGTGCCGGGATACTGCTGCTGACAAAGGTCGGCGGGCTGCTGTTCGACGTGCTCTCCTCAGGGGCGCCGTTCTACATCCTAGCCGGCTTCAACGGGGTGTTATTCCTAGCCGGAGTCACCAGCGGACTCCTCGGCAGTTCAAAGTGGCTGAGGGGATCGCATATCGCTTAAAATTTCCTCGATCGCAGCCTCCAAATAAAACTACTCTCTTGTCCAACCAAAGATGCGCACCAAGTTCTGCAGACCAGCGCACGCGAATGGCCGGCTAATAGTCCCTCGTAGCATAACGCCACCCGACCAAAATAACCAGCCCAAACCACGCTAAAAGCCTGAAATTCTCACAACACCACCAGGGAACAATCAAACTAAGAACAACCACTTTCCCCATTAGCATCTAGTCCGGACAGGAACCCCAATCGGACGGAACCAACCGCCGAGACAATCTCCTGCTAGCGCGCCGACAGACCCTCGGTTCGCTTTTGGATCAATAGTAACGAACTGGCCGTTGTAGTTAGTGGCGGGGTCCGTGTAAGCAGTGCATTATCTCCCGGGATTTGATGCTACATAAAGAGGGGAGGATATAAGGACTGCCCCGTCGGGCTTTTTGGGTCGTTGATCGTCGTTCTCTTGTTGATCGTTCTCCAGTCTCTCGTTCTTTTTATATTAACTTACCATTTTATATTCATTCATTCATTCATTTTTTTTCTATAATAATTATTTTTTAGTACCTACAATACTACCATTACTACTATACAAAATGCACAGCAACTTCCTCACCCTCGCCGTCGCCCTCCTCACCGGCGCATCCTCCGTCCTCGCCGCCGATGAAGTCGTCACGCTCTTCATGCCCCAGGCTGATCCCCAGCCTCTAGTGGGTAAAGTCATCGCCACGGTATATCTCCCCACCCCTTTACTCCATATATCATATGACACATCTAACAATACAATGAACAGGACGGCCCCCTCACCACCTACGTAGTCTACTGCGCCGACGAATCCGACAGCGACGAATGCGGCATGCCCGAGGAAGGCTACACCGTCGCAGCAGGAAAATCCACCTACAACGCGATCTATAGTTTCCAAGATTAGTGAGTTATTGCCCCTTTCTATGACCCTTAGCACTCCATTTTTCGCTTCCTTATTTCTATCAATCAACATTCTCGAATTGATCAACACGGAGGGTACAATCACTAATAACGATGACAGCTACCTCTCCCAAGGCTGCACAATCTCAGACTCAACCTACGCCTCGTGCGAAATCTCCCAGCACGACGTGTCGACCACCCACACCGACAGTGCCAGCATCACCATGCCGTCGCTGCCTATGTTGGCTGTTACCATTACCGCGACGGAGCTGGATGGCACTACGGCGAAGGCGAAGGCGACGGCGAAGGCCTCGCCTGAGCGGACTGGCGAGGCTGCGTCTACTTCGACTGCTACTTCTGGGGCTAAGAATACCCCTGGTGCTGCTGCTGATGCGGCGTCGCCTTCGTCGTCGCCGACGACTAGTGATAATGCTGCTGGGGCGCGTGTCACTGGGATGTCGGGGTTGGTTGTTGGTGCTGCTGCTGTGGCTTTGGGGATGGTGTACTAGATTCATTTCTGAAGTGGTCAAGGTATGAGAGTGACGTGCATGATAATTGATTGATGGATGGTTAGACCATGTCGGAGGTACTTCCTGTTTTATATTTTAATAGCGATAATTAATGTATTTGTTGATTTGTGTGCTGGTCGTTGCGATATCTGTCACCTAGCTGCACAAACCATAACAGGCAGATAGCGGTCGTAAGAATATCAAGTTTCTAGTCATGAGCCTCGTCTGTATACCCCACCTCGCGGGCCGATCTATGTACATCCTATTGGAAGACCCCCCGGATCCGCCCTCCCAGTCCTGTCGATTTGGCGCTCCGCTCCTCCGTCTTGTGTCGGCGTTCTTCGAGCGGCCGCACCTCCAGCCCGGAGCGGATCATGTTGGTTCGTAGTAGTCGTAGGTGTGCCTCCTGCAGGTAGCTCTCCAGGCTGTTGAGCGCGGCCTGCTGCACCTCCATCCGCAGGTCGACCTGGTTGGACACGAGCACCATCTTCTCCAGGTCGATGCGCGCCTCCAGCGTGCCATCCTGGATCAACGTGATCAGCTCCTGCACAAATGGCGACGAGGAGTCGATCTGGTTCGTCTGGCCCGAGGCGACCCCCGGCGCGAAGATCTTGGACATGGAATCCAGTGTGACGCGGCTGAACGGGACGAGATACTGCTGGATGGACTTGGTGCGGATCTGCGTGAACAGCGTGCTGACGTGGCGCTGGAGGTGGATGTCGAGGAGGTAGTCGGTCTTGTAGGACTCGAGGATCTCCAGACACGGGCGGAACTTGGAGCTGCAGAAAAAGGAAATGGCGCGGCGGATGTGGGGCTCCAGCTCGAGGAAATTGCGGAACGCGTTGTTCTCCAGCACGCGGCGTTGGAGCTCGAGGCGGTCCATCGATGCAAGCGCACACAGTCCGCCGTAGACGGCCACGTCGTTCGACGTGATCACCTCGTTGTATGAGTCTCCCAGACTGGGCTCCGTGTCCAGGAAACTGTTCGCGGCCTCTAGATAGGACCCCGAATGCATTTGAGACAAGCCCATGGCGGCCGACATCTTCGGCTGGTTCTTGCTCTGCTCCTCCTGTTTAGATTGCATGTTGCGCAACCGCTGCACGTTGGACTGGACACTCAACCAGTCGCCACGCTCGATCCCCACGTTGATGATCTTGAACAGCATCGACGCGATATGGGTCGGAGTCGTGCAAAAGTCCCTCATCCGAGAGTAAGCCTTGGATGCCGCCACCAGGTCACCGATCTGGTGATAATGGTGCCCGAGATCCTCATTTCCCATCTGAACCAGTCAGCGACCACCAGGCATCGCGAAACAGAGAAGAAGAACCCACCCGAATACTCTCTTTGATAAGATTGTTTTTATACCCCCGAAGCTCATGCTCCAACCGATCCGTTTCGACTTTGACCACCTTGCGCTGGTGATTCATCCAGTCCGCATCGGGTACGGCTTCAGCCTCGTTTGGTGCAGCCTCAGCCAGCGCCCTCACAGCCCGTTCATATCTCGCGACATCCTTACCCGCCTTAGCCTCAGCGATAGCAGCTTTGAGCGCCTCGACAGAGAGATACGTCGAACAGGTACCGATGAGAAACAAGCGATTAAACCTGGTCCGGCCTGAGGCCGTTAGCCCTCTCCCCGGGAAAGCAGCGGGATCTCACGCACCAGTGTAGTTCGCAATGTAAGACTCTAGTTCAAATTTCGGGGGATCTAAGGTCGTCAGTACCCATTTCCATAGTGACTCTGCTCTGAAGGCAGTGACTGAGCTAGTGGTAAGCACATACCATCTACCCTCACAAACGGCCCAGTCGGTGCTAAGCTGCCGTTCAAAGCCTCTAGATCCGTACTTGCCATGCTCGAAAGCTGTCCCTGGTAGGTCCCGGATGGAAACGCATCGAACGCTTCTGGCCCTATTTCCATCTCGGAGGTCGTTGCGTATTCTCGTCTTCGCTATGAGTACCGCTTTAACGAACCAGCGATGGATTGTCCACGAGCACAATTAATCACGCACTCTTTAATGATTTGAGCTAGTACTGAGTAAGAATCGATCAGACAGTGCTGTTGAGTCCACAGGAAATGAACAACGAAACGGGTCCATATAGCGGGGAGTGATAAGTAGGCAGGTGGCAGGCGGAGTAACTGACGGAGACGATGATCGTCATTTGGCTCGCTTTATCAACACGCCCCGCTCACCGCCCGCCCCACCGCCTGATCATCGACCGTCTACATCAACAGTCTAGGATTTGATCAACGATTCTCATTCATGGTGCAAATACAGGATAATTCAGTCATCATGCAGCTGCCCAGCTGCCTGCCCTCTCAATTCACTACAATAAATGAATTACCGGAACTGGAACTTGAACCAACAGAACTGGAACAGGGGGAACTCGCGATGTCCGCATCTGAGGTCCCCAACGGACTCTGTTCCCTGCTCGTCTCTGGGCCAAATTCACTAATATCGGGTGAGAGAGGTGCGCAAGGCCGGTCGATCCCAGTAGGCGCTAGATCCGGTGCAGATTGGCTTCGAGTGATGGTTGTACGCATGGGCGTCTCATCTGGAAGGACCGACTTCAGGGGTGCCCTGTCGCTGATGAGATTACGCCTGGATCCTTTCTCTGGTAGCAACTCACCATCGAATTGGAGGCGGCCAAGGAAAACAAGTTCTGGAATATAGTCAACGCGGATAACTTCAATGTATCTGTGATGTCTTACTGATTGTCCGTGAAGGTTAGAAGCTGCACATTAGGCGCCTGCGGTACCCATCTATTCCCTTCAGATGTATTCTGATAGTCGGCGGGGGCTTATCCTTACACTGCATTATGGTCGATGGTACTATGGAAGAGTCAGTGGGAAAGATGAGACCTCGCGGTATGGTAAGCTACCTGAAGATGGTATGAGATATCTCGACACTGTCTCGTCAGTGCAATCCCACGTAGAAAGCGCAATAGTCTCTTACAGGTGTCCAGTTGGGCGGTAGGCGTCACTGGCAGAACCGGAAAATCAGAGGCTGGTACGTTAAAAAAAAAACCATGGATGGATAGCTGACATGGCTTCAAACTTGGGTAGTATACTAAGAAGTCACAACATGTCAGTCGACAACCATGGGGTTCGGGCAGGGGTACTCACTCTTGGAATTCCACTCGAGCCCAGTAGGCTGTCTCAGTGATATTTCTAGTCAAAGGAATTAGATACGGAGTTGAACCCGTCAAATGGGCTGAGAGGGCCGGAAATCTAACCCCTCCCATTGCATGTCGGCATGGTTCTCGAGAAGGCTGGATGTATGTCTATCGATCTGCCAGGTCTAACGGCATCGTCGGAACGTTAGAAGTTTCCCAAGGGTTTAATTGGCAGTGAATCAGAACTTACCGCATGCTCGGGCTCCTCCGACGCATCCCCGATGATCCTTAGCTCGGCCAATAGCCTACCATCCCGCCAGTCCCGTCGGTACATTTCCATGTTTATAGTACCCACCAGCTGCTGTCTGGGCCAGAATGCATGGGGGGCCATGTCGATGACTTTGCTTGCCTGCAGACACTCAGCCTTGTGTCCGAACTGGCATCGGTCGACCTACCAAGAATAGAGCACCCCCTAGCAACGGCCCATTCTGGCCGAGATCCATCCAACTCCTCTTAAAACCGTCCACGGGGGCCGAGATATGATGCACGGCTGAGATGTACAACGGACAGGTTTCCGAGGAATGTCCCTTGATCAAGCACACCGGGCAAACTGGAGCATGCTGTACAATGTAAGTTCATGCCCGCCGGGTGGCTTTGAATAGCGCAGGAAGACCTACATCATGAATCATAGTGATGATAAATTGGTTCGTGAACGACTAGTGATGTAAGTGGTCAAAACCAGTCTATATGATAAATGGTAATTATAGAAATGAAGAAATGCGTGATTCTACCAGGACATGTGGAAAGTGGTTTACACTCCTATTTACAGGTCGACAGTACCTAGCACTAAGATACGCATATCATCTTAGTGGAAAGGAAGTCGAGGGGGGCAGCAGCCAGGTCCACGACTTCCTCTTTCATATTGAAGGCCAGCCATCACGGTTGGTGGTCTCTATTCCGTTTACTTTGAAGTATAAACACCTATTTTTCATTTACACACTATTAATAATTGATAGACCTTGCTTTTCTACTGATTAGTCCTAGGAATTCAGAACTGCTCTAGATATATTCAAGATATAAAGACCCGGAAGCTTAAGATCGATACTTGACTCAGGCACCCCCCATTGGACAGGGTACGACTTTCTACCCAAACAATGGCTATCAGACTAGGGCTGTAAAACCTCTCAGTAAGTGTATTAATACTTCATGAATATGTTCACATGTTCACTCTAATCAGTCCAAGAAGATACATCGTCAAAATCCTGAACCGTACCGCCAATATGCTTCAAAATCACACTCCCTACGTTGGCGGGGGCAAACCATGGTGAGATTCCTCGCCCTTCCATCCAGTAACAGAGTAATCAAAGCAGCCATCATTCGTATCGTAGATACGCGAACCGCCCCATTTCTCCTCGCGAGTATTAGTGTCGCCTATTGAAAGATCAGGTTAGCATCATGCAGTGGGTTAGAGAGATCGATACTGGCCAGGCAGGACTCACACTCATCGATAATTATCCTAAAGCTTCTCTCGCAATCCTCAGCGGATACTTCATGGTCCTTGCCGGTGTGGCAGCCCGATTGCGACTCGGGATATCTGACAAGCAGATTGACGCTGTTCATGACCATTGGTTGGTCAGGGTTTTCACCCTGCTGGTCCTGGGCCTTCAGCTTCAGACCATCCTTGCAATACCGCTTGATATTTTCGAGGAAGTAGTCGCGGGTCTTGTGAGTATAGTTGTCCTTGTCGTGTTTCTGACACTTCACTTTCGATTCGTCTGCATGAGTCGACCAGGAGTAGATCAATCTCCCATCCCCGATTCGACCACCTTTCTTTTGAGTCCTGGTATTGGTGTCGCATTCGTCGATGGTTTTCTGGAAGTTCTTTTTGCACTCACTGGTCTCACGTCAGATGCGTGCATCCTTTCCACCCTGGTTCTTGGAGAAACTCACGCTTTACTTGCAATGCCTTGGTCCGCTCCCTCTTCCAGAGAGATCTTCAGGGCGTTGACAGTCGTTCCTCCAGCGTTCTTATATTCCTCCGAAAAACCTTTGAAGCGCTTCCCTCTATTGTCTTTGGACATGCGTTCACAAATGTCGTCCACATGCTTCATGATGGCCTCCCGCGTGGTGCCCCGGCTGTCCGGCGTGCCCGTGCACGTCAATGCACAGCTTCCGAGGAGTGCCTGCTGCCGTATCTCCGTCGGCTTTGAGTATGGCTCCCCCTTGACGCCCTTCTTCACTTCTCGGATTTTCAACTTAGGAAGCAAGGACTTGCAGCCCCAGAAATCTCTACTATTGCAGGGAGGCTTGATGCCATTAGCAATAACCTTTTTCGACTGTGAGTCTTCCTTGTACTCCCACGCAATGATAACGGCTTCCTGGTCCGAGATCTTCTGCCCTGGATTCTGTTTGATCCAGGCAAAGATGGCCATGACCTCGCCGCACTGCGCCTCATTCTGATGTTGCGGTTCCTTGGATCCCCGACTGTTCAAGCACGCCGTGAGCGCGTTGGCCAGCTCATCCGGTACCGCTTTTTTCACGTCGCCTTTACCATCCTGACCCCGGCGGCGCTCGTACACCACCGGCGGGTTGCCCTTGGTGGAGGAAGCGAGGTAGACGCTGCGGCCGACCTTCAAGGCCGTCATCACGGTCGGCTGCTTCGTGACGTCGATTCTCTCGGTTTTCCAGTGGTCTCGCATGCGTTTGTGCGCGTCATCGGCTATCTGGACTAGATTACCGTCGGTCAAGTCGCCTGTGAATGTAGCGATTGAGCTCCAGAGGTAGCTGTCGAAGCCTGGTGGCTTTGCTCTTTTGGGCCGGACAGACTTGTCCCGACGAACGTCCAGATCGATGCCGTCGTCTCGTGCGGTGAGCTCGAAGAACTCGGTCGTGTCAATCGTGTCAATCGTGTCAGTCGTGTCAGTCGTGTTCAACGAGAGCACGAGGCCCACGAGGAGGGTAAGGAGAAGGATGATTCTGGACACCATCTTGGATGCCATCTTGCGATGCAAAGGAGGATAGAAGGAAAGAGACAATGACTTGCAACATAAAAGAAGGTCAACGATGCAGGCCAGAACGGCCTTTTAAAAGACGTCGATTCTCAGATACTAGGGAGTCTAGGATCATCCCGTCTAGAGTTTAAGGCGCTATTTTCGCTCACACACGACTCGGCTCCATCATCCTCGGCCTGACCAATCCGTTATTCGCCTTGACAACCCGTCCTCACTATGCTTGGTTTCAGAGACAATGGCAGTATAGGAAAAAAATAAGCCTTATGCCCTCTATCAGTTTTGGCCCCCCGAGCTAGCCGTCGCGACGCCGGCCCTGCACAGCCTTGCTCACCGTGCATTAGCTCTGGTCTATGAATAACTTTCCTCCAGATTAGATTCATATTAGGCCATAGCTCTCTCCAGCTAGTAATGCCGATCATATCCTGGTTTGGAGGTTCTTCACGTCCTTCATGCGGCTGAGAAGCTTTCTGCGAAAGCTTCTCAGCCTCCCGGGCCTTTCTTAGCGTAGTTGGCCCGCTAAAGGCGGAGATACCGCTAAAGAATGGGGCCTATAGAATGGGGCCAAAAGCAAGTGCTTATAGGGACTCGGTCGCTGTCCGCTATGGTCCGGGAAGGCGCGGTGCTTATGGTCGGTGGGTCTGTCGTTCTTGGTCTTGTAGTAGGGCTGTGTACGCCGCTAATTTAAGCATTATTGGGGGGCAGTACCTGCAGAGATGACTGACTTTCCTAGATCTGGCGCTCACCCGATCCCGAGATATTGATCTAAATTGGCCCTATGACTGACTTGCCCAGATCGAGTTGCTTACCCGAGGCTGAGATATGGATCTACAAAAAATCCTGCATCAATCGTGTGTGCGTCCTAGGTTGGCGGAAGTTCACCGGTCAGCTTAGCAAGACCCATCATCACCGTCCACCAGTCGGTCTGGACTTGCCTCGATGAAAGAGCTGATATGGATTAGCTCAAGGCAGACTTGCAACCGACCAGGAGCAATCCACAATTAGCCCGACAGTGAACGTGACGCTTATTGTCTTCTCTTTGCATGACTAAAAAGGGCACTACGATACGATATAGTATATAACCGCGATCAAGTTCATACCGAGACCTAGAAAGGCCTGCACTGACTTCGCGACTTGTCACTTCCATACTCCTTCTCCTTTCCTCCCTTTCCTTCCCCTTCCCCCAAACCATGGTCCACCTCCGTCAAGGCAGCGCCGTCGCGCTGCTGCTGGCTGGCTGGCACATCGCTACCTCCAGTGCAGCGGGCATCCCCCTCAACCGCCGCGAGGACGTCTCCATCGGCGATTTCTCCTACATCAAGAAATTCGCCGCTATCGGTGACTCCTACAGCTCGGGCGTTGGTGCAGGCTCCGTACTCAAGGGCGAGGATAACGAAAAATGCTCACGATACGATGAGTCGTATCCTAGTTTTTTGAACGAAGATGCTCGCATGGGCGGTGCTGACGCCCACGAGTTCACCTACCTCGGGTGCCTGGGCGACAAGACGCCCGAAATCAAGGAGCAGGCCAAGAAGCTGGGGGGCGATATGGATCTGATCACCATCTCTGGCGGTGGTATGTTGTATTCCCTTCTGCTTGTCACTCGACTCCCCACTTCCCTTGGCATAATTGCTAACGTGTATTGCACAGGTAACGACCTGGGGTTCTCCAACATTGTCCAAGGGTGTATCTACCAGTGGGCAGTCTACAGTAACTGCGACAAGGCAATCCAGAACGCCGAAGATGTTCTAGGCGGCACCTCTCTAGAATCAAGCGTCAGCGCCATCCTCAAAGAGGCCAAGAGCCACCTCTCGTCAAGGGGCTCGATTTACTGGACGGGTTACGCAACCTTCTTCAACGCCGACACATCAGCCTGCGACAAAATCAAGTGGAACCTCCTTCCGGAGTTCAACCCGCAGTTCCTCACGCAAGACTTCCGCCACAAAGTCAACCAGCTCGTCCTGGACCTCAACAGCAAGCTCAAGAAACTCGTGACCGACGCAGGCGCCACCTTCGTCGACTACGAGCAGCACTCGCAAGACTGGTTCGGCCGGTTCTGCGATGAAGGCGTCGATGAGTCCCAGGTGTACGACCAAAAGAATTTCGACCGCACTCGCTGGAACGACATGTTTTATCAGATGAAGTGGACCGAGGGCGATCTGAAGAAGCGCGGCATCGAGATGAAGCGGAAACGCTCCCCCAAGTCCGACGACACCATGGACGACTACCAGCCCATGAAGGGTGACTTTGAACTCGTCGAGCGCATGGGCATCCCAGATAGCATTTCCAAGGTCTTCCATCCTACGTCTATGACGCACGAGTTTATCTCCAATGTCATCTTTGCCCTCATGACGGAGAAGCAGGCCAAGGATCATGGCATTGATGCGAGTCTTGAGACTCCGTCTATTGATGATACTGAGAGTTGCTCTGCTTAGAGAGATTTAATTGATTGATTGATGATGTGTTTCACCTGGTGATATGTTGGAGCTATTTATCTATTTTTTTAGACAGGAAAAGAGACTGCCGTTTGTAAGGTCTAGCTACACTATTTTTATGGGTCAATGTTCTCTTAGCTGAATTTGACAAATTCAATAATTTATGAGGTATCATGAAGTTACTCGACTATTATAATATCGTTACCAGAATGAATTAAACGTACTACTTCTATAAGTTCTTTCGATACTTTATATCCGTGGTACTGTTACATGACTTGTAGAAGGCTCAGCAATGTCGTAAAACTTATACACCCAACCCATCCATCTAATTGAGGTTGAAATAGAATCTCTACCCATCACCTTTTCCAATATCATCATCATCCAAACAACATCACCAATCCTATCACACCCGCGTCCACATCCCCACCCCAAGCTCATCATCCACGACATCCAACCGAACCCCAACCCGTTCACACATCTCGCTTACCTCCACCCTCTTCTCCTCCGACCAATCCACCTTGAGAGGCGCCCACGCCCGCAACACAATGCCCCTAACATTCGGACACTTCGAAACCAAACCCTCCAAATGGCGCTCAACCCACTCTAGAAGCGACACCACCGTCCAATCCATGCTCCCGACGCCCCCAAAATCCAGCCTAATACAGACCTCCTCCACAGACTCGGGCAGTATCGCGCTCAGATCATCCAGCGAGCGCGCCGAGTCCCACCCCACGAGTAACGTAACGGGGCTTTCGATCTTGCGCGCGGACTTCATATGCAATAGGAATCCCTCGAATGGTGCGCGGAGAGTTTCTTCTTGCTCGTTGTCGAGGTAGTACTCGCCGAAGGTGGGCGGATAGTATTCGAGGCCCAGGGAAATGTTCGTGATTGATGGGGCAAAGGAGTGTATCCCGCGTAGGAGCTCTGTGCCGTTCGCTAAGGCGATGTCTTGACCCCAGTGGTAGGCGAGTCCGAGGTGGAGGGTGTGAAGCGCGGGGGTCGTCTGAGATAGGAGATGCGGGACGTCTTGCTCGCTGATAGTGGCTCTTGCGAGAATGAGCGTGTGCAACTGGTGGAGGTTGGACTTGTTGCCGATATCTCGCGCGTCGCGCAGCCAGATCGCAAGGGCCTTGAGCGAGGGGAGATAGAACCATGCTTTGAACTGCTCGGGCTCGCAGTCTGGGTAACCCTCGACTGTGTCAAGATCGATTTCCTCTTCAATGCGCTCTGCGATGCGCGCGTTGCTTCCGTAATCCACTGTTTCGAGGAATTGGAAGTCGGGGAGGAGGGTTTGTGCGCTGCTGCTTGCTAGATTGGTGGGGAATAAGGCGTGCTTCAGCATCAGGCCAGGAAATCCAGACATCCAGACAAACATGTAGTCTAGTCGCAGAGAACGAAGGTTATGCAGGCGCGAAAGGAGAATGGAAGCAAAGGCGTGAGGGTCCCCCTCTTGGAGGGCCTGCTTCCACTTTCCCGCGTCCGGGAATAGCGCATCATCGACGAGGCCTTGCGCCAGGCGAACCACGTCTCTATATTCGGCTTGCTCTGTGTCCCAGTCAATATCTGATTCTGGAGGCGTCCATGGCTCGCTGGAGAAGACTTCCTGGGTGGAAACAAGGCCGAGATGATAGACCTGGGATGCAAGTTCCGGACGGTGCATGATCGTCCGTAATAAGCGGAGGATGCGCCGCGTGGGAACTGGCTCGTCCCATGGCCAGGAGATTTTGCGGTAGAGGAGAGGCTCGACTGTTGAGCGAATGTCTTTTGAGACGAGGGATAGAGACGGGAGGTCATCTTGGGGAAGATGCTCTGCGATTGCTTTCCAGCAGTCGTAGGGAAGTGCTGTGTGCATTGTGATTCTTTTTGTTGTCTTATTAAGTATGGGTGTTGGTTTAGAGACTTAGGTGTATAGATGGCATGGCATTCTGTTTCTTGGAATTTATATGATTAAAAGGATGAAATGAGTTGGAGACTCCGCCCCCAACGTGGATCTAGCTGGATAAGGCAGATTTTCGTGAGGGTTTAAACTAGTTTTTTTTAGTTTCAGGCAAGGATATATCGTCTTACCACCCACTTTTGAAGAAATATTATGGAATAAGCTTATATTCTTGTTTCTCTTAGCAACTTATATGCATTTCTATGAGCTAATTTTTTATGGTTTTGAGAGGTGTTCATGAGTGGTGGATCTATGCGGGAGAAGTATCCGATATATATATATCTTGAGTATCATGGGAATTACATACTTCAAAGCTTTATAAACCAACTATATCTGAAGGTATAGATCCAAAATATCGAATATAATTATCTATATTTCGAACCACTAAATCAAATATATTGACTCTCAAAGTCTCAAGAAATCAAAAAAGTATCTTAAGAGCTTCTTGCGTGGAACTAGATAGCTAAAAATACTTAGACCGACTTCTCTTCTTTCCCAAGCGTCAAGCCTCTAGGATCTCTCTCGAGATATGTTCTACTAATTCCGGGTATTTTGTTCTTATTTTCAAGAACCTCACACAATGGTTGTCGATTAAGGGCCCAATCGGCTATCACAGCCTCAAGACCCCGGGTTGATCTGACTTGGGAATGAAGGGGTATCCGACTCGAAGGTGGTTCAAGATCCTAGTCACGGTGGCTGATGAAACGAAAACGAAGCAAGGCCTATCGAGTACATGTACCCAATAGCTTGGAAGAGTGCTTCTACTTCCGAAGGTAAATTGTTGAGTATACTATCGCGTGCGTGCTCCCGGAGGTCGAATAGGTTCCCGAGTAGTATAGTGCTGAACTGTATAGGAGAAAATATAGTTAAGCGCGGTGAGTTCAACGTAAGAATTTAATAAGGAATGATATTAGTTAACATGGGCCTTGAACAGGTAAAACGTGGCTGAGCTCTGGTAACAAAACCAGACCACCCATCTGATTAATGATTAAAACCATAACAACATATCAGAAAAACGGACAAAAAGCAAAGACGGCGCACGCTCCATGAAAACGCTGAAAATCATGCAGGGAGAATGTGATTGCGTAAGACTGAAGATCGCAGCACTGCACACGAGTCGAGTCTCAATCTATCACAGTTGACTTGAGCCATACCATTTTGTTCCACTCAAAGCAAGGACGCGAACCCGGCGAGGAACGCGCCCATAGCAAGGGCCGCAGCGTAGATGTGACCCATTTCGATCGACGGTCTGGCACCGATGTTTTCACCAGCGACGCCCGTGAAGGCCGGTACAGAAGTGGTCGCTTGGGGCGTCGAGGTCGTGGAGGTGGTCTTGTTGGCGCGCTTGGGGTCCTGGGCTCCGCAGGGATGGTCGTCGCGACACCGGGACTGGCAGCTTGATTCGCCTTCGCATTTATTGACGCACTGGTTGTTCTCTTCGGTGCAGATGAAGTAGGGGATTGTCTGGGAGTATTCCGAAGCGTTGGGCGACTTGCCGTTGTCGCAGACGCAGCTGTAGGAGAGGGTGTCCTATTGCAAATATAGAATCAGTATCGCATCAGGAATTGGGCTTTGGATTCCAGCCAACTTACGGAATCGCAGTCGTTTGAGGTCGGCTCGCTGGTTGACTTGGGGAATTGAAGACACAGGAGCGGGCAGGACGAAGTCTGCGACAGGCACCAATGCTCTATGGATACTGGTCAGATTTTTTCTTCTGGTTTATTTTCATTTTTATTGTTTCGACATACCCCTCGTGGCTGAATCGACGCTGCTGGGGTCAATGGTGACAACCTCTTGGGCGTTGATAGCCCTCGCCAACGAGGCGATCACGGCGAGCGATGGCAAGAGAAGCATGGTTGTATTATTGTGAGGTGTTTGAGTGTACGGTCTGTAAGATAAACACAGTTTAGAATGGATTGACCTTGCAAGTGGATCAGGCTGCAGATTCCAGATATTAAGGAGGTAGTCACCTTAAAATTTGCGAGGTGGGCGGTAGTCGAATAATAGACCAGTCTTATATTAATACAGTAGTGGAAATAATAGAGGAAGAAACCAGTTCTAAATTCCAGTCGGAAAGAAAAGCAAAGCAAGTGGGAGGGGAAGAGGTGAATGGGGATGACCGTGGTGACTTATATGTGGTGCAGAGTCCGTTTTTATTTCAGTTCAACCTGACCACAGTTGTTGTACACGGAACATGGTACGACTTAGTCTCTCCCTAGCTGTTAATAGCGACTTTGACTTAACTGTCTTGGGGCAGGAAAGCGAGGCTGGGGTGGCGACGCTATCCATGAAGCTCCAGAGCCAGTCCAAACGGACCCTGCGACTTCCGGCCACGGCGTCATGTAGATTTGACCCGCATCTTGGGAGCAGCTAGTTTCATACTGTCGCATTGAGATTGAGCGATCTGAGCCAAAGCCATGACTCGTGGGATGAGATTGGACTGCATTTGCAAGCGTATTCCTCCATTTTCCCAACAAATCAGCTGAAAAGAAAAGAAAAAAGTAGAAGATCCAAAGTAAATTCAATCCAAACGCAACTGGAGATGCCGATCCGGGGACAAAGAACCGAGACTAGTCCAGAGAAGTCCAGGGTTAGCTTGAGACGCATCAGTCGCTGCAGTCTGGGATGGGCTGTATGCTACCGTTGCTAACTTTGGTATCAGACCACTGTGGCAGCCATGTCTCTGAATTGGCCTCTCCCAGAACCCCTCACCTACACTGGAATGTCTTAGAAGACCATTGAGAAAACAGTGAATCCCTAACCAGCTGACTTGAAATGTGGAGTTCGAATGTCTTGGATCCCCCGATATTCTGAAGTCGTTGATTGGGCCTGACTCTGCTTGGCTTTTTACTAGCAGGGACCCTAACGATATCGGCTCCAGTATCATGATCCTCTGATATCCGGACGTTCTCCTGTTTGAGATATGGAGGAGACACTATTTCTTAACGATAAAAACGGGAAAGCTGCCCAGTAACTCTGAATACGGTTTAATGACGTGGACTAGAAGCATCCTGGTTGGCATTAGTCTGAATTTAGCATAACCTGCATCACCCAACATGATATGACATGTCCGGTGTCTTCAATATAGGGGGTTATCTCCTGCATGGCAACGAGGCCCAGTGTCGAAGATATTAAGGCTGGTCAACCCAGGACATACGACATTGTTTTTGCTTTGAGTCATCTATCTTGAGGATATTCCCATTCCACGATGTCTCTCTACTTTAACTGTGTACTCAGTGCTGGCCTGACCAGGCCACATCTTCCCCTTTGGGCAATGAATGTCTTGGCTGTCAGGTGACTTCCCGAGGGAATGGAATGCCTGGAATGCCTGAAGATTGATAGCGGAAGAATGCCTCAGGATACCATGATTGATGAGCGGAAATCTCCAGCTGCTTCAACTTCCTCCGACCAAACCTTCTATTCACACACACTTCCTTGATCGATCCACCGTGAAACACTCCCTCACCTGACCACCGACAACTAAAAATAACAAGCATACACCGCGTACACCTGGTTGGACGGATAATCCCATCCCTGTCGTCCAGCAAGCGTCTTCCGGAGTAGCAGGTAAGCCGTCCTTACTTCGCACCTACCACCTCGCCCCGCCCCCCATTTCCTCTCTTTTAGGTGGCACTCCAACTGATTCCTCCGTCGTGACTCGCCAGTATCACCTCCCTAGATTTATTGGAGAAGACCTAAATGGATGGATCCAGCGAATGAGGAGACGGGCTCGGTGCCTCGGCCACAACCCCTTCCCCAACCTTCCCCGCCTCAGTCGTCGACGCCGTCCAACGCCGGCGTTACAGACTCCACCGCGCCGTCGAAAGGAGCGACGGACAGCAGCAGCAACAACGGCAACAACAGCAGTCGCGATAACAACAATGTCTCTATCCTCCCCCAGCCCCAGCCCCGCACTCATACCACTTCGAAAGATCGCCCCGTGTCCGGCGTAGTTCCACCCTACTGGAGCCACCATCGGGATACGTCGCGTACCTCGCAAGCCTCGCTGGAACAGTTGCCTCCCATCAGCTTGGAGGATCACACGGAGGACCCGGATTCGGAGACTACCAGGGGACTGTGGGCGCAGAGTGTCTCCATAGACGACTATGCGGTGGTCCAGGGAAAGACCGGCGTAGGGTCGTATGTGGTCTGGAACTGCACGATTAACACTCTTGAGGTTAGCCAGACCCTATCCACCCGGGTGTTGAGCCTACTATTGACTGTTGGAGCAGGGAGGTCCCATCACCGTGCGTTTGAGGTACTCCGAATTCGACGACCTGCGCCGACGACTGGCTGCGTCGTTTCCCCACGCGAAGAATGCTCTGCCGGTGCTTCCTCCGAAAAGCATCATCTGTACGTGCCGAGCAGATCTAGACAACAGATAACCCGCCGGACTAACATTTGGACAGACAAATTCCGACCGGCGTTTCTCGAATCCCGAAGGATAGGACTGGCATACTTTCTCAAGTAAGACTGCTGCAGTGCATTCCTTTTATCCTTGCATGAAATACTAATAATACCTGTAGCTGTGTCCTTCTCAACCCGGAGTTTTCGAGCTCGCCCGTCGTGAAGGAATTTCTATTTGGTCGGACGTGCTGACGCCCATATATAACCCTACGCACGGCTACGAAGTTATGTCTTTCCTGCCTCTTTATTACTATTAGATTTTGCATGGAGTGGTGGAGCGTCCTGGAGGAACGGTTTATTTGGATAGATTAAATTGCAATGATAATATCGCAGTTCACTCACACTCTTCATAGAAATTCAAACCCTAAATCTAACATGGTTCAATGGTATCCAAACAGCTCCAATGCCCTCCTAGTTCACGCCCTTCTCATCACTCGCACCAACAACAACCGCCCGCGCAGCATTCTGATCCTCCTCCCTCGCCTTCCGCATACTCATCGAGTACCTCTTCCCAGCAACAAACCACCAAAGCAGCTCCAGAACCACAAAACCCCCAACACACACGCAAGTGTAATTCATATTCGAAGCTGGATGAAACCCACATTAGCATTGACAATCCACTACGCCAACTGCAACCCCTCAATAAGGGGAAGATGGAGATATACGCACCAGAAACAGGCTGATAATAAGGAAACGAAAAAAACACAATAGCAAACACCAACCAGCACACGGTGACGATATTAACCGCCATGCCAGCCGCATAGTTCAGGAAAAACGGCCCGCGGTGCATGGTGCGCCGTCCGAGGAGGACGTTTGTTAGGATGGGGACTAGGTAGGCCAGGTTGTTGATTGTGCTGTTATTGCGTTAGTACTCTGGGCTGGTTGGGGTGTGTGCTTCTTCCGGATGGGGGATGAGAAGAGGGTTGGAGAGGCGGGAGGGGTATTGGTACGTACACTGCGGAGCTCATCATTGCGTTGAATGCCGTGCTGGATCCTAGGTAGATGCAGCCTAGTAGGGCGATGATGACTGCGACGCAGAGTTGGGCGTTGAAGGGGGAGCCGAGGCGGGGGTGGACTTTGGCCCATCTGGTTTGGTGAGTACCTGGCATATAGTCTGACTATCCTGGGGAGAAGTTTATGGCTATATAGAAGTGTCACTTACGTCTTCGAGAAAGGCAGACCGTCGTCTCTAGCAAATGCCCATACCATCCGTCCGGTGCCTGAGGAATCACAGTTAGTAAAGATCGAAGATCCCACGAGACAATGTGTGCTATCCAAGATAGTTGAAACTCACTCAATTGAGACCCAAGCATACACGGCCCCAGCGCAACCCAGAGGATGAAAACCAGCGCAAAGGCACCACCGCGGCTTTGTGTAGCCTGGCGGAATATTTCAGCCAGCGGGAGGCCCGTCTGGGAGTCTTTCAACGAGTCCCAGTTTTGGACGGAGAACATCAGGCTGAGAAGATAGGATAGACCCGTGACGAATGCTATGCCGAGTGTGCAGGCTGTGTGGATGGGTTTGTAGTGAGTATCAGAGTCTAGATCAATGATGATGGGTACATACCTAGGGCAAGAGGTGCGTTTCGGCCGGGCTAGGGGTATATGTTAGTTTCAGCCTAGTATCATGAGTAGGACACAAGGGTGTATGTTACTTGCATTGGGCATTTCCTCCGTGATGTGCTACGTCTAAGTTTTAGCTTTTGTATTTGTTAATGGGGGCAGCAGACTGACTGTGATTCCATCCAGACCGCCAAGGGAGTACAACGGGTTCACAAGGCCGGTGATAAAACAGATAACATTGTTTTCCCACCCAGTGTTGTTAACCCACGTCTGGAAGACGAACTTATTGTCATTGTGTCTCGGCGCTGTAGCAACGACAGTGACCATGATGACGAACCATGCCAGTTGGAGGTAGCACACTATCGAGATTTATTTAGCACAGGCGTGATTTGCTCAGGCTTTCCACCCCAGATCCAGATCCAGAACCAAACTCACGCGAAAACTTGTTAATCGCAGGAATGAACCGATTTCCAAACATGACTATTCCCGCTGTCAACAGGTTCAGGCCCTGATAAGCCACGAACGTCATCCAGGGCTGGATAGTCAGATCCGTGTGATACAGGGCGATCAGTGCCATGAAGTTGGTCGCGTAGATCAAGTTGGTTGATGCACTTGTGAATATCCCTACATCCACCGTTAGTGTCTATCCACCCGTCGCAGGAAATCACAACGACACCTACACCCGAAGACCGTGCTCCAGCCTGTCGCGAAGCTCAGAACGCTGTTGTACCGCTTGGGCGCAATGGCCGCGATCCAGTGGTACATGCCCCCTTCGACGGGATACGCGGAGACGAATTCCGCTAGCGAAGTTGCTAGGAATGACTGGAGGATGAAGACGAGGATAAAGCCATAAATTACTAGACATGGCTGTTAGCCCTTTATATGTCTCTCGCGTCATGGGGATGAATTCCGCCATACAAGCCCCAGGACCACCAGCGTCGATCGCCGTGATCAACCCAAGACCGAGTCCTACATAGGTAGACAAGTTAGAAATCAGCAGAGAAGAGCAGTGTCATCGACACGTACCGGTCCAAGAAATGGTGCAATTCGCAGCCAGTCCGATCAGGCTCCAGACCGAGAAATGGCGTTTCAATTCCTGCTTGTGGCCTTCCAAAATACAAACATCAGCGATTCCTATCGTCCAACCCAGGATGATAACAACCGAGTCAACACACCCATCTGAGCCAGCCGCAGCTCATCTTCATTCTGCACATGGATGACCCCTGATCCATCTCCGGCATTTGCAAGAGGCTGAGTAGCAGACACCGCACTGCTCTTCACTCTGCTGGTCAGCGCAGCACTACCTTTCATATCACTCATATCGTCTTCCCCAACAAGATACCCTTCAAAAGACAGTAAAGATATCGAGAAAGACCGGCCCCAATCGAACCTTATGTATCTCTATCCCTTGTGCAGGCCCGTCCGGGCGGGGAGCTCGACCTTGTTATAAATAAAGATGCGTGTAACCCAAGCAATATTGACGGACTGACAGCCCCACAACGAAGCTTATCGACTACCGCCCGTCTTGACTCTGCAGCGCCGGTCAGTTTTCGCGGTTTACCGGTCGGGGTGGCTTGATTCCCCGGGAGGGGGGGGGGGGGGGAGCTGACCCTATCATAACGCGGAATGGGACGCGGAGGTGGTTGGGATGTGGATGGATTGACTACCGTTGCATTGCGATGGACGAACGAAGGAAACGCTAAGGCCGAAACTAGGCTTAGCATGCAGTGTCTAAATTATGATTCCATCCTGCCTGGAAAGCGGGGAGAGGCAGGAAATAAGCAGAGATTAAATGAACAGATGACGGAAAGCGAGTAGTCTAGGAAGTTCTTGCGTCTCATTTTATGTACGAAAGTATACTATGGATCAATCTCATTCTAAATGCATGTACAAACTCTATCGATCCTCGCCAATGCTACAAATATTAATCGTCTATATACTGCGACAAGATGTCGTCTAGCGCAAAGCGCATGAACCATCAACCAAGTCGTTATCTCGTCAATCAGACCGGGACTGATTTGTAGGTGGACGGCATGCCAATGAAGTCGGTGACAAGCAGGCTCCTGACTTCCTCCATCGTATCCCGGTTGCAAAATCCTCCCCGTTGGAGGACTGTTATACATATGTTCAAAGTGATGAGCCCACTAGCGAGCCCTTGATTCGTCCTCCTACATTCGTGATGAAAGCCAGCCCGAGGTCTAGTTCTGCTTGTTGGGATCGGTTAGCAGACTGGGCGTTTCCGGGGCTGTTTCCGCGAGTTCAAAGTAATCTCGGTCACGTACGGCAGATCTGTCTTTGCGGATGGTCAGACAGTTGATCCCCAGGAAGGTGGTGATGCGGTTGATGATCAGCACGGCCCAGAACATGTAGGCGATGAAGACCACGATGCAGACGATCCACAGGTACATGAGCTCGAGCGATGCACCGAGCGCGGGAAAGCCCAAGACCGGCAGATTGACGAGCACAGCACCCAGAACAACGGGAATCTGCAGCACGGTCCAGTGGGGGAATGGCTGTTTCAGCAGATGAGCAAGGATGATCATGGTGGTCATCCGTCCGAACACGAAGGCGATCATCCAGCTATACAGGATGATATGGTTTTCGCTGAGGAGAGTCGAGTAAGGGGAAAACAACCAAGCGAAGTTGCTGCAGGTGAAGACTCCGATTGGGATCCACTCCTTGAAGACCGGCGCCACGGGAAGACCTTGGTTTCGGCGGGTGTTGACCACGTTGGAGATACACCCGGGCATATGTCCAAAGATGAACGACCCAACGAGGATTGGAACCCAAAGATCCTTAACGGAGCTGGTCCCGAAAATTCCCCAGTCGAGGAAATCGGTAATCGGCCGGGCCCACACCTCGGGCCCGCAAACACCGGACACAATCATCAATGCGATTGCGACCAGAAGTCCTTCGGTCGGTGCGTTGATATATCCGAGCCAGAGAGTATGGGTGTGATAGGTCTCCCAAGTCGAGAAATACATCGCAAGGCACGGAACGATGGCAGTGTAGGCTCCAAGCGAAGTGGAACCCAGACCCATTGCTGCAGTTGAAAGTAGGGCGCCGAGGGTGCAATTCAAAGAGTCGATGCCGTGACTATAAACCGGTCAGAACCCGTTCTCCGGTAACATCTTCTTTTCACATACTCGAAAAGTTCTCCAAGACCGCTGGAGGTCCCGGTCCTCCGCGCCTGCTTGCCGTCGACGTTATCCAAGGTAGAATACCTTCATTTCGCATTAGTCGGGTCCAATCAAGTAGGGACGAGGGTAGGATCGTACATCCACATGCCAAGGGCGAAACTGAAGTAAATCCAAGCAGGTCCCTATCGCCTCGAAAAGACGTTAACACCCGGTCGGAATGGAGTTATCCAAGCACGGCATCCTTACCGGTCCCACAAGATCGGGCACGAAGATTTGTATGAGAAACACATTGCCAACAATGAACATAAAGCCTATCAGAGTGACCATGTTCGGGGCCATCCAGAGGGGCACAAGCTCGACAAATGCATTCCACTGATAAAGGGCGTTCTTCGGTCAGATCTATTTCCCCAGAAGAATCCTCTATGATCCGGGGTAGTCATACGTAGTGTCTTAGAATATAATTCGAGATGAACGACTTGTCCACACTAGAGTACTTGTAACTCTTCAGGGGAAGGAGGGCATCGTCCGACAGCGATTCCTGGATCGCTTTAATGCGAAAAGAATAATTAGTGCCAGGTACACCAAATCGCTCGTAAGGATTGTCAGGGCAAACCTTGGATCCGGCCTAATATCCCACTCATCCTGTCTCAATTGTACTAAATTGTATATAAATCGAATAAACAGCGGTAAAGTTTTATCTTAGTTCATAGCGCGTTATCGGAGTCGGAGTTAGTAATGATTCGAAGACGACCAATTGGAGCGGATAAGGATAGCGTGGAAGGAGGACAAAGATATTTTTTCAAGGACAATCCGTGGTGACAATGGCGAAAAAAGGATGGAAGAAATGGAAGTCGCCCCCAATAATGACCGGGAACAAGAGAAGTCTTGGGAAAGTCGAGAGGAGGAAGGGAGATCGGCAGAGACGACGACGCCTCTTCCTTTCTCCCCTCGGAAAAAGGGCCATCAATCACGTGTTGGCGGCCCAGCTCCGCAGCTCTGGATTCTGGATCCGACACACGCGACGTGAGGGTCTGAATGACGACGGAGTGAATGTTTTGTGAGCTTGCCACTGCGCCCCCCCTTCACTTTGAAGCATATCACTGTCTATCAGTGGACTTTCATTCCTTTGTTTTTTATTATGAGACTTTTCTGAAAACTTTTTCTCCCAATTCTACCTACCTCCGGACCATCTCATTCTCCCCGCTAGGAACAGCACCTTTACCTGCAACTCCTCTCGTCCACCTACGCGATCGCTTACCATCCGCTCGAATCGCTATCGAAGAGACCCCCCCCGAGTATTTTGACGACCGCTCTTGGAGCTTGGACATGACGGTAGATGATCAACGTGGCGCTCGTGGCGCGGTGTACGGCTGAGTATTTTGCGCCATGCCAGGCGTCGTCGACACTCCCATCGGCCCTGTTTCTCCAGGCCTGGGATATACGGTCGCGCATCAGAAGGTCGAGTTAGAGATCGACTTTGCGAGCAAGAGTCTCAAGGGGAAAACAGAAATCACAATCAATCCGCACCACAGAGACCTCCGGACTATTCGCCTAAATTTTCGCCAGGGCGAGCTCAAGCGACTGAATATCAGCAAAAAGGTGCCCACGAGCAGATATGTGGACCCCTACGAGACCCTTCATCTATACGGACCCCAATACCATCCTCGCCTGTTCTCGAAGATTGATGGCTTGCTCAAGACACCCCCGGAGCCAGAGCTCCTTCTGACAATCCCGAAAAGTGTTCGCATCGAGGAGCTTGATCCTCAGTCCGCCGAAGCTCAAGATCAGCTGGTATTGCGCGGGACTGCTGCTGCGGATGATGAGGGGCCTATGAGTTCGAAGGCGACAGAAAGCGCTCTTCCGCGATTTACGGCCTTGACAGTATATGTGGAATTTGCCATCGACAACATACGCGATGGCTTGCAGTTTGTTGGAGTCGAACATGGCGACAGGCGATACCCGCATGCTTATACCACGAACTCGCTCGGCTATGGAGTCGGGTGCCCTCTGTTCCCTTGTGTCGATGACCCTTCCTCGCGTTGTACTTGGGAATTTTCGATCAAATGCCCGTGCTCCTTGGGGGATATGTTCAGTCGGAAATCTCGGGAGACCGCGGGAGCACATGGATCGGGTCGGTCGAAGTCTTCTGTTGGTCGATATATCTCTCCGGACGATGAAACGTTGGATCTATCGGTGGTTTGCTCGGGAGATATGACAGATGAGATCGTCGATGCCCTCGATCCTAGCAAAAAGACAGTCTCCTTTGCATGCTACTCTCCGCTGTCCGCCCAGCAAGTCGGCTTCGCTGTGGGCCCTTTCGAGTATATCAACCTGACGGATTTCCGGGAGAGTGATCAAGATGAGCAACTTGGACAGAATGCGATCCCTGTTCATGCTTTTTGTCTTCCCGGAAGGGGGGATGATGTGCGGAACACATGCTTTCCTATGGCCAAGGCGATCGATTTTTTCTCTCTGACATATGGCTCTTATCCGTTCACAAGCTACAAGATGTGTTTTGTGGAAGATACCCCCGAAGACACCGCGCCAACGGCTTGCTTGTCGATATGCAGCAACCATCTCCTGTTCCCTGAAGGGATCATCGATCCGATAGATGACTCAACGCGCGCGCTAGTTCATGCTCTAGCATGTCAGTGGATCGGCGTCAACATCGTTCCCAAGGAGCCCGTGGACACCTGGGTCACTGTTGGCATTGCTTGGTACATCACGGATACATTGATGAGAAAACTCTGTGGGAACAACGAGTATCGATTCCGACTGAAGCAGATGTCGGATAAAGTGTGTGACCTGGACTATGAGCGTCCGTCGATCTATGACATGGGGACTATACTGAAAATCGATCCGTCGGAGATCGAATTTATCGCCCTCAAGGCTCCACTTGTTCTGTTCATTCTTGACAGACGCTTGACGAAAGCAAGCGGGAAGTCCACGATGCCTCGTATCATTTCTCGCATCTTTTTGAATTCGCGAACGGGCGATATACCCAATGGCGCGTTGACAAGCTCCATGTTTCAGAAGACCTGCGAACGACTCGGTCACGCGAAACTAGACGCGTACTTCCAGCAGTGGGTCTACGGTGCCGGGTGTCCTCGGTTTCAAGCCACGCAGCGATTCAACAAGAAGAAGCTTGTCGTCGAAATGATGATCCGGCAAGTGCAATCAGAACAACCGACCACGCGGGATCTGGACAAGAACACCTTTATGCGCGACGTCAAAGAGGAAGTCCGCAGTGTCTATGCCGGCCATGTTCAGCCCGTCTTTACCGGCTCCATGACCCTCAGAATCCACGAAGCCGATGGTACACCTTACGAGCACATTGTTGAAATCAAGGAGGGCGTTACGAAATTCGAAATCCCGTACAACACCAAGTATAAGAGGCTGAAGCGGAACAAGCGACAAAAAGAGCGCGCTGCTGCCGTCATCGGCGGTGAGCCCGGTACAGAAGTGCAGGAAGATGTCCTGCTGTATTGCCTGGGAGACGTATTGCAGAGCGAAGAGGAGATGCAAGAATGGCGACTGGCCGACTGGAGCAAAGAAGATGAAGAACGGATGGGGCAAGAATCCTACGAATGGATCAGAATGGATGCTGATTTCGAGTGGATCTGCAAGTTATCCTTGGTCATGCCTGGGTACATGTATCTCTCCCAGCTCCAACAAGATCGGGATGTTGTTGCTCAGCTAGAGGTGAGTCAATGAGCTTCTTTACGTCCTTTCTACTTACTAATGCCGATTCTCCTGCAGTCTTTACAATACATGGCAGCCCAGAGAGAACATCCGTTGATTTCTACCATTTTTGTCCGAACTCTCATGGATCGAAGATACTACTACGGGATTCGTGCAACCGCAGCACGGTCTTTAATCAAACATGCCAAAGAAGAAATTAATTGGCTTGGACTCTACCATTTGGAGAGGGCTTTTAGGGAACTTTTCTGTCTTCCCGGGTCAGCAATGACTCGATCGAACGACTTCTCCGACAGGGCTGCATACATTCTTCAGCTTGTCATTCCCGATGCCATCTCAAAGGTCCGCGACAAAGCCGGAAAGACTCCGCTGGATGTCAAGCGCTTCTTATATGACAAATTAAGATTCAACGACAACTCAAATAATGAGGTATGTGGTCTCCACGTTGCCTAACATCATCACCTGCTTATATACGACATAGTACTCGGACAACTTCTACGTTGCGACCCTGATGCAATCACTGTGCCATGCAATGTTGGGGAAGAGTGATCAACGCTCTGACGACATCGATGACTTTGACATGGAGCGTATCATTCGTGTCCAGGAGGAGGAGCAGCTTGAAAAAGATGCATTGGCAGAAATTGACAGGTACCGAAGGATGGATGAATGGTCGAGTTCCTTCCAGAACGTCTATTCTCGTGCAGCCTTGCGCTGTCAGATGCAACTCATGCAGGCCAATATATCGGAACTCGATGTGATGCAGTTTCTGCCGTACACGCGCGCGGGGACCTATGACCTGCTACGAGCTGACGCGTTTGAGTGCCTGGTTGAACTCGATATCTTTAGAAGCCCTGAACTTCTAAAGTGGTTTATCTTCACCATGTCAAGTGATACTTCTCGTTGGCTCAGGCGACGACTTCATGAACTACTTGGGAAGGCACTTGCGCCCATCGCCTTTGGCCACAAGTCGAACAAAGAGGCCCCTGCCCAGAACGAGGGTCTGATCATTGAGCAAGAGTCTTCTACCGATGTCCGCCAAGCAGACCTTGCTCGGCGACAAACCGTACCAGGCGCGTTGGAGGCCCTGAAGCGTGAAATTTCTGGAGACCAAACCTTGAGGGAATCTTTATGGGCTGCCTGCAACTCTCCCTATATTGGGATAATTGAACTTTCTGAGTTTGTCGATCTGAGCTCGGTCTTGTATGACCCGATAACTTCGGTTAGAGTGGTTCTGAAGTACCCGCGGTACTGGCAAGTGAAGCACCTTGGAAAGGTTCGTACACGTCTTCCCGATTTCCACCTTGATCTCTGCTAACATCCGGCTTAGGGACGCCTACATTTTACCCGGTCCAACAAAGTGCGCACAACTCTCACGCCGTCCAAGGACTCGACCGCTGGAAAGCGCAAACGAGAGGAACCAGGGATGCCTCCACCTCCCACTCGCATCACATTCAAGCAGTCAAAGACTGGCGCCAGTACTCCGTCATCAGCCAAAGCCCCCCAGCAGTTTCCCAAGCTACACATACCGAAACTCTCTTCTCCCGCCCCTCAGTCCACACCCAGAACCGCAGCTACTCCTGCTACACCATCCACTCCTGGTGGTGGCCTCAAGCTGAAGCTAAAAATTGGCCAGAAGCCGACCTAGCCGGCCATAAAAACAAGCCGACTACTATCACACCTTGTATCCTATATATCTCTTTTGATGTTGTTTGTTTCTTTGGTTCCTTTTATGACTTTTGGGGGGGGGGGGGTTGGTCAACGCGATATTCACGGCGCCATGGAAGGGATTGAAGTTGCTGAGGTTATTTATTTCTACACATGATGTTGCTTTCTCTTACCTTTTAGTCTGATGATCCTCCTGGGAATATTGGGGTCCATCTCTAGCGTTCGTCATTTCGCCAACCTCATTGTTCATGATTGATGTCTAGCATAACAATCATCAGATTCTCATCAACAATTCAAAATTTCCTCAAAGCCAGAGATAATACCCAGAAATCAAAGCCCTTAATATCTCTAAAAAGCGCATGTGCATTTTCAATTTTCGTAAAACAAATAAGCGATGACATCGAAATTGCCTTCGATCGTTCCATTCAGAAGAAGCTGACCCGTGAACTCCATGTTGCATTAAGAAAACCCCCACGACGAAGACCAAATCTACCCCTTTGGCCGTTTATTTGTCGCTTATCCGTTCCAGAGCCTGCATTGAATCGCTCGTTAGTTACCTATTCAAAGGACGCAAATACGGGCCTGGGAAGACTTACCTCCAGCATCACGACCGAGTTACCGCGGATGACCTTGATCGCTGTTAGTCCCTTCCTTTGTAAATTATGCCAAAGGCGCTATCCCAGTACTCACCACCATGCCGATAGCAACCTTCTCTCCACCCTGCTTCTCCTCAAACGCCTCGTCAAGAACAATGTTCATAAACACCTGCAAGCACGATTATCAGTCCTGCCATCCAAACAACTCCTAACTCGGTAAAGCCCGCTCGAGACAAATCGACAAATAGGAAAGGTTCAGGTCGTATCCACGTACATCGTAGCCTCGCAGGATGCCGATAACTTTGCGGTTGCCGTTCAGTTGGCAGAATATCCGCTTTTCCATGTACTGTTTGAAACCAAAATCAAGCGGTCAGTTCCCAATCCACATATTAACCATAATAGACAAATCCGTGACAGCATACCTTCTTGAGTTCGGGCTGAGCTTGAGGCATCTTGGCGGTTGTTTCTGGCGGGGACGTCTGGTCGGGGGTGTTGGGGATCTTGTCGCGCGCCGCGGACTTTGGATGTGGCTCGATAAAGCTGGGTCGGGAGAACGTTGTTCCCGCAAGCTTTCAAAGTGTCGCGGAGTGCGGAGTGACGTCTCTTCTACGGTGATCCTTGGCTTTCTTTTCTTTCGAGAATATTTGCATAGTTATTGGGATAAATTGATTACTGAGAGTCGCGACCATGAGTTCCAAGTTTGCGAATCGCCGGAAACCGCGCAAGGTTGGTGGGGATGAGGAAGAGGGTGAAGAGGAGCAAGGTAAGTCGTGTCTGGACTATGAACGCGCCACTTGAATATGAGATTAATGGAGCATTTCTAATCGATTACTAGATAACGGGCCTATTGTCAAGCGACCGACTAACACCAAGACAAAACAAAAGTCGAAATTACGTCTCTCGTTCGGCCCCGGTGGAACCTCAATGACCGATGACGATGGCGCGCAGGAAAGTGAAGTGGTGATGCCCAAACGACACGGACTGGGAAGAGTGGCTCTGGAGAAAAGTGCTGCCCAGCGGTCTTCAACACCATCTGGAATCGCTAGTCCACTTCCGATGCGAGTTGGTCCTGAACAGGATCGACCAAGTTACAGCAGTGAGCACCTCAATGAGCTTCGACATTCGACGCCAGCGACGCCTAAACCCCCCGCCGATGACGGAAAAGAGAAGACGATAGACGTCGCTGCGAAATTCGGCGAGGTGATGCAAGTATCGACGCCGTCCGCGATTCCCAGCGAAGCAGAAATCAGAGAGAAGAAATCTAGGAGAGCGCGCCTGGCAAAAGAGCAGGAATACGGCGGAACGGAGAAGGATTTCATTTCGCTCGAGGATAACGTATCTGATGAAGATTGGGACCCCAATAACAAACCGGAAGATCCCAAGGATACGCGTCTTCTGCGAGATGATGAGGATTTCGCTGAGGGGTTCGACGAGTTCGTTGAAGATGGCCGTATATCTCTTGGAAAGAGGGCCGAGCGCGAACACAAGAAGAAGCAGCGCGAACAAATGCGAGAACTCATAGATGACGCCGAAGGGCTGTCCGATGAGGATGATACTGATCTGGAGGAAAAGGCAGCCTACGAGGCTGCTCAAACAAGAGCCGCCATGGGACATGGTGGTAAGGACCAGATAGAGCGACCAAAGACGCCGCCGAGGATGACATCGCTTCCGCAACTTTCACACAGCTTGGATCGCCTAAGGACAACGTTGGCTGTGATGAACCAGTCGAAGGTCCAAATGATCAATCGAATGGAAGATCTCAGGAAAGAGAAGGCCGACATAGCCACTCGGGAGGTGGAAATCCAGGCACTGATCAAAGAAGCTGGCGATAACTATGAGAGGCTTAAGCAGGAAGCTGGTGCTGCCCCGGGGCCGGAAAATGATGCGTCGGGTGAGCGAGGACTAGAGACGATTGGCTCTGCGATGGATATAACACGAGACAACGCTGAAGATGCGACGTGATCCATTGGTATCGTGGATATACACAAACCTGTCTCATTGAGACCACCGACTTGCGAAGGCATTGCTTGCGGTCGTTCTTTCCGGCCACGGACATGCGAATCTCCATGTTTCTCCGGTTGATACCTTGACGCCCATCGATGACCACCAGTCAGCCCCACTTGCATTCATTGATGATACCCATCGAACCGCTTCTGTATGATAGATTATTGAATTATGACACCGCCACCGTTTCTTGCTCTTTTTCGCCAACCCCTGCGTAGGACAGCGTCTGTCAGCAGAGCCACGCAGTAAGTCAAAAACACATATTGACCGGTTTTTGCTAGTTTAACCTGAGGAATTAGTCCTCGGTACGGAGGCATCCCGTTCATCGAAACGCCTATTGACGAAAAGGATGGGGATCCGCCGCATCTCTACCGTCATTCGGACGCTACTCCGATTGAATTATTCTTTGACCTTTTCTTCGTTGCCAATCTATCCACTTTCACGGCGACCCATGAAATCCACAATGTAGAAGGTGTGAGCGACGCTATGGTGCTATTTCTATTCATCTGAAGTCTAACGTCGCTGCATACTAGCGCTGGGCGCGTACATAGGCTTCCTCGCAATGATATGGTTTACCTGGCTCCAGGTGACGCTCTTTGACATTCGATTCGCCAGGGACACCATATTTGAACGGATATGCAAAGCCATTCAGCTCGCTGCGATGGTGGGATTTGCATCTGCTGGCACCCGGTTGACTACGCGTGTGCAGGATGAGAATGTCTGGGCATTTCAATCGCTGAGTCTTTTCCTGGGCGGAAGTCGAGCTTTGTTGTCCGTGCAGTACGCTGTCAATGTTGGCTTCCTCCGTGAACGGATGAGGCCCGCCTCCAGGGGTGTGTCTCTGATAGCAGCCACCCTGCTGGCCTCAAGCCTGGTGTATTTAGGGGTAAGTTGGTCTCACTCTGCTGGAACAATCCCAGTGATATCTGGATCATTTGTAACCTGACGTTCCTCAAGATGTTCTGGGCCTTCAGGGAACGTACCGAATTACGCTCCTACATATGGATCATTTGGGGGGTCCTGTTCGGGCTGGAGACGTTAATGACAATGGGGATATCCTGCTCCACGCCAGGAATAGGATTCCACGAGACTCATCTAAATGTGCGGATGGGACTCCTCACCTTGATCATCATTGGCGAAGGTGTCATTGCCGTCACCAGAATTGTCAACAAAACGGTCCGGCCTGGCGGCTGGACCAAGTGGTCGTTTGTCCATATCCTGGGTGTCACCCTGAATGTCGTAAGGTGTCAACGGCCTCCCTTATTCAGTCCGCCCCTTTTGTTTCGCTCATGCTGATATCCATGGACTAGTACTTTTTGTGGCAGGCTTATTTTGACCTGTCTCCGTGACAGTCGCTGGGACAGCACTCCCAGCAAATATGGGCGCAGCTCCATTACCCCTTCCACGTGGTGCTCATCCTTCTCCTGGAAGGCTCTCAGATCCTTGCCCTGACCCTGGACATCACCCTGAAGCTCACGTACCTCACGGAAACGATCATGTTTGCATGCGAAGAGCCCCGGCCCCCATCGGACACAGCCATTGGCCTATTGCGGAGCACCATTGAAGACATGGAGATCAACTACAGCCGGGGCGCAATCGCGCAAGAGATTGCAATAGCTGGTATTCTCGGGGACCTACCGAACCACCCGCTATGTATGACTTTGGAGGTCATCAGCTACTCCGTGACCAATAAGCTCCTCAACGACCTGGTAGGCAACGTGACAGCGGCTCTGTTTACCAGTATGGGAGTGATGCCGTCGAAGGGGTCGCGGATCGACCAGATGTCCAGCGACCAGCTCCTGCGGATGTACATGGAGGTGCTGGGATTTGTCTACGTGTATTTCTTCGCGGTTGCATCGCTGGCCATGTTTCTGTTCGCCGCGTTCGTGCTACTCGCGCATTCGCGCAGTCGGCCCCGGCGAGAGGTTGGCATCAGGATAGGGGTTCGCATGGCGCTGGGGATGGTTTTGGCGTGTCTAATGGGCTTTATTCGGTATTTTGCACTTGCATATGCTTTCATGACGTCCCCTGTCATTCTGTACGCTTTTACCTTTACCTTGCTTATTGGTGGGTTTTCTTTCTCTTTTTTATCGTCCCCTTTTCTTTTCTTGTCTTTTTATTGAAAAGGGAAATTTTCTTAATTATTATTTGAAGAATAACTGACGATATCTAGCGCTACTAACAGACCGACTATTGGATCAATACGGAGCCCAGGCACGAGCCCGACGGACGCAGGAAAGCGAAGTCACCATGATCTGTACCAGACACGATGGAAGAAGCGATCCATCCTGGGACGAAGACTCTGGACAAAGCGCCAGGAACGTGAGCGGGCCAGTCCACGACGTGCACATATCAATTTGAAAGGGGACTGCGTGTTCAACAACCGGCATAACGATCCGGCTTGGGTTGTGTACTCCGTACACTGTTTATGCCCAATCGGCGATATGGAGGGTTTGAGTGATGGTCTCGAAGGATATCAGCATGATACAAAACAATAGGCTGGAATAGGCCGGTTGTCAGTTCGTAAGAGGAATAGAAGAATAGGACACCCCCGTCTGGGGGAGGTGGGGACAAAGAAAGCGCGCAAGCCAAGGCGGGAAGAAGATGTCCTGAGAGATTAATAGCAATGGATCATGGAGCAAAAGAACCAAACCCAGGATGAATAAAATAGAATCCTAAAATATAAAATAATGATAATGATAAAGCAATCCAACTGTTTGAATAATTGAGTGATTTGCGTCCTGTACGACGGGCAAAGCATCTGGGCTTGAGGCCACCGTGGGGAAAGTCCAAGGACGTCTTTCTAGAAGTAGTAAATGAAGATCAACGGCAAACCGAGGACGCGGGAGCGGACATATCAACGGCGGATGGATACGCTGATGACAGGGGTGGAATTTAAATTTCAATCAATGATTATATTATTCTTATATTTGATATTATTTGTCTCTGAACATTCTTTCAGGAGAGAAGTAGAGAAAGAAAGCCGGGTACAATACAAGATACATACTTGTAGTGAGCTAGCCCTAATTTCTCTTGGCATGGTATACAATGTATGTACCTATCCAAGTACGTCTACGTCTATGGAGTGAGTAAGAATCGAGAACCTCACACAGTGCAACCCCAGACAGACACAGCGGTCTGGGATTACCTTCCTCCCTCCCTTTCTCTCGGGAGACAGATCCAGCGAGAAACGTGCAGCTACACGGATTCGAAGCCGAACTGGAGGGATGAGTTGGGGTTGTATGATGCTATATGTAGTGGGTGGTCTTGTCCACATGTGAGCAGGGAATATGGCGAGTAGCTGGTACAGAGTAGCAAGCAAGCTAGCTAGCAAGCAGGCAAGGCTCTGCTGGGGATGGTGCGCGGGGGGCTGATTTGTGTGGTTGGTGTGGTGGTGCTGCATATACAGCTACTACTACCTATCATTTTTGGGTTGGCTGTCTCTTACACACTCACACAGTCTTACTCTCTTTGTGTGTGTGTGTGTGTGTGTGTGTGTGTGTGTGTGTGTGTGTGTGAATAAGAGAGGCATGCAAGGAAGAGTAGAAGGATAGATCGAGATACTCATTTCATAAGATTATAATCAATATGCTATGAATGAGACAACAGACTGTCTGTAAAACGGTCTAGATTTACTTTTTATTCATTATTATTATTCGTAATATATTCTTTGTTCTTTCCACGTTCTGTTTCCTTCTACATTTTATGTACACATTCATACATATGTACGTACCTTGATATACATCCTGTTCTTCTTTTTGTTCCCCTTCTTTTCTTCTCCTATTTCCCTCGTTGTACTTTGTCCTTCTATTTGAGTCTATCTCATATAAATATATCGAAGAATTATGGTCGAACCCAGGATAGGAGAGTTTATCCATCAATCCATCCTGCATCGGATGTGGAATTCCGGATTCCACCACGGAACAAACCGAGAAGTATTGGCTTTCATTGATTTATTTTCTTTCTTCTTTTCATATTCTTCTGTTTTTCTTTTCTTTCCTTTTTGTTTTTTTCTTTGTTCAAGATGAATGAAAGAAAAACAGACAAGCTCAATCTATCGATCTTAACCTCGGCAGGGTTGACTACCGTGCTTCATATATCCATGCCGACCCAATGAGGCTCATTGTTGATATTGCTGTCAATACTCCATTTGATGATCCCTTGATCATGCCAACAAAGAAAATACAAAGACTGGAATACAGAAAAGACACAGAAAGGAGGGGAGGGAAAGCACAGTAAGAATTCCATTGTATGCAATTCGACCTATCTCCAATCTATCATCAAGTTTGATCAACAAGCTCTGACTAGTGACCTGCATATGCAGACATCCCACCCACCCGTCAACTCCTAACAGCAAATAGTACCATCCGTTCTATGACCGGAGAAAAAAAGTAGGCCACCCCACAGGATGATGAATGAATGACAACGGCCCCATCCGAATCCTCCGATCAAACGTCCCCTATACCTCCGAACCAATCGTTGAGATATATCCCCGGTCTGTGGCTGCGGTGGATGGCACGGCATGCACGAACAGACGTTGCCCTCTATATGGAGGTATGTATGTACCCGACTGGCAGGTTTGGATTGACCATCCCCTAAAACATCCTGGGAAAACATCCTGGGGTTTTGTCAGGGCGTTCTTTTCTTTCTTCTTCTTCTTTTTTTTTTTTTTCATTTATGATAGTAATAATATATTATTCTGACGTACTTTTGTTAGCCCTCACGCCACAGACCGCCGGCTGTCCCTCTTCAGTTCTGTACTGCAGTGACCTACACAAGGTACCTACAATATACCATGCGACACCGTTAGACTTGTCGATTGCCAATTGTTCGCCGAGGCAGGGATCTGATAGAAGTTCCCCCTCCCCCCGTGCCCGACGGCCCGTCTATGCTGGCTTATTGGCACAAAAAAGGGGTCATAATCATACTCCCCGGTTGTAACTCAGGGGGACAACATCTTTGGTACGATAAAGATGACGGCTACTGATTGTACCAATGGTTCAGTAGGTAGTATCTGGAAGGGTGGGCATGGGTGTCTGTCCCGTGGGGAACTTATTAAAAGGTGGTTGATATCTCGAGGTTGTTTTTTATCTTGTCGTTCTTCCTTCTGCGATTATAGATCTTCACTCTCTTTCTATCAACAGACATATCACCAATATCCCATATTAGTGCGTCTTCCAGGCTCTGTGCTTTTCATTACTGAATAATCATATCCTTCTGAACGATCACAACTGAGACATCAACGCATTACCTCACCTGCACATCCAAAAGAAAGTAACCCACCAAACCGCATCGTGAACGCACCCACGCATGGAAGCATAAAGCAACAAAGCTCAAAGCATCGAAAGGGAGAGAACAACCTTACCGCTATTTCACACCTCCCACAATCATCCAAGATTTATGCCCATTGTCCGAGCCCACCCATAGACACCACCCGTAGACACCACCAACACATCCCTATTGCTTTTGAGACAACGCCCAACGTCCAAGACATTGCCGCCCAATTCCGACGCATCTTGCGCCGTGCTGAATGCAGAGGTAAGTCCAGCAACGGCCTGAAACCCATCCACAGAGAGTGTATCGGCAGACATACATGCTAAGTAACAGCACGCACTCACCTGCAGCCGTCCCCCAAGCATATCGTGCATGAATCAGACTCTTTAATTCCGATACACACGCGCGGGCCTCATCTGGTATCTGGTAAAGCGAGACACCGGGAATAGGCAGGCAGCGGTGAGGTGGCCGGTACACAGAGTGGTGGACTGGCTGGATGTCTCAATTTAAATCGACGATGATGCTCCACGTTGTCGATCCCCATCATCAGCATTCTAAGACAGGGCTGGCTTTCGAGAACGCTTTTATTTTTACTCCTCCGTCTGAAGAGCCATATTTCCTCTCCACGGAAGGATTTGAGAATATGTTGTTATCTCCGACTGATACCTACAGCCCGACTGCGCTGGCCGAGCCGCCGATCTACCCTAGCCAGCATCAAACGAAGCAATATCTAGCCATGGAGAACGAGTCAGCGAATTTCAACACGGTGCTCCACGCGGAACAGCAACCAGAGAAACACAGCAACAGCTACTGGTCAAGCCCCTCCATTTTCAAAATCGGCCAAAAGAGAACGCGATGCTACGATCTTCAAAGCCAATCAACCGCACACCCCTCAATCGAAAGAAGCGGGTCAATATCCCCACCTGACAGGTCCCGAGAGTACGGATACGGACCCATTTCATCATCGGGTTCATCCGATGTTCACGGCCCGATGGAAGGATTGTCCATCACCTCGTATTCCGAGTCGGAGAGTGGGACAGCCAGCAGCGGGTTCAGTCTCAGCCCTAATACCCATGAGCACGAGCATGAGCATGAGCATGATCCTCCTTGCGTCTTGGCTCAGCAAGTCTGCGATCCACCTGGTTTGTATCCGTACATGGGTGGTTTGCGCGTTGAGGCGGTGCCTGGATTCGATAGACATGCAGCTTCTGAGACGTCTGTCTGCTCATATGACGGGTCTATAGACGATGACTGTAAGCCCGTTTTCCAGAATACCAGCTGGGCAGCTGGAGATCTGTCGGACGGTTCTATGCTGCAGAACTCGCCGTCGGTGGGCACGGCCACTGACTCATTTGAGAGCTCCTGTGGTGCGATCACGCCTCTCTCATGGAGCGCATTCAACGCCCAGGCAGGCATCGACATGGGCCAGGAGGAGCCTGCGTATGGGGACGCTCCTGTTCACGCTCTCTGGCCCTCTACACAGCAACTCCCAGACGAGCCGACACCATTCATCCCGGTACCAACAAGTCACTTCGACCCAATTCCTAGGAGTACCGATGGCCTCCCACTCCCACCGCCAGAAGAAGAATACCAAACCCATAGCCAGCACTACTACCACCAAGAACAACAACCTATCCCAATCACACCCTACCGCCCAGGACCCTTCAACACCCCCCTCATCAAAGACCACACCATGACCGACCAATTCCAACTCCCAACCGACATCCTCCCACTCTCATACCACATAAATCCAACCCCAAACACCTACTACGCAGAGTACATCCACCGACATCCAAAGCTCGCATTCGCAAACGACTCCAGCCCCGAACAACCAACCACCAAAACCATCCCCTGCCAGATCGACACGCGCAACGCTCTCCTAATAGAATACAAGCGCCGCGGCCTCTCCTACAAAGACATCAAGCGGATCGGCGGATTCCGAGAAGCGGAGTCGACTCTCCGGGGTCGGTTCCGGACGTTGACGAAGGCGAAGGATCAGCGCGTGAGAAAGCCGATGTGGAGTGAGAAGGATGTATGTCCCCCCTCCCTACCCCTCTACATCCTATCCTCTTTTATTTCCCTTTCCTTGTCTCGTCTTTGTCACGGTGTACAAGCATAAGATCTGGCTAGGATACTAACGAACGAACGAAACCAGATCAACCTCCTCTGCGAAGCCGTGACAACCCACGTAGAACGCACCACCACCACCCAACCCCACCGCTCAACACGCCCCCAGGCGCCGAGGGTATCGTGGAAGAAGGTCGCGCAGTATATACGGGCGCATGGAGGGTCGTATCATTTCGGAAATGCAACTTGTAAGAAGAAGTGGTGTGAGGTGCATGGAGTTGAATATTAGTGGTACCCTGACGTGGAGGTGGGGTTAGATTGGGATTGGGAGGGGTGGGCTTTGTAGTATTATGGGTGGTTTTTTCTTTTTCTCTTTTCTTTTTTTTTTTTTTTTTCCTTGTTGAGGACGGGGTGGATGGGATGGATGGGGTGGGTTGTTAAAACAGGGTTGGTGTGTTGTTTTGTTGTCTTGCTGTCTGTCTTGTCTGGAACTGGGTGGGATTGCGTGTTGCGTGAATAGTTTATCAATAGATCTTTCTTATAGAGGTGGGTTGGTGGATTGTGAAATTTGATGTAGTGCACTCTGTGATATAGCTTTTCCCCGTTGTAGACGTGTGTTAAGTGTGCGCTCGTTGGAGCTGGGGTTATGTGAATAGTTTACTTCTTGATAGATTCTCTTTTATAGAGTAGGTCATTGGGTTTGTGGGATTTTGTGTGGTGTACTCTGTAGTATGTGCAATGCAATAAGGTAAGTAGCAATAAGAGAAACATATGGAAGGCTCGCTACCTCATGCGCGGACGTTCTTCTTCGTGTCCAGGGTAGCATCTCTAGGACACTATCCAAGCCGATATTCTAATTCTATGATACGGCAGCCGGGTATACAACCATCTAGTAGTCTTCGAGTCCCAGACTCAGATCACCACTGACGACACACGATAGCCATCAGCCAACAACCACAACAGCAATAATCACAGCAACGACCATCACAACAACGACAAACATCTCGAATCCGGATGCGGAAACCCAATCGCAGCAAGCACACCCGCCAACGACTCAGGGTTCCGCCGCAGCTCGTTCCACTCCGCTTCAGCCTTGACCATGAGGGTCCCAGCGAGGATGGTGCCGTTCAACGCGACGACGCCCGCCTCAGCGACTTCCTCGCTCGTGCTATTGTCCACTGCGATGCGGGCACTCTCGCTCTTCCGCGGACAGATCATCATTGTGGATTCTGTCATTGCGAGGTTGTAGCTTATTGCTGCAGGGCCGGTTGTTGGGGGATTCTGGTTGTGGTTGTGGTTGTGGTTGTGGTTGTGGTTGTGGTTGTGGTTTTGAGGCAAGGTTGTCAGTGCTGCGCGGTACAAGGCTAGGTATGTTGAGTGGAGTTCGTCTGCAGAGGGATTCTCGGAGAGAGGGAGGGCGAAGTGCGCGAATGGAAGCTGGCTTAGGCGACGGTAGGGGGAGCCCGACGTAGGCGGAGGAGACTGCGCAACCGCGTCGATGAGGGGTTGCCAGCCGTCACCGTCGCCACTATCCTGGCTCATAGCTTCAACGGGGAGGAACTGTAAATGCCTATGAGGCTGGCTGGCGCCGCTTTCATCCCCTGAATTGAAGAAGGCGAAGAGTCTCGGGCGGGGGGTGGCGTCTGCTGCGGGGCTGCTGCTGCTGCTGCTGCTGCTGTTGTTGTTGTTGTTATTGTCGCTGGGCTCCCACGCCTTGATACAAGCATACGCAGCCTCCAAATCATCCTTCTCCAGAATATCCGTCTGAGATTTCCATTCCTTGGTGGCAAGAATAAAGTGATTAGGAATGACAGGGAACTTGTTCAGCACGAGGAGATGCGAGGGTGGGATCTGCGCGACGAGGAGCTCCGGAGACGGGTCGTGGAAGGGATCTGGTTTGGGTCCTGTGCGGCCTTGGTCGGGTTTCGGTGTGCCGGAGGGCTTTTTCGCCAGGGCGGGACAGTAGCGGAGTTGACACTATTCCAGAACCATCGTCGTTAGCTATGTGTATATAAGATTTTCGTTGCGACTAGACAGTGCGGTTGATTGACGTACCGGAATCCCCGCTGCGTAGACGGTAGTGAGATGCGTCTGGGAGAATATGAGATGGCCTGCATCTCTGGCGGTGTTAAACCGTCGAGCCACGAGGCTGGAGAGGTTTTCCGAGAGACCCAATTGCATCGTGGTATGTGTGGACGATAGATGATCTGTTTGGGACGGGAGAGTGAAAGAATGACGACGGTCGAAGGTCGGACGAGAGGATCCAGTGCGGGACCGGCCGAACCGGGTTTAGCGGCCGATCTGGTGATTGATAAGGCAGGGAGTATATATTGAGGTCGACTACGGGGTATTACTTAGATTGGGAAAGTCAATAGATTAGACAATTGAATATAATGAAGTGTATTCAAACGCTTGCTTTTCTTCCCCAATCGCTCCATGCAGATAGCTAACAGCATCAAATATAGTTACATGATCGTGACTCAAATTCACGTTGAAAGAACAAAGGAAAGAGAAGGAAAAAACAAACACAGGAAATAAGGAAATAAAGCAAATGGTATCATGTTTTCAAAAATACAAGCTCTCGCTCCAAGTCACAACAATTCAACAGACGGAGACACAACAGGTTAGAGAGGAAGAAGCTCGTCGATATCCACCGTCTGGTCGTTGGTCAGAGACATGTCAGGCAAGATAGTTGCCGGTCGTCCAATCAGCTGGGTGGAGGGCCCCTCCATCCAGGGGCCCCGTTCCTCTTCTGTGGCGTTCAGGACGCCCTCGGCCCGCTTCAACGTTTCGACGTCCAGGTCGGTGATGTAGGCGTCCCGGTTGGTGCCGTCGCCGGCGCCCCCGGGAAGCTTGACGCGGACCTCGAACTCGTTGTCGAGCATCATCTCGTCCTTCCACAGGCGACGCTGGCCGTCAAACACGCAGAGCACACGCTTCTTCGTCTTGATGCTGCTGTTGGGGCAGCCCCAGGACTGCGGGTAGCGGTCCCGATTACTCCGTCGTTTCGACACGGTGCGCTTCGAGACGGCGTTGTTGGTGCCCAAGGTGACACGCCCGCTGCCCTTGGTCGTCTTCTGGGGACCCTTGCCAGTGCGGCGGGTGGAGGAGTGTTCGTAAGAGTCATCATCATCGTCCCGCTCGTCGTCCTCCCTCTCAACGGAGCCAGCCGTTGAGAGGAGCATGTGCTTCTCCATGGTCTTCTTCACCTCCTCGTCGTCGTCCATCTCCCCCAGCTGCTGCTGGTTGATGGCCTCGCTCGGTTCCTCCAGCTGCACCACGCGGAGGACACAGTCGTCCAGATGCTCGTAGAAGTCCTGCGCATTGCCGAAGGTGGCAGAGCACGTCGAGCACTTGCCCGTCGCGTCGTGGCCGTAGCTGGTGGTGCTCTTGTTGGACGAGGCGACCGGACTCCGCTTGCGGCAGTTCGGCGGGGTCTGCTCGACATTGTGGACGGTCGTCAGGTGACGCTTGAACACGTCGGCCCGGTTGAAGCTCTTTTCCGCCGGGGAGCCCGAGCCTGGGCAGAAGCCGCACACCATGGTGCCCTTGTAGTGGGTCAGCGTGTGGCGGTTCTTGTCGTATTTCCGGGCGAACCCCTTCTGGTGGTACTCGCACGTGGCGATCGGGCACTTCTCGGGCCGCTCCGACTGATGGGTGAGCATGTGGGCCTTGAGGTCCTTGAAGACGCGACCGCAGTCGGGATGGGGGCACCGGCCCTTTTCCTTGGTGTCATCGTCCACGTCCGTGCTGCTGGCGGCAGGACTGAGCTGTGACCGGCGGGATTGCACCGACGAGATGGACGAGCGCCGGTCATACACGGAGACGTTGTGCGAGCTGGTCGGCATCAAGGAAGGGGAGGACATCGGGAACAGATGGGCCTGCGGCGCCAGGGACTGTGCCGCATAGTCTTCAGGGAGCTGCAGCTGGGAGGGGTCCGGGGATTGGTGGTGGCTGTACGTCGGTTGAGAGAAATGGTAATCAGACTGTTCGGGATAGGAGATGGCCGGGGGAGTGAGCTGGGGTTGTTGCTGGAGGGGATGGATCAGGGACGGGTCTAGATTGCACAATGGCCTTGGTCAGCACGCTGGGTTTTGGACAAGCCGCGCAAGATGGACGAGACTCAGGCCACTCACTGATAAAGTTGTCCGAGCTCTTCTTATGATAGTAGGCATCCGCGTCGAAAGCGCTCCCCACGTACTCGGTCGGGAGGAGATCACTCATGAGTGCAGACTGAAGGCCCAGGCCGTGATTGGTGTCCACCCAGTTGTCTTGGATCGCATGAGAGTTTCCCGAATAAGGGGATCCAATAGCCGACGACGAAGCGCTGGCAATAGAGGGCCCGGACGCGGTGGACAGACCGGGCATATAGGGTTCCGCTGATTGGGAGACGGGAACCGGCGGTGGAGTCGCAGGGATCGAGGCGTAGCTGGGGGCTTTCGATTGATCGGGGTAGGGATCGGCATAGGCCGGCGGCGTGTCGTAGTAGGACGAAGGGGCGAGATTGGACGGATTTTGGGCCTGTCCGAAGTCGCTCAACGGACCCGCCTGGAAGCCGAAGGGGTCGACGAGAGCGGGATCCATGGAGAAGTGTTGAAAATACGGTGTCTGTTGCTGTCTGGAGGAATCGAGGGCCAACATGTTGTTCTCACCGACGCCTTGCGCAGGAAAAAGTACAAAGTCGGTATGGTCCCTTTGGGTTTGCATGCCCGCTCTTTGCGATGACTGGTTGTAGTTCCCTGATGTGGGGAGCCGGATGCGCGAGGTGGCCGTCGCCGGAGGAAGGGGGCGCAGCAAATTCTACATGGACTCGGTGTCAGTCACTGCCATGATTCAGATGGAATCCAAGGGGACGACGATCCGACCCAGAAGGAATGGATCTTCCCCGGATTGAATCGAGTCAGAATTCCAAGCAATTGGGGGGGGCATAAGCATCCAATGCCCCGGGTAAGGCTTGATATGGGGAGACGATTGGGGTGAAGGGACGGGCCGAGCGGGGAACATACAATTGGAGTTAATGGGAGAGAATTTGACGAGAAAGCTACCAGTTGAGGGGGAAAATTTTTCCAACGTGGCGTCGGAATACTGGACAGGGTGAAGTGTGCTATGCAGTAGTGGGTCTCGTTCATACAACAGCAACCAAGCAATGGATGTGAGTGTAGTTGAAGATTAGACAGTGAGGAGTGAGGATGAAGAGAAGAGAAGAGAGAGAGAGAGAGGGAGAGAGAAAAATAGATAGATAGATCGATCGTAGAAAGCCTCAGGCAATCAAGGTGTTCGGGGAGAGTCCGGACGAAGATAGAAGGAAGGGAAGAAGATGGATATAGAGGATGAAAGATCTCTTGATCGGATCACTTCTGATTCACACTGATCTTCCTAGGAATATATATTCCCTGACAGACTGGGAATCGGATTTCAAAGCACGCGGACGCAAGAGAGAAAATGGAGGGGAGGAGGGATAGTTAAATGATATGAGATCGCTGGCCCTATGAGCAAGAGTAGGACTAAGTACCATCCAGGCCGGACTATCAACGGACTAAGTAAGAAACCACGCTAAGAAAAGGCCATCCAAACTGGTGTGGGTGAGTGGATGATGTCGAGAATCATGATGATGATGCTGATGATGATGCTGATGCGGATGTGGAGGGGGACTAAAATGGACTAACAAAATAGAATAAAAAAAAGAGTAATTAGAATAAAATAAATAAACATGATTATAATTCTGATCTAAATAAATCAATCAATCTAAATCGACCAAAATAAGAAAAGAAAAGGAACCAGGGGAGGAGAAGTGGAGATGCCGAACGAGCCAGGGGATCATACCATACATACATACATACATACATACATAGATACCATACAGACACATATACACAGCCAAATACAGATACCATACAGAAGATACGTCAGTCAACAAGGATCAAACTAAGAAACCAGGAAGCCCCACGGTTGGATCCTCGCTCGTACTCGGTACTATTCCTCCCATTTGGATTGTCTGTACGGATATTACCGCTAGCCCTGCATGTTTTGCACCGCCCGATCTTTTCTACAACATTTTGATTTGATTTTTTGGTGCCAGACAGCCAAACCGGTAGACCATTGTCAGATCTCTTATGAAAGTTTGGATTGACCGTCAAAGAAAGGGGTGAACGGTTGGATTGAACTCTATCGAGCTCCGATCTTACAACTGGGTTGTTGAGTTTGGCTGATTAGCAATCGTCTTATTTATTTAATTATTTATTTGTTCACTTCTAATAGAATTGTCACCATGTTTGATCAGTAAAAATCAATAATATATAAAAGAGAAAGGAGAAAGAAAAGAAAACATTGTCAGCATCGTCATAAATCTCCAATGTGACAGAAAAAATAAAATATACATATACATATACATGAATCGAAGAAAAAAAAAACCACAATGCATCGGCCCTATGAGAAATTCCCATCTATGGTTCCTGATTTCCATTCCCTCCGACTCCAGGTATCCAGGTATGTATCCAAGTATCTTCCCTGTAATTCCTATCCATCCTTCCCCTGAACCAGTCCACCAAACTAGTCAACAGAAGTAGTCGGGATTACCCAAGGGCTGGATCATAATTCAATCTATTCAATAAGGATAGATTGTTTAATTTGACATTTGACATGGGGGTTTATGTGGAGGGGAGAGGGGGGGGAAAGAGAGCAATGGGCACAGGACGGAGTGGCCGTCAGGGTCCGCCCATGCATAATTAATTAATCCTTGGAATTATTTTAATAATTTAATTACTTGGGTAATCTATAATCTTCCTGACGTTCGTATCCGCAGGTGTCATCGGCAAGTCCGTGGCACATGAGACATGATTACCTTTTCCACTGTTGACTTACCATCGACTCCGCTTTTTCTTTCCCTTGCTTGATTGAGTCTTTTGTTCGCTCGCTTGATAAGATAGTGGCGAATCTGTTCTTCTTCGTCTTCTCCTGTTGCTCTTTCCCCTCACCCCGTTCTCAAGAGATACCTACCTAGTAGGAACAGGGGTGAGGAACCAATGGCATCAGACAGGTACATGATTTGGAATCGACACCTTACATACACATACATTCATATCCAACAAATCATATAGTCCGTACTCGTACCTTGGTTCCTCACACTCCCTCCCTGCTCGTACCTAAACTCGTTCCGTCTAGCGCAAGCCCATCATTTGATGACAGAGTCCCCCCAAGTCGTGCCGGGTCAATAGTCAATGCAAAGCGTCGTGCCCGATCGCCGTGATAGAATATGATAGACATGCACTATCAGTTGCTATGATCGACAATCAAATGTGTCAGACCCGGTGTCACTCGTGAGGGGAATGAGGGGGGAAAGGGCAAGGGGGGAAGGGGAAGAGGGAGAACAAAACCCAAGCATCGCCGAAAAGAGCCCTCTCGGCGGATGCCGCATCCTCCCCGTCCCGTCAATTTGGGTCAGATCGTCCTCCTTGATGAGAAACAGGAGGACTAGTAGCAAACTAAATGGTTTGGATCGAAGCCATGGCCGCCGGTGCCGAACACCGTCACATCCTGTCTCGCAACATGGGCCTGTTGACGATCCCGGTTCAGCTCCACCACTAACCACCCACTTTTCGCACCCCCCTTCCCTCGAGAAAACCTCTCTGTATGGGATGTGATTGGGCGAGGAGCACTCGACTGGCAAATGAAGCGTCGTGGAAGTGCGAGACCCCTCTCACCAATCAGCAGCCAGAGATGGTCCCAGACGGGAAGACGATTGTCATTTAGGGCGCCCGACGGGGGGGGGAAAGGTGGGAAAAGGTTCGTTTGGCCCAAAAGGGATAACTGGGCGACAGACGCTAAGTCATTCAACTTAAATCATTCACCTTTCTGTAGAGCCGCACTTCGGGGCCGGATTGGCTGTCAAGGCAACGTATACTATCAAGACCTTGATAATAGTATTATCTTTTAACGCTCCAAACAACAATGGGGAAAGGGAATTGATTTGCCGGCAGGAGATTCGGATATTACGAGATCACGCCCTTCCATCACGTGGAAGAAAGGCACCACCACACCGTCTGGACGGGGGCATGCAGGACACATGGAAGGGAGTCATTACGCAGATGTCCCAAGAAGGTAGCGTCTTCGAGGGGGTCCTTTTCCCCATCCACTTGAGTGTCGTAAAGAGTACCATCAGAAATTGACAATCAGTCCGTATGGGTACATATGATGCATGTCAAGCCGTCAGAATCGAATTCTTCCCATCGAGGCCGCGGGGTGGGTCCGACACTGTGGCTCACGCAAGGCTGTGAGTCTTGGCGGTTTACCAGATGGAAATACGGACGGACTTATACGTATGGTACTCAGGTATCAAGATGGATCATGAGGTTGACTCATCCCTTGAGTCTTCAAGTTAGTTACGTACTCGAAGATCCCAGACTAGATCGAATCAGAGACGGAGAAATCCTCGGGATGGGTGGAAAGATGGAGAGCCCAGCCTTGTGAGCATGCAGGACGAAGTGAGGAAGCCGAGTACGTATCAAAATACAGTATCATAAATTACCAGATACATGAGTTAATACAGACATACAGTACACGCTCTTCTCCGAAGACAGTTACCAGTCGGTGAGAACTCTGGCCCGCCCACCGACTTAGCGCCACATCCCGGTTCAAGCCACAGCCCATCAACCTATAACATGGGAAAGCGCGGATCGTCCCGCCCTTCCATTGGCAGATCCCCGTGCACTAGCTCGGTGCAACTAGAGCGATAGCCGGATTGAGGCGCAGCTCACCCATTTTACACCGCTCCCTGGATGTACTGCACTTTGTTTGTTTGTTTCGAGACATGGGTTCGCATGCGTAATTATGTCATTGTTTTTTTCTTTTCAATACCCACTTACGCCAACATCAGGAACTGGGGGCTTTTTTCCAGCCCGAACAGTAATAAGTAAATTAAATTTCTATTCTTTTCATCAACCTGTGAACTTGACCGATAGGTTTCTATGGGCGATCGGACTACACGCCTGCATTGAATCCCTGATCTTGCGGTGGACGTACATCGAATGGCTTGGACTTGGACTGGGATGTTGACGGTGATCTCCTAGCGTGTAGAAAGGGGAGTCTCCCCTTCAACCTAACCCTCCCAGGCTTCTAGACTCCTAGTCCCTCCAACAAATTGAAGAAACTCGACGTGTCAACACGGCATACACAGTGAGGCTCTGATGATTTAGCCTGTTCCATCAGGTATCTAGTCGATCATAATGACCATCCCATGCCCCCATATGCCAGGATTGTCATCGACGATTCCAGAAAGAGTGCCCTCGCTGCGCTTGGGAATCAAATCCATCCTCCAGCACATTGGCTCGATTATACTCGGCGTACCGTGGGATTTAAATTACCGTATCACCCCCGTCAGCAACTGATAGCCCTCGGGAACTATAATTCCGCACGATATATCCCCCCGTCCGTCCCTCCCTCCCGTCCCCCGGCTGCCCCCTCCCCGTCACTGTCGTTCCCCCGAATCAAGTATGGCCTGCCGAGTGGGGGAGAGAAGGGGAAAAGTCTTGGTATTTTGCGTCGCTTGGTGTCAACCACATGACCGTCGGGAGGATTATTTGAATGATGATATTCTCGACCCTTACCCTTTTGTAGGGCGCGCTCTTGCTCACACGTGGCGGATTCACCTTACCCTGGCAAGCGAGATTGTCTGCCTGAGTCCATGTGGTAGACTTCGGGGAGAAATCTTC